TGAGAACCGCGTGGGTCCATCCGGAAGAAAAGGGTCACAACTCAAAATAGTTATTTTTGTATCTAGAGCGCGAAATGCTACTTTGGTGATCGAGATCTGATTTTTTTAACGAGGCGTAGCCGAGTTGAAAAAATAGTCGAGATGACCAAAGTATTTCGCGCTCGAGTTGCAAACAACATTTTTTCTACAAACCTCAAAAAATATTGTTCTAAAGTGGAGATATGCTCAGCTTGATAAAAAAAATAGTGTTGAACTGGCTTTAATGGCCTCCCCCTATCCTCCCTAGGTACGCACGAAGATCCACGAACATAATAGGAATTTCCTTTCGTGCGCTCCAAGAGATAAAACGAAGTTATTCATTGAACATTCAGTAATAAATGATCTCGTGGATGTTTGCTCGATTGTGGACCATTAAGTTGAAATATAAATATCTCATATATTTTACATAACAGTGCGCGAAGTAGGTACTTCGCGCACTGTTTTACTTCGCGCATTGTTTTGTGCAAGGTATCATTGTAACGTAGGAAACTTAAAAAAAGTGTCACTTCGCAATTTGTTATCAATGCGCGAACCTTGTCATTTTTTGACGTTTGTAGAAAAAACATCTTTTTTCTCAAAAAGCATTTTGATATTGGTTGAAATTTCAATTGACTTTATTATCTCAATCGTATGGTCGATACTGACTGTTTTTTGTACGAACTATCATCCATAAACCCTTTGAAGGTAGGCATAGTATCAGCTCTCGATAATGAAAAACTGTAGGGAAATTAACTGATGTATCTATCTTGAATCCAAAACTCTCACCATACTTTCATGATTGTCAATGTTACAAAATCGAATCTTGAATAATAAAAGGGCTTGAAACTTGATATTTCATTATTGAACGAATCTACATTCTTCATAATTTCAATGATAAAATGAGAAACATCAAAACTTATCAGTGAAACTGAACACATTGTTTTCTATTACAGATTTTCATGAAAATTGTGAAACATCGACACACATTTATATTTCTTAATTATAGAAATAAACCCATTTTCCTTCGCTTTTGTAATTCCAGATTTATTCGAATAGGCGGCCTTGAGATTCATATTCAAGATGTCTAGTTTTCTTCTAGTATTCGAGATCAAAGCTTTATCAAACCCTTGCTGGTCGTATAAAGTCTTATAAAACGGAAAACTTTGATTTTCTTGGTCCAATTTGAGAACTCCTATATCGGACAATTTGCAATTTTTTTGGTATGTTCACATATGAATCAGCTGCCATTCTTTTGATATACTCATGGCTTAATTCATGTACTGTGTATGGAGTACCAGTTTTTTAATGGTTCGTATGATGCTTGCATACTAATCTCTAGAAAAAATTGAACCATATTCTTTGAATTTACTGATATCCCACTCAATAGTTCGAGCGAATACAGTTACATCTTGAGATACAACACATCACCTCTCATTATAATGATCGGAAAAACAGTAACATCTCGGAAAAATTTTACCTAAAACAATTATGTCGCAAGGTAGTGTTTTGAAATAGAACATTATACATCAAAGGACAACGTTTTTTGCAAGGTGCGACTTGTAGCACAAGGGCGAAGCCCGAGAGATACAAAGCACCGAGGAAAAAATAGCATTCTGTCCTGAGATGTATATACTATTTTTTACGCTCGCGAAAGCACAAAAATTAAGGAAGAATAAAAATTTGGTCATAATAAGTAGTAGTGGTATGGTTTGTGGAATTTGTATCTTGACAACATGCATATTGTTGACAACCCATGGTGAAATTTACGAAAACAGCTTTGAAAACGGTTAACGGTTATGGAACTAGAAAACGAGGAAGAACTCCAAGAAATTGCTGATACTGATTCTGCAGTGATTCTTAACTTGCTACCAGTGAAATCAAGGAATATTTATGATGCAGCATATACTCGCTTCAGAGAAGGGTGTTCCGAAAAGAGAGCGCAGAGCTATGCGGAAAATGAGAGGTTGGTATAAACTCCCTAGGGAGAAAATATGTCACATTATCTCCCTAGGGAATAACACGCCACTTCTGCCCCTCTTTTGTTACCAGAGAAAGTAACTTCTACTCCCGCTCCGGCGTAAAAAAGAAGTTTTGGGTGGAGAGGGCATTGCCGAACGATGCGCAGTGACGCTGCATATTGTCATAAACAATTTTTAAATAAAAATTATCATTTGTTAATGTTGGGCATTTTGTTGATTTAACGAATAATTCACAAAAACTCAAGATATGATCGCCGAACATTTTGGTTGATCGGGGGTCAGTATCATACCCCCGCGTACTTTTGTCACAAGGGTGTAGAGTATGAGTTCATCATACATTGATGTTCGGCATAAAAAATATATGCCGATAATAAATTAAGTGTATATTGACCTATGTAGTATATGAAATCCAATATAATTTGTTTCCATTCGGCGATGATGTTTTATGATAATTATTAATATAATAGACATCATTATGTATAACCCCCGAACAGAATTATTGGACCTGTTTTATGTAATAGAAGAATCCGTTCGTCGTTCATTTCGTTGTTTTGAAAATTTGTTATGACGACGAATTGATCTCTTCTTTGCCATTTATTATTCCCCAGGGAGATAATGTGACATATTTTCTCCCTAGGAAGTTTATACCAACTTTACATTTTCAGCATAGCCCTGTGCTTTCTTTTCGGAACACCCTTCTCTAAAGCGAGTATAAGCTGCATCCTACAGATTTCTAGATCTCACTGGTAGCAAATTAAGAATCACTGCAGAAGCAGTATCAATATTTTCTTGGGGTTTTTCCTCGATTTCTTGTTCCATAACCGTTTACCATTTTCAAAGCTGTTTCCATGAATTTCAGTTTGAAATCTGCAGTCACCATGGGTTGACAACAAGATACATGTTGTCAAGATACGAATTCCACAAACTATATACTAGTACTAATTATGACAAAACATTTTGACCAAATTTTTTCTCTATCTGAATTTTTGTGTTTTCGCCAGCGAAAAAAGCAGTATATACACCTCAGGACAGAATGCTATTTTTCCCTCGGTGCTTTGTATCTCTCGGGTTTCGCCCTCGAGCTACAAATCGCACATTGGAAACAATCTTGCATTTCTGTCCCTTGATGTATAATGTACTATTATTATACCATTGATTATCATACGAAATCATCGCCGAATGTTAACAAATAATATTGTTAACGAAAATTGGATTTTATCACTACGAAGGCCAATCTCCACTTAATTTATTCGGCATATATTTTTTTAACTTCCATTTTATTCAAAAATAATGTGGAATAAATGCCGAACATCAATGTACTCTACACCTTTCAGACATAAGTAACCAAGGGTGGTTATTGGTCCCCGATCCAACCAAAATATTCTGCGATCATATTATCTCCAGTTTTTGTGAATAATCAGTTGAATCGACAAAATACAGGACATTAATAACTGATAATTGTCAATCAACAACTCTTTACAACAATATACATTATCCATCCTACACGTTCGGCAATGCCGTCTGCCCAAACTATACAGTAAGTCAATTGCGACATACGCCGAACGATATAAGTAATGATTCGGGTCCCCGGGTCAATAATACAACTTCCCCATACGGCCCCCACCATTTGGTCCACGATTTTGATTCAGCGAGCTCATATCCGTGTAGTAGAAGGTGGCATTTGGGGGTTCTTAAACTGCTGAGTATGAACAAATGAGACATAAAAAAACACGTTGTGGGCTCCCGGTCTAATGGTTTTCTACAGTCGATTTAGGAAAAGCTGCTCTCTGTACCTGAACAAACTGACAAAGCGGTGCAGGGAGTTTCTTAAAGCGATCGTAGACGAAAACGTACCCGGTTTATTGTTTAATTAAGTTATTATGTATAAGTTATCTAATATAGACCTACAGTTCTTTCCACTCTCATGAAAAATTATCTATAACCAGAATGATTCATCCGTTCATTTGCTTCTTTTAAATATATCTATCATATCACAACATATCGGTCAAGTGAAATATTCATAAAAACAAGGTTAATTGAGCAATGTACAATCGTAACTCAATTGTAAAAATATTTCATACTCTAATAAACAACTTCTTCTCCTTTGTTCCATTTCGTGTCTGTGAACTGTATTAGTCCAAGAGTCAGCTGCAAATTTCCAGTGTCTTCCGATAACGAAATGACGGCCAAAATTTGCAATTGGCTCTCCTACTATATCAATTAATTGCCTTACAAATGATAATTAACCTTAGATTGGCTACGTCTTGAATACATTCCATACAATGATAATAATAATTATAAAAAGTATAAAGCAATTATAACCTAGTGACTCCCGCTTAGGCGCCGACATAATTTTTTTAGTCAAAAAAGTCCGACTTTCATGCAGTCGTCGTTCGTAACCTCGAACTTCCCAATGAATTATTTGTTGATTTACACGATTCAAACAGCATCGATACCTATACAAAAACGATTATTTCTGCCGTCGCTAGTTTCACTGTAACCACGATTATAACGATCGTTGAAATTATCTGGTCCGTTAGTATCGCGAAATTTTCGAACACATCCACACGACACGGCTGCACCTCTACCGCAGCGCGCGATGCACCAATTTCTTCAATTTTTTTTATTTATTTTAAGGGTTCAGAACACGTCACATTCGGATATGTGATATTGCGCACGTGCCTATAAGTATTCGGTAATTTTGCACTCATCATGCGATGTTTTTTTTTCGTTTTTTTTTTGTTTTGAAATAAGTGTTTTTGTCTGAAAAACATGAATTTGATAATGTAGATGTGAACGAACGATTATATAGGGTGTTCTAAAATTGCTGGATTGCAGAGCTACCACGTGTAGTAGAGGTCAGAGGAAGTTGATTGGACCCAATCAATTCCTATACCGAAACGTACCGTTTGTCAGTGAGCTCAATGTTTACATGAAACACACATTTTCATTCGCTGTTCAGAAATGAGTGGAACAAATTCAATGAAATTTGACTAAAGGGCATTTTGCTCCTTTAAGTACCTATTCATAGAAAAAATATTGTAGAAGAATTGATACTACACTCACCCCCTGGCATTTTTTTCAGAACATTCTCAAGGATGGTAATACGATTCTCAATTTCTTTGGACTCGAAGAGAGATCATTCATCTTCATTTGTTTACTCTTGTGAAAACTCCGAAATCCTCATATTTCCGAAGAAAAAAAAATGTTTTATTCAATAATGCTAACAGATTTCCAGTACAAGTTTTATAACATTGTAATACAAAACTCAGTTCATAATGAAAAGAAGGCAGAACTTTCTTTATAATAAATGTTCAATATGACGGCCACCTTCATCAATGCAAAGGTCAATTCGACATAAATATTTGAAATCCACCCACTTAGAACTCTTCTCACGGGCAAACGGTACATTTTGGTAGGTATATTGATAAATTGGGTGCAATCAACTTATTTTGACCTCTATCATAGGTACGTGGTAGCTCTGTGTCCCAGAAATTTTGGGACACCTGGTATATCGAGATATTTCACGAAAAAAGATGAAATATCGAACTAGATATTTCGTGAAATATCTCGATAGATAGTGGTTTGTTCACATTTTCATCATCAAAAATACGTAGGCAACAAACAAAAATTTTCGAAAAAAAATCCATCGCATGATAACTGCAAAATCGTACCGCCTATTTTAACAACTAGAGTCCGGTTTGTGCTTTTTGACAAATGGCAGTCGGTAGCTTGACGATTCACAGCCGATCCTCCTCTTCTTCTTCCTCCTCCTCCCCCTCTTCGATCACCCCCTCGTTCTCCTCCTTGTACCCGGGGTGCTCAGAAATCGCGTAATAATTCCCGTTGTAAATCACCCCCAACTCCCGCAAAACGTCCCCCCTTATGGTCGCCTTGATCGTCCAATTGTAGCAATCGTCGCTCTCGCTCTCTCTGTCCAATCGCTCCACGTCCAAAATCTTGGAGTTGAGTCGCTCCAAGATGATGCCGATGTCCTTGATGCTCAGATGACGCTTCTGATCCACGCTCAGCTGGTCGATCAGCAGCAGGAACTTCTCGGAGGTGACGGCCTCGTCTTCCATCACGGTATTCTCAGTTTCGCTTTCTGAGCTCTCGTGTTCGGACTGCCCCCCACGGCCGCCACCTTAATAATAATAATAATAGTCTCTTCAGTCATTATTTACATACTGATAATGATTTATGCAATTCATCTGCACTAACTGGCAAAATGAACCGGCCAACTTTTTAAATTGTTCGCCCTGGAACTTTTTAGAGTGATAACTTTTATAGGCCCGTTAGACACTTTCTGGGATGACAGTAAAACGGCCAGACTGGTATAAGGTATGTTCATGCTTGTACGAATTCCGCAAAATTTATGCGAATCGCAAAATATGAAATTCCCAACAAAATTCGACGTTCATTCTCATGAGACGAAATTTGCAGGAAATAAGGGTTCTGTTGTCACCTATAATTTCTTTATTTCTGGTCCCACCATTGATAGAAGTTCATCAAAATGAAGGCACGTTACACGAAAGTAATTGAAATATTTATAAGTGTCATTTAAACATGCTTCGAACACTACAGACTACAGATCCTTGTTTTGCTTTTAGATACATTATTAGCCCTATAGAGACGATAAAAATGATGAATTCAAATTAATTCGCCCAGAGTATCCATCCTGCGGAGAAAATTTAATCGAATGAAGAAATTATGAAATTTTCAATAATAATTCTGTACCTACCTGTAGTCTAGTGTCTAGTCTCTTCTATTTTTCGGCCTCTGCTGTCCTCTCCCTAATTCCCCAATTTGATGTTATTAAAATAACAACACATTTTCTGCATACTGTGTGGTTTAGGATTCCATCCGAATTCGTGAAAAAGTTCAAATATTTCAACTTCATTGCGATATTCGCAGTCGCCATTTTATTCGCATAAATTTTGCGGAATTTGTACAAGCATGAACATACCTATATATGTCTGGGTCATATGTGTGGGTTGTGTTCTCTGTTATCTGCAGTAAGTATTCAGTCCAGAACATTCACTTTTTATTGTGATAAAATGAAGATGATGAATCAGAAATAGAGAGAAAGAGAATGGATACGTAACCTTTGAGTAAAAAACGGTTTCCGACAGTGAACTATAGTTAGTTTTAGTATAAGTACTCCGAAATAATGAAATGAAATCTATAACTGAAACAGTAGACGTTCTGAATCCTTTGAAAACGGAAAACAGTGGAAAAAAATAGTAGGATGGAACTCATTGGAGGAGAAAGAGACAAAGATGAAAGGGAAATAAAATTACGGGCGATCTGAGGTCGAGAAGTGGTAGGGGATGAGTTTTCAAGGGTAAAAAATGGTTTATGTTGGTATTCAGTAAAACTACAAGCCCTATGGAACAAAGCTGAATAGAAAAGTTAAGTTAAATTATCGACCCTGTCTACAGGCCCATTTCTTACCTTCAATGTCTAAAAAACGCACGTGTCTAGAGGGCGGCTGCGGCGACGTTTGCTGCGCATCCTGAATGGGCGACGTTGCCACGCTCTTGTGCACGGCGATCTTCCGTCCCTCCTCGTGCAAAGCACAACAGTGGAAATCGCACTCGACCGTGCCGTTGCTCTGCGGGCTGCCCGCTCTGGGCATGTGAGCATGGTGGGCACACTCGGGCGTGTGTATGTGAATGGTCCCGCCCTCCAGCGAGCTGCCCTGCTTCGTCAGTCGGTGAGCGGGCGGTTTGACGTCATCGTGGTTTATCACAGTGATCTGGGGACTGGCGTAGCGCGTCGGGGCGGCCCCCTTCGCGTACACGTCGTTGATGACGGTCTCTTTGGAGGGTCGTTTGCTGGGGGAGAATTTGCCAGGAGCGGGCGAAGGGGTTTCCGAGGAGGGTCTGGAAGGGCCGGACCGCTGGTCCCAATGGAGGACGACCGTGACACGCCCCTTGTTGTCCATGATCTTCCACGACGGCGTCTCATCCTGCAGTTCTAGAGCGTGGATGGTTTCGCACACGATTTTCGGGATGGCCGAGATTGCTACTAACAGAAAAATGAGAGTCAGTTTTCTTTATGTTCTGGTTCCCACGAAAAGGGATATCCAGAACATCGTGAGAACCGAGGGAAATAAGGTAGAAATTGGTGTTCTTAAATTTACCCCCCTCCCCCCCCTGGGCAATTATCGCCCAATCACAAAGATATCGCTCATACCCAAAGCATTTGAATCTATTGTAAATGATTTTCTGAAGTTTAAATTCAAAAATATCATCAGCTCAACACAACATGGTTTCTGCCAAGAAAGATCTATCACTACAAATCTTTTACTCTATGAGACCTACATTGTCGATGCCTTGGAGAAGGAACTAAGTGTTGATGCAGTTTACACAGATTTCTCCAAGGCATTTGACAAGGTAGATCATAATTTCCTTCTTTTTTTTTAGTTGTCCAAATACCTTGGAGGCAGTTTGTTGGCATGGCTAAAATCATATCTAGATAATGGCAGGCAAAGAGTTAAGATTAATTCCTCCTTGTCAGATGAAATTGTAATCACTTCTGGAGTTCCTCAAGGTGCTCATTTAGCACCCTTACTGTTCAATTCATTTGTTAATGATGTATCTTCTTGCTTTAAATTCAGTTCAATATTATTATATGCTGACGATATGAAAATATATCTCAAATTGGAGAGACCCTCTTCCTCAACTCATCTTCAAGAGGACTTGGACAGGTTCTCTGTGTGGTGCCACAAGAAAAAACTAGTTCTTAATATTCCAAAATGTAAATATATTCGTTTCAGCAAAAATCACAGCATAATTAACAATGATGAGTACTCCTTAAATGATGTAGTAATTGAAAAGGTAGACATTATGAAAGATAGAGAAAAGCTGAATCCATATGGTGAAATAATGTTACGTCGTTATGTAATTTGTATCAATTGGCACTATTTCAGTGGAAGAAAATTGTCGCAACGGTCAGTTGTGAGAAGTTTTCTATAATGAATTGACGCAAGTTATTTTTGTCCAGTACAAAAACGCCGTAAATGTATCTTGAGAGTATTAGATTTGATGTTTAATACTTTTTTTGGGGAAATATCGACTTGAGTGTATTTTGAGTCATTGTTTATCTCTAAATATAAGAAAAAATAATGACATAACTATCCCATGCGTCATTTTCAGTCAATATTACATCGGATCATTTAGATTCTGAATGACCCAACTGTTCTTTGGGATAAATTAATTGAAACATTCCAATCTTCCATTTGTTATCAATGCGACATAAAAATAACAATTAAACAAATTATGAATGAATTTGTAACTTTTTCATAGTGATTGGCAATTCTTGTAAATTATTATAAATTTTCTATTGAAATTTTCACATGTAAAATCCAAACTGATTCATAATATCGATGGCAAAGATTATGATATGTATTGACATTCTCAATTAATTTCAGAGTCATCGCTTAAGCCGAACGAAATAATATAGATATTCCAGGTCGAGAAAATACAACAGCTTGGAAATTGTATCCTGATACAACTGTTTTTCATATTTCCATAATTTATAGTTCTCTTATTTGTTTTTCATAACTCCCAATTTATAATTGCAGCTGTAAATTAGACATGCAGATAAAACATTTTCAGTTTCTACTGTTGCAACTGAAAATGAGGCGCGAAGATTTGTGAAATGGAAATCTGTTTCAGTATGTAAGTTCAGAGCCGTCAAAAGAAGAAGTCGTTCTGAGATTACTCACCGTCCAAACTTAAATCTCTGATATCAAAGGGTTGTAAATCTTCGGTTGAAACAGATATCATTTTCGAATTACAAATGTTCAGCTCCTTATTCTTATTATTCATTTACAATTTCAAACTCAGGGTTCTCCTGATCAAAGAGTTGGATATTATTTTTCAGTTCCTATTTTTTCTCACAGTTGGGTTATCATCATCCGAGAGTTGTTTATTGATGTTCGGAAATTTAGACAAAGCTTCAGTTATAAATAAAATTATAGCCAAGTGCAATTCATCCTATTGAAATTATTTCCCTTTGAGTACATAATTCGAAAAACTGTCTACATCTTTGTCCAATGAATTTTAGAGGATTCTAGTTTATACCATTGCTCATGAGTAAACAGAAAATATCATCTGGACTTGAAATCAATGGGATCCTTGATGAGATGAAATGTTTTTTCTTTCAGCATGAAATATCCATATCGAATTCCAAAATATTATCTCTTTGAACATACTACATTGAAGTATGAGGGTATACCCCCAATATATCGAAGTTTCAAACTCATAGATGAAATCGCCTATTTGTAAATCAAAAAATTGATATTTTGAATCCGTTTCTCCTTCTCCTGTAACATTAACTTTTTTGCATTTGCGTCATTATTATTCTGGACCAGCGACATGTACTCACTTCAGTGAGGAAAAATAAGTCATACTAACCTGCTGCGATGACATCGACCCCAGCCGGCAGCCATCGCTCCCCAGGTCTGAGCAGAAGCAGCACCGTATTAGCAGGCAGCGTCCGGAAGTATTCAGCGTCCTCCACTTGCGTCCCGTCGCTCTCCAACACCAGCCGCACCGGCTCTCCCACCGACACTCCCAACTTATCCCTCCCACGCTGCACCAGCTCTTCTAGGCCGCCCACCACCAGCCCTTTTCTCACGTTACGTCGTCCGTCCCATAACTTGAAAGGCCTCTTTCCGCGCGATTCCTGCAACACACCCATGTCGTTTCAGCAGAAACCCTAAGAGCCGTCGATCATCGCGCCGACACCAGCTTGACGAATTTATGGGCGCTTATACCGACAGAAGGTGGGGAATTAACGATTGGCCGCCTTCTCTGGTCTTCGTGAGGGAGCGGAGGTCGAACGCTTGGCAAGACGTTCTGCTAGAAACTGACCTACACAGCCATGTCGTCTCAGCAGAAGCCCTAAGAGCCGTCGATCATCGTCCCGACACTAGCTTGACGAATTTATGGGCACTTTGGCCGCCTTCTGTGGACTCCACCAGGAAGCGGAGGTCAAGCACTGACCTGAAGAAACTGACCTACACACCCATGTCATGAGAAACCATAAGACCTATTCCACATAACGACAGTGCGGTAGTGACCGTAATCCTTTTCTATCACTGATTTAACCAGACACTACCCACTTATTTGAATTTCTTAGAGATTGGACGAGTCAGTCAAAGTGGAAGGTTGACCCCCTTTCTCACATCATGTCCTCCGTCCCATAAGTTGAATGACCTCTCACCGCGCGATTCCTGCACCACACCCATGTCGTCCCAGCGGAAGCCCTAAGGGTCCCTTAGAGCCGTCAGTCATCGCGCCGACACTTGCTTGACAAAGTTATGGTCACTCAAACCGACAGAATTAACGATTGGCCGCCTTCTGTGGTCTTCGCCAGGGAGAGGAGGTCGAGCGATTGGCGAGACGTTTTGCTAGAAACTGACCTACACACCCATGTCATGTGAAACCCTAGGAAACAGTCCACGTGAAGACGGTAGTGACTGTAACCCTCTTCTATCACTGATTTGAAAAATAGGGATTGACCGAACACTCCCCACTTATTTGACTTTCTCAGAGATTAGTCAAGTCAGTCAAAGTGGGAGGTTGACCTCCTCCTGTCTCAGGTTACGTCGTCTGTCCCATAACTTGAAGGGTCTCTCTCCGCTCGGTTCCTGCAACACACCCATTTCAGGTCAGCAAAAGCCCTGAGAAACCCTGTTCCACATAACGGTAGTGGTAGTGACCGTTACCCTCTTCTATCAATGATTAGATGAAACAGCGATTGACCAAATGCTGTCCTCTCATTGGACTTTCTTAAAGATTGGACGCGTTAGTAAAAGTGAGAGGTTGACGCCACATCGCGTAGACTAACGGTGGCTGTGGCTAAACAAATTTATGCGCGCTTATACCGACAGAAGTTGGGGAATTAACGGGTGGACCGTCTTCCTGGTGGTATTTGCCAGAGCTCGGAGGTCGAGCGCTTGGCAAGACGGTCCGGTGGAAACTGACCTACTCCACACCTACGGATTGTCCTGTCGGGGGTGAACGAATAGGGACGAACAGGAACGAGTATGGACGACAGTCGGTGGATGCGGTGTTGCCAACTCGGACATTTTATGGCTAGTTCTAGTCATTTTGTAATACGTTCAGCAATTTTTTCTAGCTATTAATTGAATCTGAACTTCTATGGAAACGAATCAGATTATGATAAGAATGCATGTACCTTTGTGATGTTTTTGTCATTTCGTATTAGGTGTTCTTAGGATTCTTATGAGAAGAAAAGCGTGAAACATATGTTTCGTCATAAATTGTTTTTTTTTCAGGATCATTTTGTTTTTCATCCAGTACACTGATCGTCATAACGTCGGTCATTCTGTTCAGATTTGCAAGCTATCAAATATAGTGTTGAGAAATTATTTTCTCCGTAGCAAGGAATCGCTACATTTAATACAAAATTCCTACAAAATTTGGACTATAATTTTCTTGGGCTCAAATTTCTGATTAAATGGCACGATTGTCCATAACATGTCTGAAAACTATTTAGCTGACTATTTTTGGTATTTTCAACTACTTGAAAAGTATTTAGGTATTTTTGTACAACTTTCTCTGACCAGTCATGCAAATAGTAGTATGCTGCTGTACTGCTAAGAATCTAATGGTTATCATCAGAGGGAAAATATCGTTACTGCATTGAAAAAGGAACTACTTCAGCCTAAATGGACATTTTTCCTGAAAAGTATATTTCTCGAAAAATTACTTGAGTGAAAACAAATGGTTGTAAGTTATGAGGAAGGAAAATATCGTTTCTACATGAAAAATGCGGAATCTTTTAACCAAACTCGTTCTAAATGAACTTTTTTCCCATAAAGAATATTTGTCGAAAAATTACTATTGAGGGAAAAAAAAAATAAAAAAAATGACGCCTCGCAGCTAGTTGAACGCGAGCGCCCGCCATTATACTATGAAAAAAGAGGAAATATCGTGTGTTGGCTGGTTCACCACGAAGTAGCATATGACTGGGGAGAGACTCCCAAATTTTTGTACCTCACATGTTGGCAACACTGAGTGGACCAAAGATGAGCGGAGAGGAGAGTTGGTTTGTCCTCTCGCGGGACGCGGGGTTGCCGACATCGATTCAGGTTGAACGAAGAAAAATAATATGAAAAGCAAAAATTATCATGCAAGTATACAGTTTTTCGTTACACGCGAATGGATGATCAAACTTCACACTCTCATTTTATAATCATAACTCGATGAGTTTTAGTACTGATGTATATATATATATATATATTGACAACCTATACCCTAATCATGTTTTGAGAAAATTCTGATAACTTTGTACAAGATAATAATATTGCATCTTGGGCAATAAAGCTCATTTGATTTGATACATTCTAGAGTTTTTAGTTTATTGTATAATAACAATACAGTGATTGACAATTGAGCGACTGTATCTCGGATGACGTATTTAGTTGTGATGCTATTATTTATCTGATATTTCTGCGTATATTTACATTCTCTATTGATCAGTATCAATATTGTTTTTATCTTCTATAAAATCAACCTTTTTCATCACTAAGTGAACAAAACAATGTTTTCAACACAATAAAGTGTCGTATTTCCTATATTTTTCAGAATAGACTCAGTCAATTAACACTATAGGAAACAGAATCTATAATGGGTAACTATATATGGTCTATTTTTTTTTAGATAATAACAATTTGGTATGGCTTGAATTCCAGACGAAAATATAGTATTTGAATCATTGGAAACGAGCATATATATATATATATATATACTCAAGTATTGATAGCATTAAAAATCAGAACATGAAATTCGTAGATATAGATACCAGATAACTGGAAGATGGACGGTTGAATTATTATATTTATAGCTTGTTGATACAGAAATCAAAAACATTTGCATTCTTTTGCCTGGCCTCGATTCGGGTAGTACCGATAAGGGTATAAATATTTGCCAGAAAACCTATATCATCCATGTGTCCTCAAGAATATAGTGTCCTAGCTCTTATTTCAATTGATTGAGAAACTGATGGTATCATTTTTCTTGGTCAGTTACTTAAGGTGTTGTTGCCTCCATCTCTTTTTCCTCTTCTAGGTTCCTACACCGAGATCTACACACTTTCATTGGATACATAAAAAGAAGGCACTTAAAAGCCCCATTCATCGTTACCTCTAACCTTATATCCATCAACCCACGCAAAGAGGGGCGTAGTCCAATAACTTTATCACGTGACACCAGTGCACAAGAACTACAGCCTCCGGCTACATATCGCCCACTCCAAAATTCGTTACAAAACGAAAAAAAATAACAATTCTCTCTAGGAGCGCCCAAATTCCCCTATATTTGGCAACATCGCCGGCCGAAAATCCGTCTGTAATTGATCCAGCATAACTCCCAGATCACAGCCTAGCAAAGGACTCTTTTCCAGAAGGTCCTTCCGGTGCATTCACGGGCTAATCTAGCCCGTACTTTGTATTTGGGGGAACGTCGGTTCGACTCACCTCTCTCGCCATCACGGCATATTTCGAGGGCGGCTATCTGCGTGCCGCCCTTCGGAGCCCGCACTAGCACAAACTCACTGCCCCCGCTCGGCCGTACCGTCTCCATCGCCCTGCCATCGGCTTTTCCCCATTCTTCTGCCCCAAAAAGTCTGCCTCAGGACGATCGGAGACCCTCGCGAGCAGCAACCCTGCGAACTGCCCTACTGCAGCGCCACCTGGCGGCCGGATCGATCACGGTGGTGGGCGGCGGCTACGAATGAGTCGGCGTTGCCAGATGACTTTGGTGTTTGGTGCTCTCGATGAGATCAGCAGGACACTCCGTCGTAGTTCGGCCAGCAGAACGTCGAAATAGATCGGTGGCCGTAAGCAAGGGCGTAGATACGAGGGGCAGGTAATGGGGGTAGTAATACCCCTCCATGAATAATAACTTGCAAGATAGGTAACAGATATAATAGACATTTATGGCTGTTTGGTATGTAATTTGTTTGTCCTGAGATGTTTAGTTTTATTTCTGATTCTAATATACAGGGTGTTTCAAAATTCAGTATAAAAATCTAGGAGACTTTATTATTCTCCAGGTCAAAATGAAACTTTATCTCCTATGAATATGTATCCGCAAATGCTTCGATCGTTATCGTTCTACAGAGTGTTGAAGTCTCAAGATTTTTTAATTTTCCATAACTTTCGCGAAAAAGTTAGGTTTTTTATTCGTTAGGTAATGTTTGGGAACTGGTTATTCTTTCGTCTGGTTAAAAAATTCAATTGAGACAGTCGCAGATGCGTAAAAATCACAACAAATAAGTTTAAAAACAAAACAGAGAACTCATCCGTATTTCAAAATCTGTTGATTCCTACGACAAATGGGCATTCTATTGATGTGGACCGTAAAACCTTTTCTATGTTTCAAATTTGATATGAATATTTCAAAATCTGAAAGAGGTATGAAGAAAAAGAGAAAACATCTATGTCAAAGAACCGTTTTGTTGACACATGTTTTTTCAAAAAGTCTTATTTTGATCTGAAAAGTAAGCCCCTGGAACCTCGATATCGAATTTTGGAACATCCTGTATATTATTTGTGGCTCTCTATACTTTCATTATCGAAACCAAAGAGCCATTACACCCTCCAAGAAAAAAATTAATCGACGCCACTGGCCGTAAGTGTTCATTGTGCCAAAAAACGCTAATTACAAGTTTTCGAAACGAATGAATTGACGATGCATAGATTAGATACAATCGATTGTAGCGTCGAAACAAAAAGCTCAATTTTAATTGAAATATCAATAGAAATCTTATTTGGACACATCGCCGGAAGTTATTTGTACATTTCACCAAAAATGGTAATTATGCCGAAACAGCTGCTCATACATTTCGCCAAAAGTGATAGATACAATTGCTGAAACACCTTTTTGTTTCTCTCTTATTTCTCGCTTCGTATGACTAGTTGAGGAAATGAAAAAAAAAAAAAAACCAATCATTTGCTCGTGACTGAACCTATTGAGAGAAAATAAATAGAATGCTCCTTTTTTGAGGTCAGAGCTAACGCATGAAGTTAAAGGACCCGTGACTTATTGATTTGGATCTGATTTTCAATATTCACCAGTTTTTTAACTAATGAAGGTAGGTTTTAAAAGTGATATAGGTACCAAAATTTGATTCAAATCACATTCGACACAAATTTTGGAGCGATCGATAGCTCCGGTAGGTATAGATCGTGATTTGAAAGCAAAATCAAAAAAATTACATATGGGGGTTTGGAACCATGAAGAACAATATTATGAAATCAGTTTTTTTCTTCAATCCTAATGATTCCATAAAAAATGTACCCCATTTCATTTTAATAAAAACGCACGACACCAATCCCAATTTGGTAAAGATCGCCCGACTGAGCTAAGATATATTGGGGGGGCCGTTTGAGAGTTTGAGAAAAATAAATGGACGCAGCTCGGCACCAAAATACACTTTCCCCACTTCTACATTTGAAAAAAAATGGAGTGAAAATCGCTTCATAAATAAAATATCACATGGTGTGTATGTATCATCTGACAACTCATTTTTTTTTCGATCATTGTTGCAGTAATACTATATCTAATGATAATGTATGCATTACCAGGCGAATAGACCAATAACGAGCGTGAAGTAGCATTTTAACCAAAGTTTCTGACTCATTGTAGCTTCAGCTTCTGAAAACTACCCGAAAAGCAGAAAATCCAGCCCATCCAGCAACATTGGAGAATGTGGGCGGGCGCATGTCCGCGCGTGGGCGGCTGCGTCCAGAATAGGGGGAGGGTGAGAGAGAAATGCGGGTAATTCGATTACCCACACCTCTACTTTCACCCACCTATCTTAGATTCGGGGCAATTTTCGGGATTTATGTATACGGTGATTTTCGGGGAGTTTTTATATATGAGAGAGTGGAAAAGCTAATTTACATGAGAATTATAAGTAGCATCTTCAACTTTCAATAACGATTCGAAATCTTCTAGGAACTTATTTTTCCTAGGACCATCGGAAAGCTTTTTCTGTCTCTATTATGATCATATATAGCACACAGTAGGCCCTTTCTTTTGTACGGAAAGTGTAGCACATTCTTACACTTCGTGTAATTTACACTGCATTTGAGTATTCTTTTGAAAAGTGAATTTCACAGCAGTGTAAACTTTATCTCCACCTGGCCTAAGGCAGGTGTGAATCACACTCAGATTCGAAAATGAATAACATCGCGATAAAAATAACTCGAAATACGATGTGTTATTATATTTAGCTCCCGGTCATATTACGACAACTTCGGAACCAATGAAAAATATGATTTCCCATTCATATAACTTTCAATTTTTGTTCTTTTCGGAAAGAAAAAATGATTGATTCACCGAAGAATGGGTTATATCAATTATAACAGATAGGAGACATATAACAATTCATATTCGAAACAATTGAATGTTTGAAAATTGAATTTGTTTTAAATGACGTATTTATGGTCGTTACATTTATGCATTCGCCGATACCCGATATCGAGCTGAATATACGTTACAGCGCGGGAACAGCGACTAAATTTTGTGGAATTCGTACAAGCATGAACATATCTTCCTGCATAACTACAATTTTCAAGTAGGTGCACGGGGGGCGGTTGATTGTGTTTTTGAATGCCACACCGGCAAACTGGGTTTAATGCCTGCGACGGTCGTCTTTTTTATTCTATTTACTCAAGTCATTTCCCGAGAAATATGCTCACCAATTCAAGTTATTGGCCATTCACTGCATCGTTTGTCCCACGCGTCGTTGGGTGATCTGCAACCACGCTGTAATGTTCCCCCACCGCGATGATTATTTGTTGCTTCCTGTATCTAGACGCTCGTGGAATAGGTAGGGATACGAGTTGACATTTTCATTCGTGGAGCTAACCTTCCAGTCAGAAATTTTCTGTGAACTTATTTCTCCACGAATTATTTGTTGCGTCCTGTTTCTAGATGCCTCCATTCAGGTCAGATTGAATTCATGTTACGATACTTACCATTCGAGTTCCGATATGCAGTAAACCGGGGAATAAATAACTGAACGATCCTGGGGATATAAATTCGTTTCGATTAGTTGCTTTCAAAGTTCAAACGACTAGAAGCAAAGTACGCTGGTCATTAATGTGTACGTTTGTGGGTTAATCGGAAATGAACTCTTCCATTATTGCCGCTGCTGGTGAATTAACTTATTACTCCTTTCATCATTATTGCAGCCGTTTATTTCTGTCATTAAAATCTGAATAAAAACTATTTGGAGATTATCGAAAAATAATCTATCGAATACAACACGAGAGGTCGACAAAATAAAAAATAATTCTGGATTTTTTTTTTCAATTTTGTTGATGTCACTGCCTGACAAGTTTTTGAAGATATGTCAAATGTTGTAGGTGGCTATAGGCATAGTACTCATAGTAGGTGTGGTGTGAGAGATATGAAAGTTCAAGCTCAAGCGATACACGCCGTTAGATTCAAATAACCATGATTGGAAAGAAACTATATATCCCTTTACTATCCTCAATTCAATATTCAATTATGCTGAGTTGACATGAACTATGAACTGTTTATGTGATGGTATCGTGTTGAAGGCCACTAATATAGGAGTCGTTATCGGTATAATATATGATTTACCACATGTTCAGTCAAGGATAGAATATTTCGAGAAATTTTCTCAATTCAATTTGGAGTATTTTATTATGCTTCCATATATTAACATGTATATTATGTATATTTATGTACGCTGGCTTTCCTATCAGAGTACCTATATAGCTTGTACGCTTGTAGTGATTATTAGTTGTCATGCAACTCAACTCGAGCCATTTGGATTTTGATGAATATTGATGCAACTATATTTAAATCAATTTTAAATACGTCTCTATTCGCGATAGAAAATAAGCGTACGCCACCTATCGCAGTTCTTGAAAGCTGTCAAAGCGGCCTGTTTACTTTGTATTCATTGGCTCGACTTTGTATTTTGTCTATGCTTGTTGGTCATAACGATGATGGAAGTAAGATATGGTGCGCGGATTCGGCCATTATTACATATTGAAAATTTCAGAAAAATCAATCGACCGCCTACTATGATTTCTCTACGTCACAACGAGCGAGACGTTAATTCTACATTTTCCCGCTAGATGGTGATGCCTCTATTGCTGCTGAGACGAGTGGAAATCACTGTAGTTCAGTGGTGGAAATGAAATGGCAAATAGCATTTTAGGTACGCGGAACATATGTAACAGAGATTTTGTAACATGTATGTAACAAGTGGGATTATCCAACTCTAAATTCGAAAAATCTGCGACAATTTCAAAACTAACAGATGTCATGATTCAAGTCATGATTGTGCAATGTCGCCATCTATTAGAAGATCGACGGAACCATTGCTCTCGCTGTTCTCGAGAGGTCGAGTAAAATTTCTGAAACAAAAGCGCTTCAGCAGAGATAAGTTATTCACTTGTTACTCATCTCTGGCATCAGTAATTAGACCATATCTTACTATACGCATAAGCTATAAATTCAAAGTTGGTTTATGATTTGGAGTTAAGTAGAGGTAGGGATCTATATATTATTGTCTAAAGAAATGAAAGACATCAAGCTATATTTCTTTGATAAAAAAAATTTATTTCAAAATAATCTCATATGAAAATAAATCCATTTTTTCCGCAAATATATATATGGACAAAATGGCGAATTCAAATTATACATCAGATTCAGGGGTGAGGTGCAGCAAACACAGTAAACTTTTTGTTATAAACCTAACAGTTTTCGACAAATTCGCTGGCCTATCCATCCAAGAACAAGAACTACTGTCCAACAAAATAATTTTAAAAAAGTTGGAGGGAAGATGCTGTTTGATAATGCTTATACCTTGTATTGTAAGTGATATTCTTTCATTCTGAACTAACTGAAATATATCACTTGAAATGAATCAGTTAATTAAGCATTCTATTGAATTGAGTTCTTATGAAAGGATGCATTATTTTAACTGATTCAGGTTGATATATTTCCATAAAATAGACCAAAAGTATGATGAATATACAATAATGTGATGTAGGTATCTTATTTGTACTGGTTCTATCCATCAATGTTACATGATATGTACAATTATAGTTTTATGCTAAATCACAATTTGAAATCTGATGATTCATAATTTTTATATTGTATCAGAGTTAAATATTGTATAGGTACCTACCTAATTGATGAGTCATAATTCTATGAAAATTTTTTTGAGGGATTATATATCAAAATAAACTCTTCTTCCTAACATAAATGGGTGTATATGTTCTGATTAAGTAGCAATACAACACTACTCATTCCGTGATTTGCCCTCAAGGACATATAATGGCATATATTTTTGTCCCAGATAATTCATTGCCAAGGCACAATAAGCACTTGAAAAAAATTCTAATAATCTATCAAATATTTGAAATTCACATGATGTTTTTTCATCTCCATTTTAGGATCTCTTTCTTTTGAATGTCTAAGTAGTCAATCATTGTTGTGAATTATCTTCAAGGCTAGGACGGAACCTGTCCAACAAAATTCAACTAAACCAATAGAAGTTGTGGAAGGGACTACGAAAAATCTTCTATCTTGATCCTTGGTGTTCAATGCTTCGCCTCCTAAAACCTGAAGGGGTGGAAATGTCATGCAAAACAGAAAAATGGAAGAAGTGTTTTGCTGCACTTTGTGAATGTGTCAAGCATATAATGTACTATTTATATATATGGCCCATCGCCTATTCGATATCTCAACAAAAATGGGACCAAAATGAGAGGTACTTTTTGAATCTATAAGGACGGAAAGTGAAGGATGGAAACAGCCATATTGGTTTGACAAGTTTCGTATTATTCTTTCCCTACGACGGCATCAACGCCTATCGGTCGATTTCATAACCTATAGAGACATGAAGTTGGTCCCACTTTGAGGACAGCTATGCTTCATAATATAAGTAGTATAGATATATGGTGGCAAGCATAGATGGAAAAAGTACCTCTCATATTTTAGTCCCATTTTTGTTGATATATCATATAGGCGATGGGCCATAATATAGAAATTGTACATATATGCATATAGGCCGTTACCACCGATACAACAAGGCCTGCATGCTCCGTGGGTGACGTCACTTAGTGAGGACTAACCAGCGGCTCGAAACGACAAGCGCTTATAGCGCTATAAGGCGACCGCGTATTTCGATTTTAGTTTTAGATCATCATTGAGCACATTTTTATATAGAAAATTCAACAGGAAATATGATTTTTATGGCGAGTTTTTCATATTTAGTGAACAAGCATTCCAGATGACGACCATTTAATCAATAGTCAATCAAAATACGAGATGTCAAATGTCAATAGATTGCTTTTGAATGACATTACACACGCCATTATTTTGAATGATATTCTTTCTTCTTTTCACTAAATATGGATTAATCTCAAGAAAATCATATTCATAGTTGAATTATATATAAATTGTCCAATATGATGAAAAAAGAAGGGAAATTTGTTCTAAATGCTATCCAGAAGACAGGTGAAAAAGAAGATGAAATTTGGAACTTTTTTGTCAGATATCTTCATGATAAATGCAGTTTTACCTTTTTAAGTAGAGTGTTTGTAGTTCATGTTAATATGATAGTTGCAAAATTTGATCATTGGAATGAATTCTACATTCATTGCCACGAGGCAAATGACCGTTTTCAGAAAGAAATTTGAGAATGAGTATTAAAAATGCCCGTTTATTATGAACATTCAAGAAAATTTCCTGGAATTCAGAGATGATTTTGTTGACTATAATATACGAATACAAAACTAACTGCACAATCAAAGCTTTTCTATTTTTCTTCTACTTATACTTTTTATGAGAGAGTAATTGTCTTCTATTATTGATTCATCATTATGAATCAAGCTCTGTTTACTACTGAACTTAGATGGATTGAAATCCTCGCGGTGAATTGCATATACCCACATTTTCGATAGCTCCTCGTCCAACGGGAAACTAAAGGCATGAACTTTTGAACCACCCACATAATTCCCCCGACAAAAGGGAACACAACACTTGAAAGGCATTTTTATCTCGCCGATCACAACACAAAATATTTCACAAAACAGTAATTTTTCCGCCAATTATTTTGATGAATAAACAACAAAAGAATTCGGGACCGTTTCAAAAACATACGTGAATCACCGATGAATTAACACGAACTGACGCGTTAGTCGACAAGCGATAAAATAAAACACTGGCCTCTCTTGGTGACGTCACGAGCTGTTTACGTCAGAGTCTGCTGGCCTTGTTGCATCGGTGGTAACGTATAGGCATATGATTGAAGTGTATCTAATAGAATTTGACAGATAAGCCGTCATATCAGGAAAATAATTTTGTTTGTTAGACTATTTGTACCTCCTCGCCTACTAGTTGGCCTACTAGGTATTCATTTAGATGGACAATGCATGGTTAGACAAATTTTACCTCTTATATAGTACCTAGACTAGTCAAGGAATATGTAAATGATGGCAAGAACTATATGCAGTGCTATCATTTGACATTGCAAAACGTCACAGATGTTTATTGAGAATCATTTCATTTATTTTATCAGTTTTGAATATTCCTTAGCATTTAATCCATTTTTACCTACCTATTTCAATTGGCAACTGCTAATTTGATTTTACTGCTTTTCTGCCAAAACCACTTCTTCTCCTTCTGAACCACAGTACAGTCTTTTTTCGTTTTTGGGTGGATGATTTTTTTGAATTTTTTGTAGAAAGACGGCTTCTTTTTGAGTTCACCTTGGAAGGATTCCAAGCTCTCAGGACTGTTACTGGTAGAGATGGATTCTTCCTTTGGTTCTTCTTCTGCAGTTTCAGATTCTTCTTCTTCTATAGGACTCTCCAAGTTGCTGAATTTGACATGATTCATTGGTTTTGTAGTACTGAGGCTGCAAACATATCAGTTCACTAGCCACACTCAGAGTTTCAATTTGTCTAGTATTAAACTGAGTGTTTCAACCTCTAGTAATTTTCTAGAATTTCAAATTCCTGCTGGAATCATTTACTTTCTTTTTCTTTTGAAAATTTGAAATGCATTGCTGCTCAAGACGGTTTTTTGAGCAGGAGTATTTTTTTGTTCTGTTGTTGAGGGTTTACTAACCTTTTAATCTGGACTGGAACATCATTGGCACAAATTGGCACCCGAGTACTTTGGTTGGCAATGGGAATAGCTTTAGGCAGTGGAGTTGCACCCTTGATTGATTTGAATAGTTGGTCCCAAAAATTGCCAAATAATTTTTCAGATCTGTTAAAGTTGAGTAAATGATATGCTCTCAATTCCAAAGGCAAAGTACATGGTTTGTACAGGCATGGTATTATTTTTCTATAACAGTTTTCTGGAATGGAATATTAAATTCACCTAAGGTGGTTAATCACTAACCAAAGCAACTATAGGTAAATGAATGATGGAAAGTAATAATGGTTATATCAATTCTATTAGATAAGCCATCGAACATTCAATTAGTATTTTAGTTTCTATTCATGATAATTGAATATTTGAATTAAAAAAGAGCATTTCTTTAGAGGAATTGAATTTTTAGAACCATTTCATGAGCTGATGTATGTTCAAAGTAAATGTTTTCCAACTTTTAGTCACACCAGAAATAAGTGGGTATTATTCTCGCCTATATATGAGAAGAAGCCTGGATTTTGCAGGGTAACATTAAACATTAGTTAGAATTAATACATATATGGGGTTGAGTTGAGAAACAGCTTTTTGCTGATACTCCACCTATTCCCCATTGCAGATATAAGCACAAAATATGTCTGATGGATCTTTTTGTGTGATTTTTTTTTGCAAATGATGAATAAACAATGGAAAAAACATTTCAAGCAAGACTCCTTTGCTGCTCAAAATCATGTATATATATAGTAGCAATTATGATGTCATCTCCATACAAATTTTCCTGAAGTAGAATACTGTTTTTTTTCATTTCTTTTTCATTGTGAACATAAAATTTCACATTGATTTTAATCAATTATGAAAATCTAATAATGGAAAAATGGAATATTGGTAATTATTGTCCCACATTGATGCATATGTCATTTGTCAGAAATTAGACATGTGAGCCTAACCACATCTCAGAACCTGTCAAGCTAGTGAGAAAAATGTGTTTCATTCAATTCTGAGAGCTCTGTTTTTTTTCAAGTTTGTGAATGAATTTTCCCATTTATGAGAATAATGAAATACCAAGGATGAATATATTTTCACTCAATATTTTTACTTTGTTTCAGGTCTTCACTATTTTCCCACACATTTTGTGATTCTCTTTGATACCTAGGGCAAAACTGATTATTTTCAGCACCCTCATCATTTACATTTTGTTGTGAAAACTTGATTATTTGAACATTTGTCTGGTAAATTTTCCTCACCAATTCCTTCCAGCTGGGCCAAACTACAAAAGTACTTATTTGTGGGACTCTCCAAGAAAGCAGATGAAAATACCACAATGACCCTTTTACACCTGGTGGAAATCAACCTGATCACAGAGTCATGCTTCAGGTGACCTCCAACCATATCTCTATCCTTAACACACAAACTCAAATTGTACTGTGTTTCAAGTTTGATGACAATGTCAGTGGCAAAGGCAATGTCATCATCATCAAACAGAATAAAGGCATCATAAATCTGAAGGGACAAGCCCTGTTTCTGTCTTTCAGCATCATCATAAGTCAAGATGTTACTATCATCTTCAAATTCAACTGCATCAATAGGATAGCCATTTGGATTAGCTATGTAATATTCAGTGTCTTTTTCTGGAAATGAATAAAATACTGGAGATTGTATGAAATTCAAATCAGTACTCATTAGATGTCTTACCAAGAAGGGGTGTGATATCATCAAGTACATCAAATCTATCAAGATTTTGAAGGAAATTTATAAGATTTTCAATTGTACTCTCAGGATTAGTCTTTTCACACCATAATTCTAAAACTTTAGCAGTAGGATCATCACTTCTTTGTATGCTGGGTATTTGTTCTCCTTTTATCTTACATAATTCTGCTAAACCTTGCCAGTCACTAGAATGAAGCCATAAAATGGAAACATATCTCAAAGTTTACAAATTTCCCAAGAAATTTTGTGCTTACCGTGGTAATCCTTGGACAGTGGGTATTATTTTTTCCGGATTCAAAAGAGATGATAATAAATTTCTAGTTTCTCTTCTCAAGGCTCTTACGGGGATATCACTCATATCTTATAGTTGATAAAGATATTAAAATAATTAAAATTAATGCATAACCTCAAATCGATTAAAGATATGCCCATCAAAGATTAGTGGCGTGTATAATTTTTGAACCCACAAAAATAACATGCCATTCTGGTTTTCAAATTACCTTTATAGGTATTAATTGTAAAAACTAAAAACCAAAATTAATTGAAAAATTATTTTGTTGTTGAAGTGTTGATTGAACACAATAATAATTTGACAATAATGACATTAGTTGCGTTTTATTTGTTCCATTCTGGTAGCGGTGGTGGGAACAGAATGACGTTTACAAATAAAACGAGAAACTTCATAACCTTGCTTGAGAGAATTTACATAAGAGGTTATATTTGTATATGGAAGATCCAAATAATTTCAAAAGCATAATACTAGAGTTAAGAATCTAGAAAATGAATCAACTAATATTTGGAGCAGTGATTGTGGTGATTGAAGAAACTTCTCTGAGATCGACAGAGTTTATTTTATCTGAGAATGAACATATGAAACCTGTCTTACTTGAAAGAATCATGAACTAGTGGAACTCACGCTGAAAATGTCTTCTAAATGTCTTTTACTCTCAAAAAGGTTCTTTTTTTGTCAATCTAATTTGATTTTTTGACACCTGTCAACGGTCACTCCACATCATTCCTTGTAGTGAGACGGAATGGAAAGTAGCAACCGGAATCGGAAAAGTTGCAAATAAAACGACACATCAAACCGATTCCGGTGGCGGAATTGGATAAATAAAACGCAACTAATGACTGAATGGCATGACACGAGTGACACAAGACTGACATTTGACACAATTGACATGATTCCACAAAAATGCTAAGACTATGGTCGTCAATGTTTATGGCCACTGAAGTGATGATACAGAAACAAAATATATATACCTAATTTCATAGCATTTGTCATAACCTCACATTTTCACGATTTCAGGCAAGGTGGAAATCCAAAAAGCATTTCACTTTCACATTTCACAATTAGGAAGCACCTAATAAACTTCACAAAATGGGAAGGAAAGCAAAATTCAATAAGGAAGGTGAAATGGTCAAGAAGGGTCCAGGAAAAAAGGCGAAAAAGCAAAAAGATCCATCTTTTCCAAAAACATTACAAGGTGAGCAAAACATTAAAATGAATAAAAGTAGTCGTCTTGTTGAATTATATTTTGAATATTTTTGAATCTACTGCAATATACCTATTGATTCTATTGAAACTTTTAGATAATGATATTCCAAAAAATTTGAGTCACAGGCAGAAATTAAGAGCTAGAAAGAGATTACAAAAGGCTGAAGCACTGAAAGAGAAGAGAAAATTGAACTCAAAAAATAACAATTCTCAAAAACCCAAGCTGAATAAGGCTAAAGAAATTACAAATGAAGCATCAGACAGTGAGCCTTCAGAAGAATTTGAAATTGATAGTGAAGAGGATTTTTCAAATTGTGAAGAGGATGTTGAAATGAAACCAAGTAAGGGCTTTACTGATGACAACAAAGCCTGGTTGCAACCCAAACGAAAAATAAAGAAAGCAGAATCTGATGAAGAAGTATCTTCTGAAGAAGATTCTTCTGAAGAAGATACTTCAGATGAAATAAATGATGACAAATCAGAGGAAGAAACCAGTGAGAAACTGGAATCCCTGAATGACCTCTCTGAGGAAGAGTCTGAAGGCCAAGATGAATTCTCAGATTCAGATGGGTCAAAAGATGATGATGAGGAAGATTTACTTCCTATTGAAAAACAAAGCAAAATCCTGAGGAGGGAACAGAAGGTAGAACGTGAACTTGCTGAGAAAGAAATGGAACTCAATGTTGCTAGCCAAGAGGCATTCAAATTCCCAACAAAAGATCAAGATGTCACTAGTTTACAAGAAGTCCAACAAAGAATAAGAGAAATAATAGCTGTTCTAACAGACTTCAACAAGCTTCGTGATGTGAAACATTCACGCTCAGATTATTTAGATATTTTGAAATCTGATCTGTGTACTTATTACAGCTACAATGAATTTTTGATGAATAGATTCATGCAACTATTTCCTCTTTCTGAACTCTTGGAGTTTTTGGAGGCCAGCGAAGTACAACGTCCTCTCACAATAAGGACCAATAGTCTCAAAACAAGAAGAAGAGACCTGGCACAAGCCCTGATCAACAGGGGCGTCAATCTGGATCCAATAGGAAAGTGGAGTAAGGTGGGCTTGGTTGTGTATTCTGCGCAGGTACCCATGGGGGCCACGCCAGAATATCTTGCTGGGCATTATATGATTCAAGTAAGTGATTTCCACAGAAAATATACACTATTCATGCTGATCAAATCAACCATGAATTGACCTATCACAATTCACCATTCTTTTGGCTTCTCATATTTTGTGGTATCTACATATTATAATTTCCTGTCACATTTTATGTCCTATGAGATGGCTGAACTGGCCAACAGCCTCATAGAGCAGAGGTCATGAAAAATAAGAATCTTGACCAGTGGCGTCACTCACGAGTGCCTGCAGACAGTTCCCGCACACTACATCTGATATTCTGGCTTCCAATCCGTAAGGTCTATAGTCTATTCTGTGTACCAACACTAAATCTTTCATCCTGTGCACAGTCGTGCGTTTGGAGCCAGATTATTTGATGACGGTGCGGAAAATGTCTGCTCTAGTTATAGGTCTGTTCACTGTGCCTCCAATAACTAGAATATTGTACACATGGCGTCTTGTTTGCCTCATAAGGTCTGTTCGTTTGTGCTTGCTCAACCTGCTGAACTTGATTTTTTTCTGTGACTTTCTTTGTTTACATCATGGCATGAACAGAGACAACAGTGCCTGCAGACAGTTCCCGCATACTACGTCTGATATTCTGGGTCCCGACATTTATTCTCTAATTGTGTCCACGCGCGACGTTGGAAGCCAGAATATTGGATGACGGTGCGGGATTGATTCAATCATATAGCGAATTCCAATCGAAAACCTGGTGGTGCACCACGTTAGTTCTCTCCAAAATGTGAACTGGTGCATCCCCTATGGAATACGAAATAATTTTATCGGATAAGTTGGTTTGTCTTTGTTTATAACTTGTCCGCATCCTGAAATTCTTTCTTAACTTCAATTAAGAACAAGTAGATGTTTCATGGGAAATAATTAATATCACTTCAGGACTTCGGTCTCTTCTCGAAACAAAAAAAACGAATGTAAATTTCTTAGGGTGCCTCGAGTATGCTCCCTGTGATGGCATTAGCTCCTCAGGAAAACGAGCGCATACTCGATCTGGCTTCGGCTCCTGGCGGGAAAGCGTCCCATATCGCCGGTATAATGAAAAACACCGGCGTCTTGTTCGCCAACGACGTGAACAAAGATCGAATCAAAGCCGTGGTCGGCAACTTCCACAGATTGGGAGTCGTCAACTCCGTCATTACCTGCATGGACGGAAGGAAGTATCCGGAGTATATGAAAGGGTTTGACAGAGCTCTCCTTGATGCTCCTTGTACGGGTAAGTTGGCGTCATACAACGGCACCGTGTTAAAAACCAATAAGGGTATGTTCCGGTAATCAACCTGCTTTCTGGGCCGGTACCAACAATTTTGACTGTAGATATCTCCTGGTGACTACGGTAATGGTTTATTTACGACATGCTAGTCATTTGTCAAATAATCGTTTCGATCGTTTTTTAAACATGCATGCTCTACCAGTATTTGGTTTCCAATTTCAATTATGGCACAAGAATGTACCTGAAATATAAAAAAAATTCATCAAACTGAAATTGTAATGAAGTGTTTTTGACCAGCTTCATTACTAGACGGGTTTTGATCAAAATCTAAGTACCTGAGCCTGATTCTAGTTGAATTTCACCTGTTCGAAAGCTCGAAACCTGAAAACCTGAGAGAGCTGAGTAATGCATTGATTCCTGACTTCCCACAGCTTTTCCTGATAGTAAAAGCTGATGAACATCATTACAACCCTAAAGACTTCAATATTTTTCAACCCTTTGCTTATGATATGAAATTTGATTGAATTATTTATCAGTTGAAATGATGAATGTTTAAATGCTCATAACTTTGTTGTTATTGAATATTTTCCAGCCAAATTCATTCAGTAGCATAAGCAAAGGTAGTAGATCCTGTTCCTGTGCCCATTTAGGGTGTAATATTATTTTTTCCGCGTTTTGTGTTGGAGGTGCACATGTGTTTTTCAAGGACAGATTTAGTGGCCATGGCCATGAGCCATGACAAGGTGGGAGTTGTGACCAATGAGATTCCAGATTTACTTGTCCTTGTGCCAAGGCCAAAGCAGTGCATAAATACTGAAGACAGCCAAGGATTCGAGACTCTCTAAGCTTTTCTCTACAAGTCTACACTACCTGATCTCCGTTGCTCTTCAAGCTCCTGATTCTCTAGCTGATCTTTTAGTGCTCTCATAGTTCATTCAAAGCCAGTGTAAAATAGTATTGTATAGTGATTTCCTGGTACACATGTAAGTTTGTATATTTTTCACCAGTGTTATTCATCCTGTTTATAGCCTCATTTCATTCCTGTTGTTTTTCACACCGATACTCACCCGACCTGTGTAAAGAATCCAGAACTCTACATTGAATAAACGGATTTTGTGATTGCATATTTCATATTTCCTTCTCTGTTGTCATTGTTTTCAGTTCCAAATAGTTCAATAATTTATTTAGTGATTTTCAATATTTTCATTTGTCAAAATTGCAGAATATTATTATTGACTGACGACTGACACTGACAAGCCAGTTAACAACTCTTCTTCTTCTTTTCCTTGAGAAGTCCAGTCCTGTGCACCGGTGTCTCTGTGCTTTGTATCCCGTCAGGCGGTGTTCTATATGTTTCATGAACTATTGACATTAATGGAAAAATATAATTAATTAACCTCACTAAAAATCCGATATTAGAAAATTAGAAAAATCGAAGGAAAAGAAAAGATAAATAGAAATTGAATCTGTTTAATTCGTTTAGAACTGTGTTTCCGATTCTCCAGGTAGAAATGATGAAATAGTTGAGTAAATAATCTTCCAGACCTAACCTCAAAATACCAAAGACCTGAGAGATATTTTGCTTTGATTCCTGTAATTATCCAGACCAGAAATAGCAACCAGTATTCCAGGCTAGACCCAGGGTTTGTAATTAAAGCCTACACTCCCTTGACTACTTATTGATTCCAGGTCGATTCAATACCATTGACCCCTGGATTATACTGTGGGTACCGAGGTAGGTATACCTCCTGTACCTTTCTCCACTGTTGCTACTGTGGGCCTCCTTCCCGACTAAGTTGGGAGGAGCAGGTGAAGTAAATCACCTTTATCAAAAATCTGGCGCTCGAGAATCCCCCCTGTCAAATACCAGAGTAGTCTCCTGTCCTGAACAGAGTGTCAAAGTAAGGGCCCCTGAATAAAGACCCTTACAAAATTGTATCGAATATTATCAATTTATCTCTGTAAACGAATCCATCGGAAATAAACAAAGTTATTAAAATGGGGATATTGTTTCTAATTGTAATTTGTAAAGTTGTAAATCGAAGAATCGAACCGAAAACTAAAACACGTCAACGTCAACTCAAACTTACCAGAAAAGATCCACGGTCGTTCTGCTGTAACAGTGAATCTACCGCTGTTTCAGCAACCGGCGAGTTCCATAAATAACCTCTCTTCGGGAACAAACCAAACATTTCATATTTACGGAACGGAGGAATACTAACCGAAATAACCAAGTTGATTTACGGAGCATACCCCAGGGTAGGTATCTTGTAATCTCGAACACAAACCTTTATCATTTCCATTGTTCCTGATATCGTGCAATGCAAGAAGAGAAAAATCTCTTGTAGTGGAGGTTTTCTTTGCAATTTTCATAGTTAGTATCCACCTGGAAATATGTTTATTCTGTATGGAACTGAAGGATTGCGCAGGTGATTTTCGATTACGACCCAGGAAGGGACATGAGGTCTTCAAAAGGTCAGTTCTCGAGATACAAAAGCTAATAAATAAATAAACATTTTTTGAATTCAAATTCGCAGCATAATACTCTTTCGCAATACTGGCGCGATACTCCCGCATCTACTGCTCGAGAACGCCTGTCAACAATGAACTCAATGAAAACACCAATGACAGTGTTGCAGTTTCAGATTTCTAATTTATACTAGATGTCATTCCGAAAATGTACTAAATTCAAGTGAATTGCACTAAATTGAAAAAATTATAAACGACGAACCTGCAGTATACCAACAGCGCCAATTACTTCTAGCGGTTATCGATTGCGTTAACGCGAAATCCTCCACCTCCATATATAACTATAGTTTTTCTCTCTGTTAAATTTTAGTTTATTAACTTATCTTCAACAAAAGTCTCACTAGAATTTCCGTAATAAACATATTTTTCTTTTGAATAATTTCTTCGTATCCAGCTTTCGATTTTGTATCAGATTATTTTCAATTGTGATGACAAATGTACTTCAACCGGCAACTCTGGGGTGCGTTCAATTGCTGTGTCTCAGAGTAGAGTAATAAGGTTAGTTGGAGGTCTTATCAGATCTTATCAATTTACTCTGTGTTAATTATTGTTCCATGTAGTATTCGAACGAAATTTAGAGTTCTGTTTATTGACATCTGGGATTGACATGAACATGTGGGTTATGTTTTCGAGTTGTAAGTCTTATATAGTTTAGTTCAGTCATTTCAGTACGGTTCGATTCATGATGAAATTCTTGAAGGAGTTAATCTCTTATTAATAAAAAATAATGCTGAATGCTACTCATCAATTTTGAAATCATGTGTTGGGTTATCAGACATCTATGTCTTCAATAATGTTGTACTCACCAAGTTTTAATTCTTTGAGGATATAAAAACAATGATAAACTGCGTTTCAAATGGACCTTACCTAACTTGAAACAAACAAAACAAACCTCTTCATACGTGTTCGCCCTGTAATTACTGTCAAATCAGTGGAACGTCATAAACTCTAGTATCTCCGAACGATAGCAACAGAGTAGGATAAAGACAATCTGACAAATTTCGAACGCAAACGAGCCAACTTTACTCCACAGAGTACGTATTCGAACGCACCCCTGGCCATTGCTTTGTCAATTGTCATAAATCAGTAAGGCCAACTTTACCATTGTTGAATACTTTGAAAATAATTTTCCACAATTAGGTACCGGAGTCGTGGCTAAAGACCAAAGCGTCAAAACTAGCAAAGACGATCTGGACATCCAGCGCTGCTACAACTTGCAGCGTCAATTACTTCTAGCGGCTATCGATTGCGTCAACGCGAAATCTTCCACCGGCGGCCATATTGTCTATTCGACCTGTTCCGTGCTCCCAGAAGAGAACGAGTGGGTTATCGACTATGCGTTGAAGAAGAGAAACGTAAAACTGGTGGAAACCGGTCTGGATTTCGGCACCGAGGGATTCGTGAATTACAGGCATTACAGGTTCGGTAATCTTGCACTTATCATGGGATGTTTTGTTATTTGAAAATTCTATTTGTTACCTACGTATTTTTGTCTGAAAAACAAGAGTTTGATGATGACATTGTGAACAAATCACTATTCATCGAGATATTCATAAATCATATTTCTTGTGATTTTCCTACATGAAATGTGTCATTGAGATACATCATGAGTATATATAAAGTGTCAAATGACAGAAGAAGAAGAGCAAGTAGATGTGAATGTATTCAAGACAGGCAGAGGAAGTAGGTGAAATTTAGAAATTTTTCGGAAAATATCTGGATAAAATAGTGGTTTGCTCATATTTTCATTATCGAATTCGTGTTTTTGAGACAAAGATACGTAGGCAACGAAACCATTTTCAGAAAAAAACCATCGCATGATAAGTGCAAAATTGCCACAGGTTTCATCCTACCATGAAGCTGACCAGGCGGTTTTATCCACACACCCATAACATGGACGGGTTCTTTGTTGCCAAGCTGAAGAAGTTTTCTAACGTCATTCCGGCTACCACGGACGTGGGAACAGAAGAAGAAGAAGAGGAGGAAACGTCAGTTGGAACGACAGAAGAAGATTCAGAGGAACCAATCAAAAAGAAGAAGAAACAAGAACTGGTGGAGAAAAATGGAGTTGAGACGTACGCAAAGAAAGGTTAATGTTTTTTTCGTTTATGGCGTGATACAGACAAATTTGAATTAGGTTTTATATTAACCTGTTTTTCTGATATTATAAGAACAAAACAATTTTCCTTCCCCAGTATCACAGTAGGTGAATCAAATATATCTGCTACCGATTCATAAACATTGTTTATGTCAACATGGATTTTCCATTAAGAATCTGATTTTTGTTCATGAGAACACGTACTTTTCGCTATGATACGAATTTTCTCTCAATAGAAACATGTTCTTTGTTCTAATCTTAAAATCAATTTTATGATCGTTATACATATACATGATCCTTGCATAAACTGGTACTCTCACACATTTCATTGAGTTGTGTTTTTTTTGCGCTGTGATTAACAGACTGATTCAAATTTTTATCGACAGCAAAACCTGAAAAATTCAATCAAAAAAATCTGAAGGTGAAAGAAAAACAGCAAACCTTGAATGACAAAGGGAGAACTATTAAGAAGATGAAGAAAAATTCACAAAATGGTCAAATCAGTGGGAAGCAGCAAAAACTTGGGCCCTTAGCACCAGCAATTGAAGAAGAAAAGTTGAAAAACAAGAAGAATATCATCCAGAAGTCAACGTTCAACAAGGAGTTTTCTTCACCTGAAAACTTAGCTGCTAGAAAAATAGTTTCAAATGACGCGTTACATAAGAAAAACAAGAAAACTAAACCATCTGCCGCTGAGAACCTGGTAATGAAAGACAAACTGTCTATGACAAAGAAGAAGAAGAACGCATTTCCTAAAAATTCTGTCAATGCAAATGTTTCGAATGATGGAGTACTCAAGAGAAAGAATAAGAACGCATTGTCACCTAGAAAATCCGAAACTGAAAAGGTTTCAGATGATAAAGTTCTTCGAAAAAAGAAGAAGACCTCTTCACCTCAGGGATCAAGTACTTCAAATGAGAAAAAGAAGAAGAAACTATTGAATTCCACTGACTCTACTGGAAGCGATATAGTTTTGAATAAAACTTCTATAAGCAAAATTCGAGTTGATAGTAAAAAAGTTGAGTGGGATGATGTGCCAATGGAAGCTGTGAAAAAATTGGGTGACAAATTGAAGAAAAAACATATGAGGAAAAAGTTGGGAAATCTGGGGAAACCTATGAAAGTAGAGAAAAAAGGGAAGTTGAATAAACAGAAAGGAAAGAGTAGATGAATAGGTTTATTTTTAGCTTATCAACAATTATTTCTTATTGATTATAAATTATAATATAGTCCTTGGAAATAAAACAACTCTCGTTTTTATAGTGATACCTACCTATTATTAGTTACCTTCAATACCCGATATCATTGTTGAGTCAACCCGATATCATTGTTGTGGCAACATGAAAATTGGTGTTGGCAAACAATGTTTTGGGGAAAACACAGGCTCTCCATTTATACTATAGAAGAATATGAGACTACTTATACGGATTTTCCAGACCATCTCGGCATACTCATAGTAGGATGTTCGGATTGTTGACACTTGCTGAAAATACCGCCATAAGAACGTGAAAGTATAAGTAACCTTACACATAGTGGTCCGATTAACGCTTAGAACGCTTGTAAATATTCACAGTGAGTCATTATGACGTCATGGATTAGGTCACTCCACTCACTCCAGAGTGCTCTCAGTTCAGAGTTGAAGCGGTGTAAGCGTTGCTGTCTATAGTATCACTAACGTGCACTAAGTACTGTCACTTGAAACTCGAAAAAGTAAATTATGAGGAAAATTCTCGATATAAGTACTGTTATACAAAATACGAAGACGAATATCTCTACATTTTCGAAACGAGATATTAATAGTATATTATATGTAACAAGTGTTATAAACGTCCTTTTAGTAACGAGTATTTTAAGCACGAGCGGAGTAGAGCGGAGCGAGTGTTTAATAAACGAGTTTCTAGAATAGTTTATAAACGCGTTACATACTATGATTTTTCTACAAACTCCGAAAATTGCATTAACATTCCTGCAATTCCAGCTAACCTACAAAATAATTCGAAAGGGATGGGAATTGAGAACATAATACATGCAACTGCATGCAACCAGCGAGACACGTATAAGTGTTATTGGTTGTAGATGTGTCTAGTCCATTGCTTACTAACCTTTGTTTCACGTTTATTGTCATGCTTAGCGCAGAATAAATGAATTGTTCTCAAAGATGGATGCTTCATTTTTACACTTCTTCGAGATATGCAAGTACCAGAACATTCTCTTCGATTTCACTTTCGTCTACTTTTCGCATATATTTTTAATGAAGAATTCTGACTCAAACGAATATTGTTTGAATAATTCTGATACAAAATTCGAAAATAAGAGTTGACAGTTAATACAATTGACAGGCCAGACATGTCTCAGATTACTGAAGCTGTGTTTAATGAACTGCGTTGCCATGGAAAAAATGTGAGAAATCGTGTTGCCATGGTAACGTGTTTAATATTTTGAATGAATCACAGATCGACAATCCGTGATTAATCGATCATTTAGCGTGGTACATATCCGTACGCTAAATGCCATTTTAGTTATGTGAGTAGAAAACATTAATTAATCTCTATTATTATGTATGAAATTGAACGAAGGCGTTATATAATGCAACTGCATGCTGCATCAGCTTCCTCATCGTTAGTACTTATATAACGAAGAAATATTATTTAGATAACGCCATCATTATCATCACTGTGTCAATAATGAGAGAAATATTCACCAAAGTTTCTCCATTTTTGAATGGACTATGATTTTTATTGGTCAAGAAATACATTTTCATGTGAGGTTACGTGACGGATTTCATAAGCGCTCAAAATTCGGTCCAAATCAACAGTCGTCAAAGCTTGCGAACCAATTCGGACCATCAGCAGTGTCTAACCATTGTCGATCTAGATGGAAACCTAGTAGGCGACCTTCAATATTGTCTGTTCATTCAATCAAAATCTGTCTGCCTGTCAAGCGGCGCTGGGAAAGAGAATGTGGAAATAACTCATTTGTTTATGTCAAAATAGACAATATTAGGTTGACATCCTCTTCTTCTATTTTTCTCCAATATGTACTCAACCACAGACGTACGTAGTCTCCATCATTGACGTGTCATTAACTTATAACTTCGGTCTTTGTGGATGTGTTAAACTTTGAATTCGAATCCTTGGAAATTACAAGTATTCCGAATTATTCCTTCTAGTATTGGTTGTTCTATTATAGTTTGTTGATTGGTTTGTGAGTGTGATTGTGTTATTTTGCCACGTCGTCTGAAAACTTTGCACTCCAGGAGGTGGAGGTGTAAAATTATCAAGACATGCTTTCCCCAATTCCCACTGTTGTGAATTTGAGCCTCAAATTCTAAGGCATCGATGGGTTTATGCAATACTCATTGGATACCAAGGTGAAATATTATAGATCTTGTGTACTAACTACCTAATTAGAACGACAATGTAGGTTCGAACCAAAAGAACGAAAATATTCATGAAACTATACGGCAACACCTTGATATAAGGCCTTCAGTAGCAAAGTATATTCCACTTCCGGTGATAAGATCTGATAAAAATGGCCACTGACTACGATAATCTGAATCGGAGGATGAACTTCTTCACTATAAGAATCTAGTACATCTAGTAAAAGATGTTGAGAATGTGTGTACGTTTCTATGGTTACCTCTTAGTTACCCTCAATGTCATTGTTAAGTCAATATTGTGGCAAAATAAGTGTTGACGAAAAATGTTTTGGGGAAAAACCCAGGCTCTCGATTTACTAGAAGAATATGAGGCCATTCATACCGATTTACCAGACCACGTCGACATTCTCTTAGTCGGATGTTCAGATTGCAGACACGTGCTGAAAACAATAGCTAGAAAATACCGCCATAAAAAAGTTAAAGTAACCTTCCACGTGGTGGAATCATGCATGGAGCTCATAGCCAGACAATTGATGCTACTTTATGTAGCCCTACAACCTCAAGACGCTTTGGGTTTGGACCAAAAAACGAAAATATTCATGGAACTTTACGGCAACGCCTTGATAAGACCTTCAGTGGCGAAGTATCTCACTTCCACTGCTTCGGATCTGATTCAAATGGTCACTGACTATGATTATATGAATCGAATGATGAGCTGCGTCTCCCTAGACATCAAGTACAAGGAAAGAGACTACATGGAGAATCTCCTGAAGTTCTGGTACAGCAAGGATGACTTTGATATTTGCGATAGTTGGGAGCGGAGATTAAGGAAAACTTTGGGAGCCAGATACGATTCGAGGGTGGGAGCTTTCGATTGGGATTTGCACATGAGGTTCCGGAATGTGGGCGGAAGACAGGTTAGTACTGTCTAGGGTCCCTTGATGGAAATTGACGTAAAAGTCACCTTAACAGGGTACGGACAGATCATAGCTGCATTCTTTTTTAATGATCTAGAGACTTTAGTTTTGTCTACTGGCATCCCTGACATTGCTGTCACGTCACATCCATAGGCGCTACAAAAAATCATTCAAAATTTCAATAATAGGTATGTACAGGGTGTTTACTTGTTGAAGATCATATGGCGAACGAGTTTTGTAATACTTATGATCCGATTCTATTCGAAATTGGAAGATATCTATGGTTTTCCTGGGTTGGAGATAATGATTGTTTCGTCAAACTTGGAAAATTCAAGAAGACCAATCCAATATACAGGCTGATTCACGGTGGATGGCACATTAGACGTTTCTGGAAAACGCAACTCAGGATTATTCTGAAAAGTTGGTGCCTTGACTTGAATAATTAGTTGTGTTCTATCGACCTGAAATAATTATGATCTGATTCTATTGAAGATTGGTATCTGGGGGTTTTCGGGGTCGAACTTTATGATTTTTTGTCAAAATTGAGAAATTCAAAATAGCGGATCCAAAATATGGCGAACGAATTTTGTAATTATGATCCGATTCTATTCAAAAATCAAAATTGGTATATGTGAATTTCCGTGGGGTCGGAGATTATAATTAATTCGTCAAAATTGGGATTTTCATGATGGCGGATCCATTATGGTGGACGAGTTTTGTAATGGAGACTCGATTCTATTCAAAATGGGTATCTGGGGGTTTCCGGGGTAGGAGATAATGATCGTTTCGTCAAAATTGGAAAATTCAAGATGGCGGATTCGATATGGCGAAAGACATTAGTTTATATGATTATTACTCTACCACAAATAGAAAATATGTAGGATGCAAGAGTGAAAATAACGTGACTATAAGTTATACTGCGTATACCTACATCTTTGTTACTTTTATCAATCATATGTATAACATGGGGGTAAAGTATATTCTATTCTTTATTTTCCTGCATATTTTACGTATTACTTTTTATCAGCCTACTTTTCGTCCTAGACAAAGTTTTATACATGATATACGTGATATTAATCACTCCATAAATTCTTCACCAAGCTGGATTTCCAAAAATATATTGAGCACACATAAATAAGTACAGTAGTTTCGGTTTCCATCATTTCTCAATCATAAGGCTCAGCTCATTAAGCTGATAGATAAACTTCTGCTCAGCTTGAAATCAGAATTCATTCAGTCAATTCAGTCAACCCTAGTATACAGTCTAAGAACAGTCTCTCTTAGTGAAATATATTAAGCTTTCAGTACAATTTATATGTTCCCTACCTCGCAAAGATTATGCTGGAGTAGTAAACTCTAAATCTAGAGGACTCTTCATCTATATCTTGGTATAGTTGAATCGGGAATTCCATATGGAAATTACGTATGATACGCCAGTGACCTCAATATAACCTAAAAAACAACGAATGTCAAAAATCTAGTGTTTTTCCCTAGAATTTGAATAAGGATGGAACTATATAACTGTTTCACAAACACTTTAGAGTGAGAGGAGACGAGAATCTGTCCGTACCCTGTTAGGATGACTTTAACGTCAATTTCCATCAAGGGACCCTAGTACTGTCCACAATGACATTATGCTGGGTTTATGGATTCGACAATACTATGAATTAAACTGAAACAACTATATAAACCTGTTGAATATACAAGGAAATAATATCTTTGAGGATTTATACATTCATGTCTGTCATTTAAATTGAGAATCTAAAATTGAAATTTGGCTGACTTTCAACTTAACAACTAAGAATTAGGAAATTCTCGAGGGGAAACATGAAGATTGGTGATATTTAATTGCAACATTTTTTATGGATTCATGAGTTGTGGAGACCAAAATCACTTTTTAACAACATTTTGATCTTTAATCGGAAGACATTTCACATCTAATTCTTAATTATTATCAGATATATGTATAAACACCCTCATGATTATTAACTGTTGATTGTTTATTGATAATTCCTGATTGTTAGTTTAATTGAAACTATAAACCCAGCATTATGTCGATGTTGATATAGTGAAGACGTATAAAAAGTACCTACCTCCTCTCTAACTTTAGAACGACACAAGCTAGCAAGATCGGGTAAAATTCAGGTGAACAGGTAGCTACCTCTTTTACTACTTTTTGGCGTGGAAATGGTTGTGGTCATTTGGCCTAGTGTCACGTGAATTTTACCCCACCTCGCTAGCATTGTTCCGTTCAAAAAGTAAAGGAGGGGGAAAGACTTTTTTGTTCCTCACTGTATATGACGTCACTTTTGTAGGCTGTATCAACAAAATATGTCAATTTCACCATCACCATCATCATCACCAGACTCATGGTTAAACTAAAAGTGAATTTGGGGACTCAAAGGCATCATACTTATTACTGCTACTTGTTGTCGTCCAATTGATAATGTTGGATAGTGCTAATCATGTTATTTGTTCATTCGATCACCATACCTATAGTGTCCTAAACTATCGTCTCAACAATACCTAATAGTATACTTACCCAATATAATTTACAATAAACTATTATTTCTATAGTGTATGATGAATTGATATCCACTCGTACAGGTCGTGGAAAGAATTGTGAATTAGTAAATTAAAACCAATAGTGAATTCCATTGGCAGGAACTTATGGAGTGTTTCTCCACTAAGTGTATATTTATCTCTGTTCAACACATGCGAGTGAGTAGGAAACATATACATTGAGTGCAGAAACAACACTTCACCAGTTCCTGCCAATGGAATTCGCTATAAATAAAACAAATTTTAGTGTTTTAGTTGGTGTCACAGACTTCTGACATTATATTTACACTGACGTGGGTGTTTTGTACGGCCCACAAGTGACGTCATATATCTGCATTGACAATATTGACTCGTGGAAAGTGTTCTGTTAGGATTAGGACCAAATCCAGGAAAAAAATTAAGTAGTTGGTTACTCTGTGGTTTTATATGTTATTGGAGGTGCTGAATTAGAATCTGAATTTCGCAAACAAAATTTCCTGGAACGTTCCGAGATAAAACAGCTAAATTTTCGCAGTTTTTTCGGTTTTTCGTCCGTTACTCGGAAATCATTCATTATATCGAAAAGACCGCTCTATAAAAAGTTGAAGTAGATGAAATTTCCTAGATGAAATTATTCTTACTCATGGATGAAGGACTGAAGGGTGCGGAGATAAAACCAGTTGAAAATTGACCAAATTTACTTACTTTTCAAAAAATAGCGTTGGTTTTCGCAGATAATTCATATTTTACGTATTACTCAGAGACAGAGCATCATGCACATATTGGAAGAGCATCAAATTTTCTATCGAGCTCATGTAAATTTCGCCCTTGTGAAAAAAAAGAACGGCTGTTAGAGCGCTCGGACTTGGAGACGTCTTATTTTAGTCGTAGTTGCCACACTCATGTTTATCCTTTCAACTTATATGATTTGGATCATATGAACCTATATTCATTGATGCTCTAAAATGTATGGATAGGTCATTGTTTTGTTTTTGTATTCTGTGGGGTCGGGGACAAGAAAAAAATTAAAATTCTGTACGCTGGAATTATAGTTGTGATAATTGCGATATAATAATTCCAAATGCTATAGGGCATTCTTTGAACATTTTGATAAAAAACTTGAAATTACCTATTTTGTGATGAATAATTAGTATTAGAATCAATTCTCGCTCATATGGGTGCCAAGGCGTCAGGGGAATGAGGCAGCAGATCGCCTAGCAAAAAAGTGCAGAGCTCACAATTTACCTTTCTGCAGAGATAAGTTACCCAGTTAAGTGGGTAACTGATCTCTGTCTTTCTGTGAGACAAGCAAATGCCACCAAAAATCCTATTACTGTTGAGCAACTCCATCAGGTAAACGAGAAGGAAATAGTTCTTCAACAATTCGTAAGCTAGTGAGTCTCAGCAAAACGAGCTGAAGCACTACCCTCTGAGCTATTATGAAAAAAAAAAGTCTAGAGGAGACTGACACTACCCGGAGAGCATCTTATTTGTGCATGTAATGTACCAGTCCGCCAAAGGCTGATGACTACCCTAGAACAGGTCTAGATAACGCCTGTTGAGGCGGAAAATTCAACCGTAGTGGTGCAGGTGGAGCAAATCGTGTTTCCTCCAGGGTACCCCCAAAATAGCTTGAATATGAAACAACAAGAAAAAAAAAACGGAAAGAACTGTACTGAAACTTTCTTATTTTGAAATCGCAGTGAGGCAGGTTTATAAAAGGAAACTCTTGTAACTATATTTTCTTCAGATGTGTGACATTTCTGATATTCGTTGCTATAGGAAACTTGATTTTTCTACTCCGTTAACGAATAACAAGAAGCAGGTAAGAAAAACAATATTCTTCCTAGTTGATGTGAATATACTTAAATACAGTGACAAGTCGAGAGTCATGAGTTACATGCTGACAGAGATAGGAATTCACATGGCTGGGACTCTCCTACATCAGGCAGTATAGTTCGTTTCTTCGAGGAATGCGTACATTTGGAATTAGCTGCGAAAACCGACGAAAAACGCTATTTTTTGAAAAGAACGCAAATTTGGTCAATTTCCAACTGGCTCTATCTCCGCACTCGTCTGTCCTACATTCATGAGCAATGACAATTATATTTAGGGATCTACTTCACCTTTCTATAGAGCGGTCTTTTCGATATAACGTATAATTTCCGAGTTACGAGTCCGAAAATTTTGCTGTTTTTTGCGGATATCTCGGAACGCTCCAGGAAATTTTGTTTGCGAAATTCAGATTCGAATTCAGCACTTCCAAAATGAAACCACAGAGAAACCGACTATGTGTCGTGACCGGACTTCCGTAGGTCTGCAATCAGGAGTACCGTAACTTCCGTACCAATGGCGTGGCGTTTTCATGGCTGGAGTCCGAAGTTTCCAAACCAAACAGGTCCCTAGTGTGTGCCCTGATACCCAACGGAGTAGGCTTTGTACACCATGGATATTTGGGAGACATGCAAACAGGGCCATTCGTAGCGTATGGTCTGGATTGTGAGGACGAGAAATATCTGCATACCAGCAACGGTCAAAATACGTATCGTGCAACTGACGTCACAGAGCGGAATTTGAAACAGATGTTCTTCGAGATCCAGAACCAAGGAGAGTACCGGCATCAGTCAACTTCAGATTTGAAGTTGGGCCCGGTGGTTATGAAGCAGGAAAAATTGGTTGTGGACATAAAGGGTTTAGATTTCATCCCTAGGTCTATGAAGAAATGTGTCGACTTGGAAGATGATATAAGATTCGCATCTATTTCGAGATTGGAGGCTATGAAGTACAAGGAAACCTATTTTGACTTGGTTTACTTTGGCAGTGCCCATCTGAAGTATTTTGACAAAGACTTGGTGGATAAAATATTGAGAAGCGATTCTTTATTTCTTGTTGAACATGAATTATTCGTCTTGGATCATAGAAAGAAAGAACTTGAGGAGTTTGGCGATCATGTCAAGGGCTTAATCGATGGTTTGGATTTGACTATGTTACCTTTTGATCCAGCGAACGATTCATACATCAAATATACGAGGAAGAAACAAATAAACCCTTAAGTAATGTTATACAATTGAAAAGAATATTTGTAAGTATGCTTTCTATAGGTATTATACCGGGTGTCCAGTAACATACTGTATTTTGCCACCACGATAAGCCCCATACAGAGTGAACTCTAATCTAGAACATTTTCCATCAATGTAGACATTTGAAGAATTCACTGGAAGTAGGTATATGAGAGATGTCTTCGTTGTGACCTAGGTTTAGAAACGAATTAATAAAGAAACAACAAATAATAATAGTTATTTTATTGGGCAGTGTATATCATCATAACACTATATTTACACCATCCGATCTTTTTTTGTCGAAAATTGTAGTTGAACGAATTTGCGTACTTCAATAATCTCCCCTTTTTAATACCCTGAAATCCTATACCCCTCCACGAAAATGATCTTCAACGTTTATTACATAAAAATATTTCACTAATAACATCAGCTCAGGTTCTTATACACTTAAAATTAACAACATTTATTTTGTGGCAAGGACATAAGATTTTTCCCAAATCAATACAACAATGAGCAAATTTTAACGCGTCTCTTTGTTTTAGGTAGGGTTTTATTTGTGCGCAAATAAAAATAATTTGTGCTTCATGTAATAATACTCGAGTAGTTAGGTATCGTTAAGATCGAGTCCCTCCTGTTTGGCACAAATTTAATAAATGTCTCAAACAAATCCCGAACGAATATTGCACAGCAAGAATCTAACCTACACAATCATTTGTGGAATGGCAATCAATTATTTCACATATGCTTTATTCGATAATCATAGAACAATCATTCGGAAACAAATAGGAATCACTTTTACATTATACATATTTTTTTTCACTTCACAATTCGTCGTATTTCCAAAATTACGTAGACATGTTGGAACTTCTGAATTATATGAAATAATCCAAACCATATACAGTTTGAAATAGTAAATGCTCATGAATTTCCGTTTGCGTTAAAGTATTTATTTGCTTTTTCTAAAACTGCCACTTGATTTTTCCTCTCGGGCGCCATATTGAACGAACACAGTTTACAAAAACGGCTCTATTGCCCCCATAGAACAACTGCGGCAGCAATTTATAACCGCTTTTTGATCTTCACGGAGGTGATCTGTTGAAATGTTTGTTAGAAAGAGATTTAGAAAAAGCAAACGAATGCTCGAACGCAAACGCATCATTTTTGGGCATTGACTATGAAAGAAAACTTTAAATGTTCGGGATTTTTTGCATATTGATTGAATTATGTTTTCATTAATCATAAATATTATTTCATTTAATAATAAACGATTGCTTGATTATCATTTTTGACTTCGTATAACTTATAATGCATTAAGAGTTAGAGCGACTCAATTATGTAGGAGGTACTTCGCACTGAATAATGTGTTAGACAAAGACAAATTAATACCAGAAACGCTGTGTTAGACAGAGATGAGTATCTCTTTACCTTTTATAAACATTTTTTCGTCGAAGTGAACATTTTAAGTAATGTTTTGATATACCATCATATTAAGGAGATCGAAAACTATCGAAAAAATGAATGAAAAATCCAGGTCCGTATTTAAAAAAATGAAGTTGATGATGACTGCTCGAAGATTTCCGATTTGACAATTTCATTTTTTTGAGGATGAGAAGTGGTAATGATGAAGGGACATTTATTTTGAAATATCTCTTCAAATAAATTGAGAAGAAAATAAAAACGATCTTGCATCTGCGGAAATAATAGAAATATTGCTAATTTAGAAGCAGCATTTTGTTGAGCATGAAATGTGGCGACTTTGCCCTAATTTAACCTACTCTATATATCTCTTAAGGTTACCGATGCTCAGCCACGACTTTGTAACACCCTGTAGATTACCGAATTTCATTTCTAAAGATCGGTCAACGAGTTTCAAATTAAAGGGTGTTGAGGGTTGAAATCTAACACACTGTATGTACCTACAACAGATAAAAAAATGCTCTATGAATAAGTAATAAGATTATTCGTTTGTAACGGTATTTCTTGCTAAGGAATGAGTCTTCCAAAAAATTCCCGGAAATAAAAACATTTGGGAAACTCCCGAGTTAGAGTCACTAGATGGTATTATAGTTTGATAAGAATTCGGACACAGAAAAGACAACTTAGTGTTTTTGAATGTTTAGATTCATTAATGATGGATAAGAACAATTTTAGAACAATTAAGTCACACACCTTGCATTGTGACAAGAGCACTATAGTCGTTCTGCGCTTTTTCATTCAAAATTGTTTGAATTTGACAATACATTTTATGAACGTCAGAATCCGAATATAATTTCATGAACAATTGAGGAGAAAGCATAAATGAAAATGATGAATAATATAATAATGAATTGTGGGAGTTCTGAGAAGAATGGATTTCAATTATTCAATTTTCCAAAGGAAATATCAATGGAAATATCAACCATTCTCTTACGGAAAGTTAATTTGAAGACAAGCAAAATTTGTGGGGTACTTACATTAAAATTAACTTCTTATAACAAAGCAGATTATATGTAGGCCCATTTTCGAACAGATGGTTTTAAGATCAATTTTAGAGAACCTACAAAACTATCTATATAAACAAAATCTATTATTATCATCACACGAAATGCAAAACAGAATCATCATGAAGAGAGAAGAATTGACTGCAAAACTACGTAATAAAATTGAGAATATATGAGTACGAAACTGTGGAAATCAAGTAAATAGTGTGATATAGGTATATAATTGAATGGCGTTTTCAATCTCGACCGAACTAGTTATAAGTATATATGTGTCTATTTTGTCATTTTCGTTATATAGGTATCTATAAAATGTTGTTATATGCATTCTTCTCATTTTTAGATTTGCCGTATCTCTATAAATTGAAGTGGGTGTTAATATACCCTATTTCTATTTTCTATTGACGGCTATGATTGATTTGACAGAAAAGATAAGCTCTGAAAATAGAGAAGACGAAGAGCAGAATATATGTCTTATTCTTTTATTCACTCAAACCATTGTAATATAGAAAATAGAAAAGGACAGCAGTTTAGTTGTGTCCGAACTCTTTCCTACTAATACCATCCAGTTACTCTATTTTAGGTCATCTAGTGGTTATTTGAGATTCTACAACCATTGTTATGAAAAATGCCTTTGGAGTAGCAATCATTGTTTACCTCAGTTTTTCGAAGATGTGTAAGTATCGTGAGTATACCTATGATTATCGTTTTTCATTCGTGTTCAATTTTGCATTTTCCTACCTACTAGAACAGCAATTCCCTACTTTGTGGTTCCTTCTCGAATGATGTTTGATGTTATTCAGTGCCAAAAAATATTAACGAGATTATTTATAATCATCATTTTCTATCGTTAGCATAATTTATTTGTACCGATGATTGTTCTATGACATCGAATGATTCGTCAGTTAGTTGAAATAACCGATTTATACATCGGGACTTATGTTTATATGGACGTTATAATTGACATTTATTTACTTATTGAAAAAAATTTTGATATAAAAGTGGGGACAACGTTCAACATTTCGATAAACAACTGAAATAAAATTATTGTATTTCATTATTAGTGTTTAATAATAATTAATCTTCAAGGTAGCAACAAAGTCTATCATTTTTTTCGGTAATTTATCTATATACCATACATTCGACCTTTATATACACTTGCACACTACTTGCGTTGGACTATGTTCATATGTGTATGCAACTCCCCTAAATGAGCATTTAGAATTGTTTCGTCGAGGTGAGGAATTGTCTACTCAATTTTGCAATATAAATTGTCATTTTATCAAAGCATTCAACTAATCTATGATTGAATTCAATAAAGTGTACTCACGACAACTTCTTTATATTTCTTCGTTTACTTATCATATAAAATACGTGACATGATTTCGTACTTTCATCAAAGAAAAAGTGATCTCAAATACCCTGTATATACCTATATATACATTCACGAAAACTTGATGGAATAATGAACCATTATCGAAGTGAAATGGAGTTCTAGGCTCAAATCATATATGCCTACATGTTTCATCAGCGGATATTCTCTAAATGCTCATGTGCTTCACAATCATTTTGATTCAGACTTACATCGGACAAGCTGAAAAATAATTAGAGTGGCGCTTTGACGAACACCAAGTTTTTAATTCGGATATACGGTTCTCGTTTTCTCTTGGATGCGATAAAGTGGATAGCATAAAGATAGCAGTCAAAGATTTTATCATCATCCAAACATGAGTACCCACCTACAGAGTCTATGAATTATTTTGATCTAAGATAATAACTCGGAAACTAGCAAAACAATGCTGGATGCATAATTATCTATCTGAGTACTTATTGATAATACTATACTACGAAAACTCTACTGAGAAATGATAGTTTTAGGAAATGGAAGATATTTATTTCTTCTGCTCCGTTTTTTGATAAAAATCACAATTCACCTAGTTCTCGCGAGTTTTTGCTTTGATACTAAGTTATATCCATAATAACATCTAATGCAATGAAACGAAAAGCTAAGGTCTAAGATCTTCTCCGATAATGGTTCATTTGGGATTGACTAAGAAACGAGGAATGATATGTATGAAAAAAGCTACGAAAACTTCAAAAGCCGACCTACTTGAGTATTTTATATTGCAAAATGAGGAGGCCATGGAAGTAGGGGTTCCAACCCAATGGTAACCTTCAACAGCTAATAGATGGGAAGTACCCTGCTTCCATGGTATTGAGTTCCTAAAACTATTTCGTGTCTTACCCCTCCTCGACTCTGAAAAGGTACTGTACATTTTTATCACCAAAACGAATATTTTCATATAACGATTTATAAAACTTATTCGAATCATTTTCAAAATGAGCAGATAAGGCTGCATATTATACATTATTCTGATTACAAAATATGGATAAACAGAATTGATGACATCTACCTTTTTTACGGATTCCTATTACGTTCAATCATGATATTATACAGGTACTAGAAGCACCTATATCTATAGTGATATTTTTCAAATCTATTATAATTAGATATTTTGACATCAGGTATAGTGTGTATATATCAGCCAAATGAAATAAATTCGATAATGGATAAACGGGGTCGATTTATATTTTTTGACAATAACTTTTTAGTCATTTTGGTCAATACCAACTTTATTATTTCAGTTGCAAACCCCTGTATTTTGAACAATTACAAGTCATGCAAGTGCCCTTCTGAACAACTGCGATATTATATTCGTGAAGATTCTCCGTTTGTGTGCCGCGTTCTAAGCTGTGGGGTGTTGAGTTCTTGATCTGTTATTCTTTTGGAGCAGATAATGAAATACATAACTCTCCCAGAACAGTAGGTAATTTTTGACATATACAGGACTTTTTTTTCCACTTCCGATGATGGTATCGATGTGGGAGAAAGTGATGTTCAATGAGTATGAGAGTTAATTCAAATTTCACTTTTTCATCTTCATCACAGAAAAGAAGAGAAGTCTACAATTCAATCTGATGGACTGTTCTTCTCGGCTCATGGTCTTGATTCACCAGGTATCTAGTGTCTCAATATTTGTCGCCACCCTTACCTTTTGTGATTTATAGATTCAGAGAACGATATATGTTATAAATCAAAGTACCTAGCTAATGACAGGTAAATAAGTCACTAATGACAAGTGAATAAGTCACTAATCGCAAATGAACAATAATAAGTCACTACTGACAAGTGAATAAGTCACTACTGACAAGTGAATAAGTCACTAATGACAAGTGGATAAGTCTGATGACAAGTGCTGTGTTCACTGAAGGTTATCAATCTGAAATTCAATGGAACAGGTTAATAGTGGCAGGTGTACTTTCTCAAGAACACAAATATTTTTGTAATTAATAACTTGTTTCTTTGTCCCAAATAGTATACTAGTTTTGACTTGCCACTATCAAATATTCATTTTGGGTGAGTGCTGTTTTTTTGTCCTTGCGAATTTATTCCATTTGGCTGATACTCACTGTATATCCGAGAAAAACTTAATAATTCGAGATCAATACATCATATGGCCTTGTAATTCTGACTTTTAGCAGAACATCAAATTATTCTGAAATTGTTTTTTCAGTAGGAGTTGTATATATAGTAGCGAAAATCAGATTTTTGTACCAATACCTATAAGAAAAATACATTTCGGTGTGTGGAGAATTCTTAGATTGTTGGTATGTTATCAATTCTGTTGGAACCCACTTCAACAAACGAAATCCTTTTTAATGATGAAATTTAGGCCATACCTACTCGGCACTGTGTAGTTTATCGCTAAATAGAATTTGTGACTAACTTACAAACTACAATAAAAAATCTTTCCGTCACCGAAAAAGTTCGTAATAATGTGGTGAGCATAGTTCGTCTTCGAAGCCTTCAAGTTTCAAGCCAGTCATTTAAGCAAAAAATGAGCTAACCATCGATTGCAAATGTTTTCGATTTTTGGAGGATCGTTATGAAAGGACTGAGTGATAATCAAGACATTATACCTAGTCCAGGGACAATTTGTTTTCGAATATGTAGTGTTTCCTTCCTAATATTCATCCAAGGTACTTATATGAGAATAAGTATGGAAAAAAATTGCATGAAAAAAACTATTTTCACCAAAAACATCGAGAACTTTTTCCTGAAAAGTATATTTTTGAAAAATTAATTGAGTGAAAAAAAAACTGAAAAAAAATTGACGCCTCGCAGAGATTGAACCCCAGTCACCAACGTGGAAGTCAGATACTTAGACCACTAAGCTATCGCTTTACTCGTAGCAGCGTAGTTTCTCAATATGAAGGAGGAAGAAATATCATGTGTTATGGGTGACGTCACTTGACCACAATGTCTGAAAGATTTGCTGGTCTAGCTAGGAAATCCACCAGAAAATAAAACTCCGAAATCGATGAAGGACTCGTATTTCTCTATAGTGACTGGCTTCTTCTGGCTAGGTAAACGAGTGTGCTGACAACTAAGGCAAAATCGGGACTATTCAAATGTGACGTAACCCACGAATTTAGAATTATGCATGCACCAAAAAAGTGCACGGTGTCTGGGCTCCACCAAGAAGAGAATGAACTAGTCTTTTTCGTTTTTCGTCAATATTTTTATCAGTAAATACTACAGATTGACTTGAGCTGGAACCAAACAATACGTCACAATGGATTTTCGATATAGAAAATATTACAGTAATATGAAATTTTCGATTATTGAATTGTTTTACTTCAGCCTCAGGCTATGAAAATATTGACAGCGAAAGATGAACTTAATTCTCTTCCTGGTTTTGCAAAGACTTGACTAGTGCGTTTTACAGACGATGCATGGTATTGGCGACCTAACATGGATAACACATTTTATGTCATACATATAAGTAGATGATCCTAACTGTTTTATTTTAGGAGATCAAACCATTGAATGAAAAACCTAGTTGGCTTCGATTCCATCCGCTTTGCTGCTTATGTGATACCATTTGAACAGAACCGTTAAATTTCTCTAGTTTAAAGTTTCTCCATAGTGTATCAGAGTTTCGCAAAGGTCATTGGGGAAAAAGAACTTCTCCTTCGTTGTGAATATGGAGTATGACATCATAGCAATCAGGCCAATGAGGTTTCTCATTTATTCTAGATAGATATGTTCGGCCATGACCACACATCATCTCGCACAGCATCAATTATATATTTTCAAACAAATCAACAGCTATAAAAGTCAGTCGCTTAATCGACTGCACAACACTCAATACGTCTATATGTTTGTATCACTCCGAATAGGAATCACGGTAGTCCGAATGTCGTCAGTCTTTACAATGATCTGATGATGAGGCGGGCGGAAATTCCGAAACAAATTCCTGTCTAACGGATAGTATAACCTGCATCGTATCGAAGCGTCGATATATTGTCAGGATACTACAGTCATCTTTGATGCACAACGAATAACCACTTCACAGTTTCAGCGTAGGTACGTATAACGTAGTTAATTTGGCACTTTTAAACATCCTAATATTTACAACATCTATTATTCGTTCGAAATTATCTCCTTTTGATTCTTGAGGCGAACTGAGCATTCCTTCGTACGAAAACATATGGAAACATGTTTGGGTTTGAAGTTCTTCTTTCAATCAATCAATAACCACAGAGAAGATGAAAACTCCCCAGACGATCAATCAACGGTAACGTGTGATAACTAATGAACAGTGAGATATAATGTCTCTAAGCTTTGGTATATTTTTGGTAACTAGATCTTTTCAATACTACTAGAGTGAGATCACTGACTTCAAAATAACTACTGAGCATGTTATTGAATATCGGCTAATAGATTAGACAAATTTAATGTTGGGTAAACTCACCTGATCGCATCTTGAAATGGAATAATTCGGTCCATATTATTGGAAGCATTCGAAATTTTGAATTGAACAAATTCATATTCAATGATACTGTCTACTCATACTATCAATATGCCCTCAGTGCCTGCGAGTTTCCATTCTCATTTACAGTTTCGAACAAAGTTTCGATTTTTCTATCTACACGGCGTGAACAAGTATTATCGAATTGGTTTCTAGTCCTGTTAAACGTCGCTCATTCTTCTGCTCAACATAATCTAATTTTTGCAAGATCTGGTATAGTGAAATGATGACGAGCTCTGTTTGAAGGGCGATAGGTTACTTTACAGTTTGTTGAGGTCAACTTCATTGAATGACAGAGCTCGTGATCATTAAATAAAACCCGATCATCTGGATTCAACCATACTTCCCGCTAGGCATCGTGATTATGAAGCGTTTAGTATTCGGTCCGACCTTCCATCTGTCCCTGGTCGGACCGAACCCTAAACGCACAATATTGATAGATCTCGATCATCCAGCGTTTAGTCTTCGGTCGGACCGTTCACCTCGCACAGGGGCCCGATTCTCGAATCTGTAGGAGTTCGATCCTATAGGAGAATGATACAATGCGTTCAGTTCACATAGGAGATAAGAATTTGTCATGAAACCTATTCTTGAACCAGATGGAATCATTTTTCCCAGGGTATTGAAAAAGTGCCGTATGTCGCAGATAGTTTCTTGAGCTTACAAGAATTCACCAATGAAATAGGTGGAATTCATGTTGGTAATTGGTGGATGACTAAAATGAAATGTTGACATTTCGATTTTGACTAATTTTGAAGTTATATCATAATATGATTTTGCGACGGTGAGATTATTGTGTAATATTGTATATTTACTATATGTCCTTTGATCCAAATGGATATGGATACAAACAATAATATTGAAAAACCACGAGGTGATAGTACTAGCAAAGAGCAAAAGAGACTTTTAATAGAAATAATGGAGGGCTTTGAGGACTTGAGAAGGAAAATTTCACCCCCAATTCACTTGAGGGATTATAAAGTACCTATCAATTTTCTAGTAATGTCTTTGGACAAACGAAAAACTTTAATGAATTGTACAGCAGACAAACACTCAAATGGGTCCCTTCTAGACAGAAACCTTCTTCTTAGTCTCGTAGCAGGACCAGAACCATATTTTGGAGTCACCGCAAGTGTGTCGGAAACAACTATCTCGGGCTGGGCGGAGGGAAAAACACTCACGTACTGGTCTGAATTACCAGGATTAACCCATTCGAAGGCGTTCCTGCCTGAACCATCAGAAAAAATAACCAGGCAGATCCTAGAATGGAGCAGGGGTAACCTGCGAATTCTGACTGGACTGCTTACGGGACACTGTCGTCTAAGATACCACCTGGGAAGGATGGGTCTGAACCAACAAACGGACTGTCGGTTCTGTTGTGTGGAAGACGGAACGGCTGAACACATTTTATGTTCATGCTCTAGCTTAGAATGACTAAGTTTCGGCACATTTGGCTTCACCAATTTAGAACCTATCGATTTCAGACAAATCTCACCCAATTCAACCATGAACTATGTAAAAAGATGTGGATTGTACGGTGAACTGTAACCTCTAGGGGTGAGCCACAATGGACCTATCTGGGGTCGCAGTGGAGGGAAGGTATTCGCCCCACTCACATCGAACCTAACCTAACCTAGTCTCGTAGCGAGTATTTCAGCCACTTCCAAATTACCGTGGGAAGCAGTTCTCTTGAAATGTGTGTAAGAATGGTTTCCCATACAATATTTCAAGAAAAAATCATCTCAAATTTCCATGGGAAATATCGTGTTTTTCCACATGGAAACAAATTCCAACGGATTCGAGAATCGGGCACCAGGTCGGACCGAACCCTTAAAGCACAATGGCGGTCATCAAGCGTTCAGTCTTCGGTCCGACTGTTCAGCTCTCGCTGGTCGGACCGAACCCTTTACGAACAATGGCGGTCATCAAGCGTTCAGTCTTCGGTCCGACTGTTCAGCTCTCGCTGGTCGGACCGAACCCTGATCGCACAATGGCGGTCAACAAGCGTTCAGTCTTCGGTCCGACTGCTCAACTCTCGCTGGTCGGACCGAACTCTGAACGCAGAAAGGCGATCGCCCGTTCAGCCTTCCGTCCGACCAGTTGCTCGCCGATCTCACATCCTGTTCTCGTCCGACTGAACGCTCAACCGCCTCGGCAACGTCAAGCCCCGCCCCCTACCGTGGAACCGCGCACGCGTATACGTCGAACACGGCTCAAACGTCGACCGTGTCGCCACGCCAGCGGCGTTCAGTCACTATCAGTGTTTATATTCCGGATACCTCTTCGGCCTGTGGATGGTGGCGTGGTCGGGATGCTGGGGCAGGAGTGCGCCGGGTGCATGCGCGGGCGCCCGCGCGATGCTGGGCGGCTCCTCGCTGGTGGAGCTGCTCGGCGAAGGGTAGTACTCGCGGGGCACGACGCTGACAGCGACGCCGCTGACGCTTGCGCTGGCAGTCGTCTGCCCCACCGCATCCTCACTGGCCCAACGGGCTAGCTGTTGTTGAGCTTGAATAAATTCATCACTAGAAAACAATTAATGTAACAGCACACTACCAGATGTTTGGTAGATGAGATTTATTCAGTAGCAAGCTCAGAGTAACTTCACAGTGGGTCTCAAATTCGATCCCCACCTCGAATATGAGAGATGGAGAGTCGGTTGAATCACAAAAGTGTCAGCAATTTCAATCTTGATTCAGAATCCGTTAGGAAATCTAGACTAGCTCAAGTCATTATTGAGTTTAAGCATAGCCTATTATTTGTAAGAACTGAACGAATCCAGTCTTGATTTGAATGTAGATACAGTGTGGCCCACTTCTAATGGAAACACCCCTGTATATCTTACGTAATCGTTGGGTGAGGATCCTGAAATTGGCTGGAGAGAGAGATATACCAAGAATGCACTCTATCACCAAGTGGTGTCATCTTCAGTGTTATACACTGCTCGCCAACAGCCATGGAACCACCAAAATTTCCGGAAAACGATATAAGGAGTCAAAATAAGCATGTAGGCCTAATAATCGGGCCCGTTATGCACCAACCTCCTGCTGGAAATGGGTTCAGTCATGAAATTAGCCGATTTCGCGAGCGAAAGAGCCAGCCTTTTGAACGACATCCTTTACACACTCTCTTTGTTCCAAACGATGTTCTCGAGATGCGCTTCCCGTATTGCTGCTACTGCTGGGATTTCCGTGAGGATGTGAGTAGCTGACTCCTCATCCTCCAGGGCTCACCAATATTCAGCATCACCAGCGATATCCATAATGTTGAGGTGCCTGTTCAGATGGCAGTGCCCCGTGAGGAGCCTTACCACTATTAATATTTATTTCCTGCTCAACAACTGAGATTGGTTCTGTTGTAATCGCTGCTTCTTGTCTTGCCAGGTAATCGACATTTCCGGGTAATCTGGTAGATTAGGGGACCCAAAGAAGTTTCAACTTAGCAGCTCATCAATGCACCGCACTCTGTATGATGAGAGGGCCTTGATCGCCGCCTGGCTGTTGGAGCATATCGTGATTAGCTGGCTGTGGAAGCCTCTATTGATATTTTCTCTAACACAGGCGACTATAGGAGGAATCTCTGCCTGAAATACTGTGGCAAAATTTAATACAGGGTGTAACTGAATTCTGCTGATCCACCTAATCTGGAGCCATCTATGCACCAAATGATTCCAGTGATATGGATCATTCGGTGCCCGAAATGGTCCCAGTCCTCCCTTTTTGGGATAATTAACTTAGGCCTTCTGCTGAATCTAACGACGGGAGTAGAAGTGTCCCTCGTGATCTCAAGGAAGGAGCATTCTTTTACCGTCCGAAAGTAGTTGAATGGTAACTGAATATCTCGATCTGAATGATTGAAATCGATTGTTCAAAGCGTTAATGATGAAATGAATATTTGCTGAGCTGTGATCTGTTTCTATCTGGATATGAAATGGAAAGTGAATAATTACCTTTCACTGTCAGGGATATCTCCACAAGGTGCCCCTCTATCATGGTCAGCCGATTCATAAATACTCTCCTCCTCGGCCTGATGGTGGCTCAAGGGATGGGGATAAGGCATTCGACCAGTTGGTTGCCTGTAACAATGGTAACATGTCATTCGAAATATATTCACCCATACCTTAGTATAGAACCTTGGGGAAAACAGTAGTTTCAGTCAGCACTTTTCGTGTTCTAAGAATCACAGTGCGATGTCCACTCGTGGCTAGTATGCACAGTAGCTCAGCTAGCAGGGCAGGTGTTTTGTTTACACTTCTCTGATTTATATGCCTTTGTGAGGTATCCTACTATGTTAGCGGGAATTCTTTTGAAAAATGTTTACAGCAACATAATTGTGATTTATGTGAAGCTTATGCAAAGTCAGTCCTTGGACGTATAGACGTGAGTCAGACGTAAACTGTACCCCATTATTCCTCTATACGAATTATTGCATAAATTTCGGAAGGATGTAATCCAATGTTCTGCGTGGCATAAAGCCAGGAAAGTAGTTGTTTTTCTCTCGTTATCTACCATATTCGTACATTTTATGAACTATTGTGGTAATGACTTTGAGTTCCTCACTATTTGTAATAAGAAGAAGATCTGCCAGTGATTCATACGTTTGTGTTCTTTCTTGCTTTGTGTGATAAATGTTCAATTGTACTAAGTTCTAGCTGAATGTACTGACCAAAACATGAAATTGTACCAAAATTGGGTGAAATGTACTAATGTACTGAAGGGCACAAATTGTACTAAATCTATACAAATGTACCAGCTCTGGCAACACTGTCTGTTAGGATGCGCACCTGTAGCGACCGTAGACGAATCGAGCGTCCCTGTGCGATTGGTGGGAGCTCTCGCTGCAAGCCGAGGAGGACTCCTGTCGATAATGCCGATCGGCTTCGGTTTCGGACATTCGGATGTCCTCGGAGCCGCTCGGGCTCATGTGCCGCGAGTGATGCTGTAGCTGCCTGATGAGGTCCTCCAGGTTGCGAATCCGAAGGGGACCGACGGGCAGCACGTCGTCTTCGTCTTCTTCTTCGTGTTCTATCACCACCTTAAAGCAAACATTTTCATTTAATCGCACAGTAAAACGGTAATGATGAGAATCTTCTCGTGGAAGAAATTTAAGTTTTCGATTTCTCTTCGGTTTGATAAGTTTCTGAGGGTGCCGAATCCGAAACTGAAGTTTGCCAATGAAGCGAAATTTTTGCACTTCCTCCAGTGTTTTGTCCGTAACTTGGAAACTATACATTTCATCGAAAAGATCCCCTTGTAGAAGCTGAAGTTTATTCGATTCCCTATACATAATTGGTATCGCGCATAAATAAAGGACTAACTGGTGAGAGGCTAGAGTAAGTTGAGTAATTTGCGAATTTGATAATTTTGACTCATCAGCATATTTCGAGTATAGTTTCGTTAACGTACGTTGATATTTAGGGTATACGTGAAAGTACGTGAGATAACGTACACCTACTCGTACCGTACCCACTACCAACGTGAACGTGAAAATGCGCATGCGTACCTGTCGATTTCTACGTTCTACTCTCTGTGTTTTCTGGGCATAGCATATATGCGCCGTAGCATATGCGCCATACACATCATATCTGCCAACCCACCTGTTGCTCGCATATATCCTCTTTACTCCCGCTCCTCTTGTAATCCGAGTAGCTCTCAGCACACTGCGCCAAACTCCTCCGCAACAGCTCCTCGCTGAGAGCGCCGGTACTGCCGCTAGGCGTCGTCGTACCGCGATGAGAGGCGGCGTTCCTCAGCGCCTTGATGATGTCATCGTGGTACCCGTTGAGCGTCTTCAGCGTCCGTTCGACGTCCTGAGCCCCTGAACCGGTCATCAGCTGAGCCATGCCAGCGTCGGCTAGCTCTTCTGCTGGTGAGCCGTCCGCCCATGTTTCTTTACCATCGCCCATCATCAGGCCGTAGTCGTGCTTCTTGAGGATGCCCTTCTTCTCGGGTAGTTTGAGGTTGTTGTGCTGGAGGTCGATGAAGGAAACAGTTTCGTCCTCGCCTGAAAAGTCTTAGGATACTCTTTGTGTCTGAGTGGTAACGAGGGTAGGATGAAATTCGATGTAAATGTGAAAATACAAGAAATGAGTTCCCATAGAGATATTTTAGTTTGTGTACACGGAATAGTACATGCGTTAATGACGTTACAGGATCTTTAATACTGTGCTCCGTACCCCTCTACTCATTTTTGAACCACTTGGTATATCGCAAAAAATTCGAAAGACTTGAATAGAAGATAAAAACCTACTTTTTTATGGAAAAAACGACAGCTCAGAGTTTTGAAATGACGGCTGAGCGCCATCTTGAAAATTTTTCTGAATTATAATATTCTCGAAATCTCTTCACAACCCTTAACAGTTTCATCTGATAGGTGCACTTTACTCCTGCATTGATATTTTCGAGATATTTACATTTGAAAAGTGACATACTGGTCATTTATAACCCAACAAGAACTTGATTGTTGCTTTCAGTCAAGTTTGCTTTGAAAGAAAAATTGTTGTCGCTGTAACACCTTGTATCTTCCTAAGCATACTTGATTGGAAACATATTTCGAATTTTTGGTTGCGCTCATTGAAATAACGAGAATGTCACTTTTCTAGCGTTAATATTCCGATAAATATTGAATCCAGGATATTGGATAGAACTGTTGTGAATGAGAAGTAGTTTTCAAAACTTGAATGATGGCTGTCATTTTTAATCATTGAGCTGTCGTTTTTGCATAACAAAGTAGGTTTTCATCTCCTATTTGGGCCTTTCAAACTTTCTTGCGAAATATACTAGGTGGTTCAAAAATTAATAGGAAGGGAACGGATTTGAGTCGGGTATAACCCTCGTGTATATTGATCAAAATTATAACTTCAGATTATATGATCTTGGGTTATATTAACTTGAAGTGGAGTGAATTACCTGATATCGTTTGATCATCTTCACTTGCTGAACCTACTCCAATTCTCTTCAGCTGCTGTAATTTGTCTCTGGAATGTAAATATATTCAGAATCGAATCAAAATACAGTGCCATTCGTAAAGTTTGCATCATATGGGAAAAACTTCTGATGGTATTTTTTTTTTGGCTACTTGGCCGGTGACACGTGACTTTTGCTTTCGCAAATTAATCTAGGCTTATTTATGGGAATTTCGAAAAAGTTCACCTAGAATATTTGTTCCTATTACAATTTTACCAGTACACCGATAAAACTAGCTTTATCATGCTAGTAACTTTCAGCCACTAATTATCGACACAAATATGCTTTTCTTCAGAAAATGATGATCCCCGTTTTGAATTTCTGTTATGTTTGATGCAGAGTTCATATATCGTATATCATTCAGGATTTCGAAATAATTTATTTTTAGAAGTTTGAACCATATTATGCCAACTTGATGAATGACACTGTATACTAGTATGTATGCTAAGATCAATCATAATAGGCACACACACAAAAACTCAGGAAGCTGAGGTGTAGCTGATTACTGGACCAGCATCCAAGGAAAAAAGATCAATCATAGCAATTTGGAATCTTCCGTTGCCTTTTCCAGAATATACAAAAATATATTTTATTTCTATTTTTGAGAAATAAATGTGAGTTCAACCCCTCATTTCGATCATAAATCTGCATGCTTTTCTCAGTTACTGAAAATATCAGATGAAAGATATATTGAGCTTATTCATATTTTTTCATGTTATAGTTCAGTTTGCATCTTCTGCTGACTGCGTCTCTGAATTCATCCATAAGCAACCATGATCTTCATAGATTTGGCAATATACGATTGAAAATCAGACTATGAGGAAGAATTAATAGGTACTTACTGGAAATGTGATGATCCTCCAGAACCCATATGGTTTGCAGGTCTGAATAGCACCCTCTGGGAATCAGCTCGACTAGTGAAAAAATATTGAGAAATATATATTTCCAAATGAACCTTCATCATTCATATATCTCAATAAACTCTATTTTACAACTTGAAAATTGATTACACGAAATCAGCATCATTTTGAATTCTCAGATACAGAACTGATGACAATTGAGTTCGCAGTTTTGTTGAAGACTGCGGCAGATATTTCACAAATAACAGTGAACTGAAAATCACATTTTCTATCATGAATATTACAGGAGTATAGTTATATATTTCAACTCCAACGGAAACATAATATTTGTTCAAGAAACATCGCAGAGACTGAAACAAAGAGGAACAGCTACCACGTGTGTATATTCATTCGTTCATTTGCATCACTGATGAGAGCCTCTAGAATCAATTATAATAAATTTTCAAGTTGTTGGTTTCCAAACATGAGCGTTGTTTCACAAATCTCAGACCACCGATCTAATGAACACAGCAAACTATAGTATGATCTACTAATCTAATGAAGGCACTTGCATTCACCAATCCTAAATATATACCTACGTCTGCTAAAAATAGAAATGATGCTTGTTTCATACGACCTTCCGCACTTGGTGTGAATAGGAATGATTATTTGTTCTAGGGAATGAAGTGATGATTAATTGAGGAGGGTTCCAACTGTGCTTTATGAACTACATATATTCAACAGATGATGGAATTCGTTAGTGAAATTACAGAAAAAATAGAAAAAAAAAATTTCCAGGCCCTATCTGTGAAAATGAATAAAACTCAAAGTGTTATGTTTTCATGACGAGCAGTAAAGGTGAGAGATGGCAAAAATCTTCAATAGAATCTTATAAGTTTCGAGTAAGCTTCTGCTAGTACGATATGGTTGTCTTTATAAGAAAACTGCCATTTCTCTGATATAATACATGACGTACAGATTATAAAAATTGTGCTGACATCTACTAGTTACATATCTTCATATAACTTACGTCGAATTGAAAAATGACCGACATTTCATGCAGATACATATTTTTTTCTTTATTAATTCCTGTGATCAGAATCCATCACTGTAACTATTCAAAATGAAAATTCAAGAAGTTTACGTTGAATGGAATGAAAATGATGAAATCTTACAATCCGAACAGTAGAAGCATGAAAAATAGATCATATCGCATACGACTTAGTGACGAATGAATGTTAGTGTTCAGGATTTTGATAGACGATATAAGTATTAAAGCAGAAACAGAGAATATACAGTGGCTATATGGAAGGCTCTTGCTGGTGCCCTGAAAAAAGTAAATATATTACATGTTCTCAACTTCAACTTCATGAGGCTGTGGTAGTCGAAAGATTTCCAGTTATTTCCCGAGAACATATTTTCAGAATACAACCACACAGAAGTTTTAGAATTTTTCAAATTCTACTAATAGGGTGAACGATCACTATTGTTATGAAGATAAAAACTCATTGACGACAGATTTTCACAACCGGTTATTTCGTATTAATAATCACTATAGATGAAGTGAAGTGATGAAATTTGATTGATACAAGTTGGTACCTATTTCAAGTTCTCTTCATCACACTCTACGTAAGTGAACTATGTGTTCAAAATGGAAATTAGATTTGGAAGAATATCAAATTTCATACGAATTTCAATTGAGAAGTGAGTTCAGGAATAATGCCAGTTCAGTTCTATCATCACAGAGAGGATTGAGTTCCTATAGTTGATATTCCTGAAGGTAAGATCGAGAAACAATGAGATAAATCGTCAAAATACTGGATGTTAGCATATATCAACTATGATAGAACCAAAATGCTGAAAGTGAAATGAAATGTTGAATAAATATACAAAGCCCGAAGTCATTTCCACAAAAGTTCGAAGCTGGTAGATAACGAGAGAAAAAAAAACGACTACTTTCCTGACTATATGCCACGCAGGACATTGAATTGCAGATGCAAAACTCCTCGCGAGTATTAAATGCTGGAATGTGTTCACGTTGGGTCAGGTTTAGGCATGAATCATCATTTAGGAAAGAAACACTTGCGATTTTATTCGTCTATACGAATCGTTGCATAGATTACTGGAGGATGTATAGTTCTGCGTGGCATATAGGCAGGGAATTAGTTGTTTTTCCCTCCTTGTCTACCAGTTCCGTAAATTTATGAATTTTCGTGGAATTGGCTGAGATCTTTGTGAAGGGTCTCCCTATAAGAACGCGCGATATCTGGCAACAGCGCATTGAAGTGTGATTCAGACTCACCAGGCAAAGCTGCGGCGGCCATTTAAGTGACATAATGTTGAAAACAATGTCACCATATATCTTCCAGAATAGATATTGAGTTATGTCCGTTTCACTTGAAATTTTCATTTAATTACATTCTAAAGGTAGAGGGTTCTTATTGGGAAACCCTTTATATTTAGTGAACATAAAGCATATTGCATATATTTGAATGTGATTTCTAATGGTGGTGACAGATGTTGTGGCGGAACAACTGGCTTCCTAAATCGGAACGGTCATGTTATGAGAGATGCTAAATGATGAGATATAAATATTGCAGATCGATTCATACATTGTTGTGGTGATGATACGACCCTCGGTTGCCATATCGATTCAATCGTATTTTCATCGAAGGCTTTATCGCTGCATCTTTGGTACGTATCCCTATGAGAACATGACCAGCTACTCGTATTAGTACCTTAACTCATGGAGTGAGTATCGGTGAAATGTAAGCGGACTGTTACATATTATAATATGATGATATTCTGAGAGGAATCATTCATAATATCATCTGATCAGGATGATCTCATGATAATTCTATAATAATCCTATGATGATCTACAGAGACGGAAAAATTCTTGGGATATAGAGCACATTTCCATCAACTGGCCAGGCAATCATCATGCGTCCTTCTTGTAATAATCAAAGGAATACCTATCTAAAGAACTACCAGGAATCGAGATCTAGACTAAAACTCAGCATCTTATATACTGACCAGCCAAAAATCACCACAACACCCAAAATTGTTCAAGTACCAGTTCAACATTATCATTTAACTGAATTCTGAGTCATATTTCGATGACTTTTGTGTTACGAGGAGAATCATTTCAAATTGGTACTGACATTTTGGTGATATGTTCATTCTGCTAGTCAGTGTACAGTCGTCTTCAGAGATCATGTGGCGGTTGAACGGTGCCAGCGCTCTTATTGTAAGAGTTATTAAGAATGCCATCATCGTCCATGTGCGACATGTTTTCTGAAGACGACTGTACATCAACAGTCTACAATCCATCATTTCACCGAGTTGTGAGTCAGGCAGTTTTCTTATCAAGCCAACGATATAACTGGTAAACCGCAAAAATCCACATTTTTTCATTCCATGAATGTTCTAAAAACCAAAACAAAAATAAAAGCATGCAAAACCAGTTCACCGATATCTCATTAGAATTCATGAATTGGCAGATATGTCATGTTGGGGTGAATATGCGGTCTATTCTCCTTTCAATTGCCAGTGCTAAACCTACAGTCTCTTTGAGTACTGCGCTATCCTTAAGGTAAATGGTGATCGTATCCTGAAAAACTTACCAGAAGGATGTAACACTGCCAGGACCGAGCGTTAGAATCTTGTTAGCATTATCTAAACTGTCCTCTTGAGAGTGATTTCCCGCCGAGAGCATGTAGTTTTTCTGAATAGGTTGTTTGTACGCCTTTTCGTATTTCCTAACAGTCGTCTTCCTTCCATGTCGTATTTTTTGTTAACAAATTGGGTGAGGGGCGAGGAATATAAGAACCATATTAATACGAGTGTATTTTTGACAGAGATACAATTATTAGAATCGTACCCCGGTTATATGTGATGCTATCACTATCCTTACACAACGTTTGGTTTTGACAGGAAAATATCGGAAGAGGAAACACAGTTATGGAAATGAATCTAACAAAATTCAAAAGTTATGTATACTCTTCGAACTTTGCTATAATGTTCACTAAGTAATTCATCATTGTATGGTTGTTGAGAATGTGTAAGTATGTATAATGGAAATGTTCAGATTTGAGAAAGGAATTATCAACATCGTCATTGGATAAAAACTAGAATTCGCGTCACACTAATGCGAAACTATACTGACTCATCATTTGATGATTTTCATCATTTCAAATTAGGTTTGTTCACGTTCACACCATCTTCAGTCCAAAACCATCACAAGCATGCGTATTCCACAGATTGCGTGTTTTTGTTCCACCCAAACTAGTTTGGGAATTGGTTCAAAGCAGTACCAGCTTGATGACTGTTGTAAATAATTGAGGATGCACATTTTATGCAACATATTTTCAACCTCTAACCTTTCATAGTCAAAGGATACAAGATGAAGACTAGAATCATTTGAAAAATCGATGGGCATATGAGCTCCAGCTGAAAGTTCTCTTATTCAAGTTCAGTGATAACAAATGTTCTTGAATTTTTTATCTTCATCTGCTGGAAATCCTCAAGACTCAATCGGAAAATGGTGATGGTTTTGGAGAGGACACCATGAACCTATACTCAGATAGATGATTCAGGGATCAATTTTGGTAGTTGTTAGGATTCTTCCATGAAGAATCAACATAAATATTTCCGAAAAAGAAGATGTGAAAACGAAAATAGTATCTGATTCTGCGCAGTCTAAGTCCCGTTCCAACAATTCGAAACGCGAACAAACCTGATTTGAGTTGTGAATGGAACAAGAAATGTTTAGTTGTTTGCAATTGAAACCTCTAACCATGAACTGAATTATACCGTTTGCAAAAATATCCTCAAAAAATGAATGAAATGGTAGTATATGGATAATTGTTTTGGAGGAACAGATATCTGGAAACTGGAGAACTGGAAACGGGCAAATAAGAGGAAACCAAATGTTGTGTACAGGTGGTTCATGTAAGAAAAATACAGTAATAATGTTCGCGAAAGTGTAGGATTGAGCTGAAGAGATATATTCGAATTATTACTTCTAGGATGGCTCTGGTAGAGCTCAATAATACACTTCGCTCCATCTGAATCTCTTCAAATACGATGAAATGCATGCCAATAGAACTGCAAAAGTTGTGGAAGTGTCTTGTTTTGTGGAAATACATTTAGAGTTTCTTTGTTCTTGCGTGTGTGGTACGGAAAAAGTGAGAAGAGGAAGGAAAGGTGACATCAAACACTCTGCTCACACCAAGAAGCCGAATAAATAATGAATTTATGCAAATTCACGAACGTAAAGGATATACATTTTGCTTATATCATGCTGCAGGTTGCAAAATTCCTCTCAAATGATTCAAGTGATGATGCTTAATGAATCCAAATATTTCATTTCATACGTACGTACATAATGAAAATAAAGACTGTTTCAATTGAGAGGCATTTTGATAATTGATGAAAAGAAAAAGTGAGCATGCTAATGTTATTCCAAGAGACTGAAATTCATAGTGAACCTATTTTTTGTAGTAGAATTGAAGTGATACTTTTTTTTGTCTTTGTTCGTATATTTGATAAGTATAATCTCACAACTATTATTACGAAGAACTTTCTATCAACATAGTAGCCTAAGTTGATAATTCTGAATATATACATAAAATATTTTCAGTTCATCACATATGTTATTTTGTGATTTGTATGTCATCATCATGATGAATATCCCTCATTTCTACTACTAAAAATTGATGAACCTGATGGAATAGTTGCAAGAGAGGTCATGCAGCAGGAAGTGGTAGGTTGCAGTAAGATTTACAAAATTCCGTAGCGTCCCATTTTCAACGGTGGAAGGGGGCTATTTCTATTTTGATTGATTGTTTTGAGATCCACCAAGTGAAGTTGGCTTCGGATACTAACCAGAGTATGAAATATCGAATGCGATTTTGAAAGGACAAGCACATCAACGAATATCGATTTGTTATCAGGATAATTGGAAGTGTTTTATCAGCTTGATGGCGAGAAACTTTCTCCCATTATTTATCCCCTCGAAAGGCCGAGTTTAATTAACAGACTTTGAGCCGGGTTGATTTATTTTTCTTCTAGATGACGCGATATAGAATCTATTTGCTGATAATCGATTCTCCAATGAAATACGAAATTAAATTGGGCTCTTCCTGAAACCATCATTTCCAGGAAGCTCAATCCAAATCTTCATATAACTTCTTCATGATCGTATACCCTCTTCTGAATGCATCAACTTTGATTGAAATTTTTTTGTTGGCTTGATTGCTTTCCAAATTAGATCCTCTGACGAAGAAGAATTAAGAGATTTATAATTGTGGATTCAACTGATCCTTCGCAAATATTCAAATACAATTCAGTTAAAATTCGAGTGGATATCCTGCTAATTTCAAAGTCGCTGATTTTTCTACATGTATATTTCTGAGGGGTCTTTACTCTAAATGAGTAGATACATACTGGGATATCTAAAGGTGTGTATAGGGAGCACAAAATCAGACTTGATTACGATACACTAATATATAGGGTGTACCAACATTGCAGGTGCACAAAGCTACCACGTGTAATAATACACGTCAAAATAAGTTGATTGGACCCAATTTATTTATATAACAAAATGCACTGTTTCTTCGTGAGACGAGTTCAATGTTTACATGAAAGAAGAAACAAATTAGATGAAATTTGACGAAAGTGCATTTCATCAGTAGGGTTGAATCCACCCTCACCCTCTCAGATTTCTTGAGCAATATGGCTGATTGATTATCTTCATATAGCGTACAAAAATGTGTTTTTTATTCAAATTTTGAACTCGTCTCACGGACAAACGGTACATTTCTATATATAAATTAGTTGGAAAGAATCGATTCATTTTGAACTGTATTGCACGTGGTAGCTCTATGTCTCAGCAATTTCAGTACAGCCTGTATAATTACCCTTTATTGAATAGGTATTCGCTATTCAGAGTAGTCGAGTATAAAATTGTGCTACAAATCCATCTAAAACTATGGCATCTAGATGGGAGATTAACTATACCGGGCGACCATTTGAAATCCCAAATTAAACAGCATCCTGTGGCTGATAGAAATATTTAACAAAAACATGATGGCCGTACTGCCTCAGAGGGTAACTTTCCCAGGAAAATTTCAGAGCCATTCCTGATGTACTTTCGATGAAGCTAAGAGTATCTAAATAGAGCTTGGAGGCAAATGAAATAATGAGAGTTGAAAATTTTTGTAGGATGAGAACTTGAAAATCAAAAATCGTATTTCTCCACACACATTCAGTATTATCCTTGAGGCCATCAAGGTTTGTTGAAGGTCAAAAAGTTACACAAAATACCACAATAATATGAAGAAAAGCTTGAATACTCAGTATTTCTTAGACTAGGAAAGTTGAGAAATCTTTAGTGAAATACTACATTCGTTATTAAATACTATATGCACAGGAATTCAAGTATTTCACATCGTACAGTTTCGAATTAGACCTGACTCTAGTTCAGAGGGTGCTCTCACGAATATTTTAGGTCGTATTCTTCGTATGTTCGACCATAATTATTTCGTTTTCTAGATACGACGGTGTTTTCCCTTTCAGTTTTTCCAACACTCTTACATTCTATATTTACTGATTGCCAAACCTGCAAATCAATGAGTACGCATTGACAAAAGTGTATTGGGACTTTCTTGTTGTGATTTTTGCACAATGCTTTTTCCACTTTTTATCTGATGAAGTCAAATTCAATGAGTTTTATCTTAAGCTGCCGCATGATACAAACAATATATATATAATACGTGCATGTACATGACGTCACTCACAACACACGATTCGATCCAATTTCTCCTCATTGATGCAGTTGAAAGTTAACTAAGTATTCTACTGCCACGCTGGTGGCTCGTGTTCAATCCTCGCCAGGGTCAACTCTTTTTTTTTCAATTTTTATTTTGTTTCGTCAAGTATTTGACGAAGAATATACTTTCTAGGAAGTTTATTCCGGTCAACTTATTTTACATTGTTTGAAAAAAGTTATCTTCTTTCTTTAGCTCATGCAGGAAGGATATTTATTTTCTTTCCTCATAATCGATATTCCTATGTCCATATTATTATGTCAAACGAGGAAAATTAGTTTCCCCCTGTTTATCATAACTACATCTTGCATTCCTTTCCATATTAAAGAGTATATCATTGAATTGCATTAGACTGTTTTTCTTTCTTCTTTCTTTTCAATGGCCTCTGTTCTGTAAGACAATTGGCCAGACCAATGGCAAATTGTAGACTGTTACATGTGTCTTTAATTAGAATTTAGTCATCAGATCTCCAGTGAAATGGCAACTTAGTTTTCGAAATACGTATTAAGCTTTTCTGAATATTATTGTGCAATTTGGACTTTCCATCCACATAGTCTGAGAGCCAGCGCCTAAAAGATTCTCTGAATTCACTGAGCCTAAGTAAATGAATTGCAATTTATTTATTTTTTGCATACATTGGGGCTGACTGACCAGCTCCCGTCTCCACAGTCAGCTGCCTGATTTTCATAACTTTCATTCATATAAAATATACAATGTGTATAATGATTTTCAGCGTTAGTAAATTCCTTGAATTACCTCGGTAGGAACACCAACTTCGATAAAGTATACCAGGGACATCTGTTCTCAGTTTCGCTTGACTGACCGCAGTTTGTTTGTGTACAAAAGCACTGTGCTGAGCTGGTTGAAAACTAGGCTTAGTAAATTTTTTTGGCTCTGGCTCTCCGTCTGACAGTCCCAAAAACCGCTCTCGCTAAAATTGGTATACGGTTTTTTGATTTTGATGTGCTCAGCCCTGAGTGGCACACAGCGTTCAGTCAAGCTTCGTCAAAAAAATATCCAAAAAATCAAACTTCAAGGCGGATGCTGAGAAAAAACGTGGATTTTCTACCTGGTATGGCCTGCTCACTAACCTTAGACAGAGCGAGTAGTTTTTGTGTACTACAACTGACCTGTAGCATAGGGCCATTGTAGCAAACACTACGAACACACCCCCTACCACCGACATGAGCGTGCCAACTAGGAAAATTGTGTTCGAGCCGTGATAATCCTCTGCGCGAGGTTGCGGCGGAGTGGAGAAGACGGTGTTGACGGGTCCGGGTTGTCGAGTCACGTGACGGCACACGTGTCCGGCGCACGACGCACGACGCATGCATGATACACAGGCGGAGACAGACACAGAGAAAGAAGGAAAGCACCATGTAAGACAGTGACTATAGCCATTTTTCTCGAAGTCAACCGCACAAACCAGGCCAACAATATGAGTTAACCAGTCAATTTTCCTCGAAATAAACTGGTCAACATTGATAACGTCGTGGTCCAAAATATAGCCTGAATTCAAAGTAGAATAACTCACGAATTTCCTAACCAATTTGAAATCGGTTTTTACCGATGACTAGCCTAATCTCTTGACAGTTTGTTGTGGCAAAATGAAACTTCCGTAATTTCAGATAACATTGCTACAGGGTGATAATTGAATGGGTCTAAAATTGCATCGTGGTCTTCACCTTACCGTTGGAACAGATAATTTTTTTATTTTTTTTCTCACCGGTATCCTCTTGATGAATGCTTTCTCTCGGAACGTTTTCGGAATTTTCAAATTCAGAGCTTTGATAATGGTGTTATGAACATCCATTCAAAATGATGCATTTTTTCGACGATTAATTGAATGGAATTGGAAGTTGGAATTCTTTATCGAAGAATCAACGTGGTATGCATAGTCGTCGGATATGGGATTGTGTTAGAACACAGAAAATTCTGAAGAAGTCAATACAAAGTGATACAAGAAATAATGAATGATGGAATTTAGGATAACGTGGTCTTCGTATAAGCCTCATGAGGATCAACTGTATTTATCTTCATAAGTATGAAAAACATTTTATCGAATTTATGGCAATTCTGCAGTCTCTTTCAATTTCCGTCGTATAAACCTCGTGAAAAGCTACTGTATTTATACATCTCACAATCTTCGACAATGACCGACACTATATTTCTTTTCGGGAACATAGCGATTTTAATCACGTTTAAACATATTCTTCTTCATCCCGGGAAAATCTGGACATATTTTTTATCGCACCTTGTATATCCATCGTCAAGAATAACTATAAATTCCGAATTTCATAATTCATCTTGACGAAAATGTATCAGTTTGATTACCTGCGTACCTTCATTATATGACCTCCGATCCGAGAAATTACAAAACCATTTCGAGGTCAGACACCAGACATCCTCATGACGGAGTAACACTCCATTATACCACTAGTAACACAAAAAAATATATGTTTCATCCATTGAAGACTACGTTATTCTCCATTTCATCATTCAGTATTTCTTGTATTATTTTGTCACTTCTTCAGGATTTTCTGTGTTCGAACACAATCACATATCCGACGACTATACATACAACGCACGATAAAAGTTGGAATTGAATGCCAAAGATTGCAGCCAGTCGAATATGCTTTTAGAAAACTATTTAAAATGGATGGTTCAGATATTTTGACGGAATAAGTACTTAGTTAGTTTTTGAATAAGGAATAAGGATAATATCATATTACTGATAACCAAGAAATTATTGATTTGTAGTAGATGGATAGCTCCATTCATTCATAAAGTTGTCTTGGATTTTGAGTAATATTTTCTGTTGAAGATGTTGCAATGATCGATTCCATCGAAATGACCGCTAATGACGAAGCATTTCGTTTCTATACATTTATTTTCAATACCTCATTTCCATTTTCTTAGCAAACAAGCAATATAACCTCAACTGAAACCAGAAGGTATGACATCTGTCAAGCTTCACAAGTGAACCAGAAGTCTATCGTTACGTCAATAAAAAAGTTAACCTGGTTTGGATGGTTACTTTCGAGGAAAAATGGCTTATATTGTGCAGCCTGTTGTGGAGGTCTCAAGTTGGTCGGGATATTGAATTGAAAACGTTAGACTGCTTGGTCTCACGATTTGCCAAAGGAACTGCTAATGGTAAATGCAAGAACACGCCAAGATGTATGGCTCACGCTGTAATAATAGAGTATTTCCAAAACAACTGATGCAAAATTTACTAATGCAATAATGATGTACTGCAGCATACTCCACAAAAATAATATTTTTCTATAGATAGGTGGATTCTGAAATGCTCACAGTTCAGGATAATGTCTCGAACCATACTGCTAAGATTCCATCGTTTGACTCCTGTAGACTGAAAGAATGATAATGTCTCAAATAGACTTGGATCAATTTGTTCTGGAAATATTCTTTTCAATCACGCTGGATTCTTTTTGTTGTACTGTCTTCAAAGGATTACCCTGATTGCTATTATAATCGATCCAGATAATCCAAATATTTTTTCAGTGAGGCTGTGTTATATGCAATATATAATTTCGAAATCGATACTTTGAATGTATGGCGATTAGCAGTTCATTTGAACGAATCGAGAGCCTGAATGATCTGAGCTAAGACAAAAACCATTGATCGACCTTTCAAACAGCTTTCAACTACTAAAAGGTTATAGATCTGGTCTGTAGCTTTTTCTTGAATCATCTTATAACATGTCCTACTTCTTCATGAAAGTGAAGTGAACATCCATGAAGTATATGTGGAACATGTGTTCGAGCAGAACTGAAAAATTGAAAAATCTATTTGATGAGGATGGTATTCTAGAAATCTGCTCTCATCAGGAGATGAAAAATCAACCAATATCATTGATGATAGTTTGCCGTTCGATCAAATGTTTCTGATCTGCATCTTTGATGGAAATAAATCTTTTCGCTCAGATATTCTCGAATTCTTGTATTTTCATTCATTTCCCGACCAGCAAGTTTTCGACAATACTGACACAAAGGAACTACTCTTCTCATTTTCGAAAAATATTTCATTGCAGCGTTTCTTCTGGTTCATTTTCATTTTCATATCATTGAAAACTTTCTTGACTCTCTACTTCCAAAGTTACTTGAAAGCTGACAATTTTCAATATTCATAGTTGAAAAAATTAATGCCTATGAATCAGTATCGTTTTAACACTGCCATTGAACATAATCACAATATTATGTTACTTATGACACGTGATGATTATGTACAGTACACTCAGCATATCAGAACCAATAATCGGAGATGTACAAACGGATTGATAATTGAACGAAAAATAAAGTGTTTCAATTCAGTAAGTCATAATACGAAATACGAATGATGCAACTGAGTTCTCATCCACTATATGGATATGGAAAGTATGTCATCACTATAGAAACCATATTATTATATTAGCCGAAATTTCCTAACTACATTATGAACGATAAGGAACAATATGATTCTGACAAGTATCAGGAAATAGTTGATGAAATGAGAACAAGAATTCATTTCCAAAAATATACTACAGTATTATTCTTATTCAAACATATATTCAGTTATATCTGTATTTTTAATGTCACATTGATGCATACAATATCATGTTGTGCAAATACAAGCCGAAATGGAAAGAGCCCCCGAAGTTTTATATTTACTCTCTAGAAAAGATATTTCAGTCAGGTATGCTACAGTTGATGATGGAGCTCAGTTGATCATGGTATATTGAACATGTTGTTGTTTCGTTCATTTCAATGGTTGTTCCCCTTTTGATTTTTTTATCACTTTATTATTCATTCAACATCTCGATGAACACTCGCACGTAAGCCTATATGTACAAAATACACCGACCAAATGCCATTTTGTGCTTCTCAGTAAAATACCACGAACGAACACAAACACTTCGATCAACATTATTTTCGTTGCTGGTACCTGTAACAGACGGCTACTACTGCGAAACAAATGAAGACGCCCTTCACCACGCCTACCAAGATGAAAACCATGGCTAGCGTGCTCAGGTTACCCTTTTCGTGGGCACCTGTGGAACATTTCCGCTTTGAACAAATATGCGCCACAGGTCATTTGATAACGTTCTGATGACATTGAAAACTATGGGAAAACATGTCTAACTTTCAAGTTTCAATCTATGCCAGGGGCTAGGATGTTTTCCAATAGATTTTGAGGTCATCGCAACGTCATCTAATAACAGCAGGTTGTTGAACATTCACAATAATTGATTGGAAAAAATCCGTGAAGCCTATTTCTGTTGAGGCCGATAGTGATTCGCTAATTCAAGGATGTTTCTTTCAGATTCGTAAATTTTCTTTATACATGATCAATATACTTCTAGATTTTCAGTTTGTTAGGAGATCAATCGCGAATATGGGGATACAGCTAAAGGGACTTCAGATTGTCTAACCCTTTGTTCCCTGAACCACCTCCTTTCAAATTATGGAACTTCGACAGTCAAAAGATTTAGACACTTTTAGTTGCTTTCCATAACTTCTGATGCTATCAAAGTATTCCATCACAGGTTCTATCAACGCGATGAAATTGAGACGGTCAGAAACCTTCATCAACGTTCTGAAACTGATGCAACTTATATTTATGATATAGTTTTGATTGTTACAGAACAGTGTTTCATCACCTGTTTCATCAACGAGATCGAAATGATTCATCAAAAGTTCAAACACAACATTTACAGTGAATAGTGTTATCACAAGTCTGCCTAGTCAGTTAACGTTAGGGTTATTAAAGTTATATGTGATTATAGTTTCTTGCAATGTTGATTTTGGGTTTAAATTACAATATTGCGTTTGAAGAAGGTGACAGATTTGAATATAATGGTGATAAGAAAGAAAATCCTGCCTTGCCTTTATGGATATCAATCTTCTCAAACGGTTTGGGTTTTCTTGACAAGAATGACGGATATGTCAAATGTAAGCCTCTCAGAAACATGGAACATTTGGAATGCATCAGAGATGGAGATAATATTCTAGTCGACTGATTCTTAGAAGAGTACTATGAACTTATCTAGAAGGCCCTTTCATTCAGACAGAAAATCATTACTTCCCACCACCTTCAGTAGTGGCAAGTTATTTTTTGATTTAATCAAATTGAACTATGTTCATTTTATTTTTCCTATTTATTAATTGACTTGAATCTGAATCATATTGCAGGTATGTCAGATATACTATATATTAGGTCAAGATTTCCATAAGAAAATGACTACCTCCACACTCTCGAGGAGTTCCGTTTTTTTTTATATAAATGAGTACATCACTAAAGATCTCGTATTTTTTCCACATATCATCTAACAAATTTGTATCATCTGCATCACATATAACAAAAAGTTGAATGGAACTACCAGATATTTATTCTTTCTCTATTCTGTTCCTGATTGAATATCAACCATCCTTTCAATTATTCAGATACCTTGTGTCTCTGAATAGGCCAATCTAGAGTTGTGACGTGGAAATCAGTCACTGACTATTTACCTTCATATAATCCAATCAAAATGTGGTTTCGAACAGAATTATCCTAATGAAAAGGCCTTCATCTGCTTGTGACTGCCAAATGAAACCAACAATTCGATTATCGGAGTTCAGTTTTCCATAACAAGGAGAACAAATCTAAAATACTTGTTATGTTCTTTCACTAGTTGTGATTTTGTTCTCATGACATTCCTGTATATTTCTATATATTTTATTAAATTTAGAGTTGGTACGTACCGTAGGGGGTTTCTTTTTTCCTCATGTGTTCTTGTAGATTGGTCGGAGATATATCGGATGGTGGAGTTGGCAGTGGTGGAGCAACGGTCACTTCTAATTGTATTGAGCAATCGGTACCAGTCCAACCCACTTCGCAGTAGCATTTATTTTGATTCGTACAGAACTGCAAAACATTAGTGAAAGTTATCTGAAATCTGAATAAGTCTGGATGAGATCACAAGATTTTAACGTTCAAATTATAATATTGTTAGCGACGATGTTCAAATCACCCCGTAATTATTGAGAAGAACGCCTAAGGAATGTCTTATTACAAGCTGCCTCAACGACTCATCGGTATTCGTAATCATCGTGTGATCGAAGAAAAAAGCAGGTTCAGTCGATTAGCATCGTAGCCTCAGAACGAACCAATTGTCGATGTTGTGTTTTTATAAACGGTCATCTTTGTACAAGCCGTCCTGAGTGAATGAAAATGTGTTTGAGTGTTCAAATTGTGTCTATCTTCGATGCCTCCATTTAGAATCTCGAACCGAGGAATGACACAAACCCGTGCAAGACCGTCAATGTTTCAGGGACGGTATGCCATTTTGATAATAATTCCTAATAACTAGGACGCATTGGTCGATCGTGTAATGCTTTATATTCACTCACATCTTATCACTTCCGACCTGCCACGCCATAATCATGTGTTATTATGACTGTCAAACATAGCGGGTAATCCAAATCTTGCGCTCCTATTGACAAACCCTCTAGAAATCAGTAGATGTTAGTGGAGCGTTCAGGATCACCAACACTCCACTAACTCCAATCGAATCATTAACATAGTGATTCACTTGAGGATGTCAAGAATCATTGAAAAAGTTGTCCACATCAAAAAGAGTTGGGATAATGTGGATTTGAGGCAAAATAAAGATCTATGCCTGACAGGAAAGGCTCAAACGATTTCTGACACATACTCCGTGATATTTCCTTGCATCGCTGCGGAATAAAAACTATTTTCGTGAAAGATAAGCACTATCTGTATGCTTCAGATTATGTACTCATTTTGTTCCATTGGGCCTCTGAAGGGTTGAGTACCGAATAATTACCGCAAATCACATCTGATTGCTCTCGAATTCCACAAAGCCATTCCCAAAAGTAAAAAAAGACGAACATTATACCATTTCTCATGAAGAATCTCGAGTGAAACAGTTTGGGTATGATTGAGATGATAGTGGATTGATAGAGACGTCAGAATATGTGTATTGAAAATTACTCTACTCCTTGATGAGACACGGACACATATAGAAATATCAAGGAATCATCTTACCCCATGTTCGGAACATTCTATGTTGGGTTGATTGGAAGGGCATTTGTCCTGCTTGAGGTGAGGAAATATGCTGCTGCAGGTTTGATTAAGGCAAATGAGGTTCTCTCCACACGGCGTTCCATCTCTCACCAAACCCAAGTGAGGAAGATCTTCGCCTACTTTTCCTGGCTGACCTTTTTGACTGGTTGTCGCCCTGAAAAAAGATCGACACCGTAATCCATCAAAATCATAATTCATCATAATCATAACTCATCATAACCATATTTCATCATAACCGTAATCCATGTTCAAGTTTCTGATCTTAGTTTCCTTCACTCGAAAACGCATTTTTTATTTTGATCGTTTGTGCCAGAGTGGGACGTTACCTGGAGAACAGTTATATTGACGTTGTTTGATGAATAAATCGGATGTCTGAAATAACTGTATACCCCATCTCAAAATAAACTATTTTTCATAAGAGATCTTGAGTACAGTCCACTCAAAACACTAAACATTAAGGTTTTGGTCCTTCGAGCAGGAATTAATTTGACGTTTGTTGAAGGTTCTGCTTGATCGTTCACTGTGGATCCGGTTCGAAAGACCAAAACCTTTATGTTCATTAGACAACTAGGGAACATCAAAATACTCAAAGTGGAATAGAATGTTCACAAAGAGGAAGAAACTCAAAGTCATCAACACAATAGTTCATGAAATGAACAGAAATGGCAGATAATGAGAGAGAAAACAACTACTTTTCTGGTTTGTAAAGACAAATACAGCTGCAAGTGATTCTATCCTGATTGGGAACTTCACCTCTACACCTGTATTCGTCCCCACGAATCGTCGCACAATTATCAAGAGGATGTAATTCAATGTTTTGCGTGGCATATATGGCTAGAAAATTACTGTTTTTTTTCTTGTTATCTACCGTGTTCGTTCATTTGATGAATTATTATGGTAATGCCTTTGAGTTTTTTGCTATTGGTGCTTTATATTCAGTAATGCTTGATCGTTCACTGTGGATCCGGCTCGAAGGACCAAAACCTTTTAGTTTAGTGTTGCTTGATCGTTCACTGTGGATTTGTCTCGGAGGACCAAACCCTTTATATTTAGTCCTGCTTGATCGTTCTCTGTGGATTCAGATTAGAGTACCAAAATCATCATGTTTAGTGTTTTGAATGGACTGTATTCGAGATTTTCAGGGAAGAAAAGTCTATCCATGAATGATGTTTAGTCTTCCTAGATATTTGATTCTATTCATCTAACAAAAACCGAACATCAACATGACAAAAGTTCTCCTGGTTACATATCGCTCTGGCACACACGATCAGAATAATACAGTGCGTTTTCAAGTAAAGGGAACCAAGAACAGGAACTTGATCAATTCATCGTGATCAAAATTCATTATAACTAAGCAGATGGTCACTCACTTGCATTCGTATTCGCGTCCTTTCATGGATATGATCGTCCTGGAATGGTCCTGAGGTTGATCCAATCCTGCCACCACTGGATACCTGCTGCCGTGTGCACACTGCAAAGAACCGCACCTGACATTTTCAGGAGCGCATTTCAGGAATCTGCCATCGGCTCCTCTGCCGCAATGCCCGTTGATGGAGCCCTTCGAGTTGAATTGCTCGAAACATTGATCGTCAGCAGCAATTCCACCTGAAAATGGGAGAGATCCCATTCCAGTCTCACTTGTTGATTATGATAGTACTTTTATGAGGATAAACGCAGTATGTTCATGGGCTAGGAGACTGAGATATTCGCTTTTGAAGTTTTTGGTTTGTCCTTAGATATTTAACGACAATCGAAAATTGATTTTGTGGATTCTTGATTTTTGTGACATATATTCCTAGGAGTTCATAGGGTGTTTTTTGTTCAATGAAACCAGATGCTTTTTCGAAAAATCGACAGACCCCATTCATTCTTGAGGATCATCATTAGTTTACCAAGAAAACCAAGAAAGGAAACGGCACTTCTATGTAGTGAATTCAAAATACCGCTTTTTTATAGGAATTTCCTAGATGTGCTACTACATAGGAATGAAGACGGTGAGTGTGTGCTGAAATGATGATGATAATAATGATGAATTTCTTCATTCCAAAGCGCAGATGAAATTTGTATGAACAATTTCTAGAAGAAGAAACTTCATTAACAAGGTATAAATTTACATGAAAAATGTTGTTGCTGATGAAATAAATAAATGGAAAAACCCTACATCAACTCACAATACATTATTCTTTTACCTAGGTACATACATGGATAATATAAAAATAAAAACTCTCACTATTTTTCACATTTCTTTATATATTCTTCCAATGTTTGTTTCATTGCTTTAGAAGCATTGCATATTTGATTTGTTTATATTATATTTATGACAATGAAGCATGCCATAGCTGATTGAAGAGTAGCTAACAGTTGATTCTTCGTTGAGTGAACAAAGAGAACCATGCAACCGACCCTAGGCATCTTCATAATGATTTTTGAAGGCTATCCGGTCGAATGTTCAGTTGACAGAAACATTAAATTTATTGCCTGTGTCAGGCTATATCTATGCCAATATAGCTCAACTTCAAGAACTTAGTTATCCTAATCTGCGAGGCCTACTAGCAGAGGTGGAAACGAACTAGTAACAAAACGAGCAAGAACTCGCTCAATCGAGCGAGCTGTGGCAACGCTGAATCGAAGGCTCGAAAAAAAAAGAGTTTCCCTCATCAATAGTTCAAATCACGACATTTTGGAATATCGGCGTTTATTCTTAGGAGGACGTATCACTTACCGTATCCCCAGATGTGCTCACACTGTAATGTCAACGTCGGGCACACCCCGTCGAAGCAGAATCCGCTGTCCTGGCCGCACGGACTCCCGTTCTTCCTGAAGACATCCACCGGACATTCCCCCGACATGCCCGTACAGTGTTCCGGCAGATCGCAATCATTAGTGGCTTCCCTGCAAATAGAGTGACCAGATTTTGAAAATGAATTGAAAAAATATTGGAAAAAACATTGAAGTTCAAGACATTTTCCTATGAAATCTTCATTAATAGTTATTTATGTATTAAGGGAATTATGAGGGCCTTAATTACCGATGGCAAAGTTTGCGTCCCGAGGGCCTCTGGCCCGAGGGACAGCAATTGCCAGAGGTTATTAAGGCTCTATGATTCCCGTGATACATAGATAATTTTATTTCTGACTGATTTCATTCATTAGATACCTTCCCGATTGGAAGTTAGACATGTTTTTCCGTATAGTTTCAATGTCATCAGAACGTCAGATGATGATCTTGACTACCGCGAATAGGAGATTCCTTATTGCTACGTTATTGCGTGGTTGTTGCTAGGCATTTCTTATTTAATTTTAGCTAGAGGGAATTATAGCATCTATAACATCCCAAGGGAGTTATGACCCTCATTATAGATATCGTAACTATGACGATATAAGCTTATAATGTCAGAAATAATAATTATTAACATCATAAACGTAGGTATCAAATCCTATACCTAAAACCTTAGTAACTAATAATACATTAGTTACCATAATTTAAAACGTTAGTTACGGAAGCATAATACTATTAGAAATACACCTTTTTCGATTGAAATTCAGAATGCGTCAATTGTTATTCAGATTTCCCGAATGAAATTCAGAAAGTATCGATAATTGTAATTCATATTATCTGACTGAAATTCAGAAAGTATCAATTGAATTCCAGATTAGTCGAGTGGAATTCAGAAAACTCCAATGGGGGAGACCACTGATTTTTTAAAACGACATTATCGTGAACTATATACTGAAAAACTACCAGTGAATTAATTTTGAATTTTTTCATTCATGCTAAGACGATGAAAAAAATAAATTAGTATATGTCCATTTCCAAACACACAATTCCTGCGCCATTTGAAATTTCATCAATTCATTGGTGTGACTGGTGCGACGTCTTAGTCCCAACACGCCTATTGTCCTTGAACTGACGAATTACACTGCAACACTGCAGAATGACGAGGTATCAGAGAGAGATAGCTACAGTTCGGGACTAAGACGTCACGACTCCACCATCATATTTGGCTGTTTGAAATATCGAATGAAATATGCTGATTTCAAGACGATATAGATTCGATTCTCTTCAACTTCAACTCATAATATTGATTGTACATAAAATGTAAATCATGATTCGTTGATTGAAAGAGGTTTGCACGGATTTTTTCCCTCAGTGGTCTTCCCCATTGTAAATCAGATTTTTCAATTGGAATTCAGAAAGCGTCAATTGAAATTCGGATATCGCCATTTGTAATTCAGAATGCAACAATTGTAATGCAGACTACGCTATTTGTAATTCACACAAGTACCCAACTTGGAATTGAAAAAATATTAATTGTAATTCCGATTAGGCAAGTGTAATTCAGGAAAACTCAATTTAAATTCAGATTAGTCAAATGAAAATCTGAAAGCGTCAATTGAGATTCAGATATCATCAATTGTAGTAGAGAATGTGTCAAATCTTATTCAGACTGATGGATTTATGTGGGTATTCATGTAAAACCAGCGAGTTGACAGTTATGTAAACATTTCCAAAGGTATTCCTGTTCCATATTTTCTGAATTACAAATGAAGCTTCCCGAATTTCTATTGAAATTTATATATTTTTATGATTTCAATTGAACAATCTGAATTTCAACTGACGTTTTCTGAATTTCAATTGAATAATCTGAGTTACAAATGACGTAGTCTGAATTACAATATTGATTCGCTCTGAATCACAAAAATGATACTCAGAATAACAAATGTCACTTTCTGAATTTCAACTGCCACTTACTAAATTCCAATTGAAGCTTCCTGAATTTCAATTGATCAATCTGATTCACTCAACAAACTAAAAGATTTTTACAAAACTCTCAAACACATGACATGTTTGGCTAGCACAGCAGCTTCATTGTTCCTGAGGTATATCCATACCCCACGTGGGAGATACTTGAAATCTTCTATTTACGAATTCGTATCTGTACAAATAGAAATTCAAGCTTGAAACGAGCAGCCTGCAATGGTAGTCAAATGTTCATATCATCCAGGAGAAAACAAAATTGAGAAACATTGAATATATATATTATTCATTCGTTCATTGAAATTCATTATCAAATTCAAGTATATCAGTCAAATTGAGTTTGTTTTTCATTATTGTTGTTTGTTTGTTTCATTATTGTAATAAATAATGCAATTCCACATCGTACAACGGTTTTTTTCGTCTCCAAGTCCTGAAATTCAATTAAAACCAAAGGGGTAAATTACTACCACACGCGGTCCACGTTTACATGTTGATTGGCGTGGTCCCTCGTGGGTTAAAATTACTTCATATGAATCTAATAAATATTATGGATATTTCTCATCAAATACCACCTCAGATTATAACAACAACAAAAACTCAAATGCCCCATTCAAAAGTAATAACTACCATCCGTGAACTACCTCAGTGAGCTGGTTGGTGTGGTTAGTTGACAAATACATTAAAGTATGGAATACCTGTAGTTTACTTCGAGGAGGAATGGCTCAAGAGTAGGTACGTCTGTTCAACCTACCTGCAAACCTAACCTAACATAACCTCTAACATAACCTGACCTACCTGCAAACAACGCCGTCTTCGATCAGCCGGCAGTCCTCGCAGCAGGAGCCGGAGGCACATTGAGCTTCTTTGGTTAGTTTGCAGGTGATGGGGTCACAGCACGGGTTGACCTTGTGGCAGTTCTCTATGCTGCCACAGTCGCAGTCTTCGCCTTCTTCCACTATACCGTTTCCGCAATTCTTGTGATCCTGGAAATACGATTGATTATGTCATTGACACCTGGCTGCACCTATGAAATTTAAGCATGAGGGTGCTTTTTTTTTTATCGCTTGGAGCGCACGAAAGGGAATCCCTATAATGTTCAAAGAACATCGTGCGTTCCTAGGGAGGATAGGGACAGGAGGTAGGTATTGGAATTTTTTTTTGAATTTTTGGAGATTATATGTTGTTGGGAATACTTCCACAGGCAATGAATTCCAGAGCCTAGCCGTTCTATGGATGAAGGAGTCTTGATAAAGTGCTGTTCGACATCTTTCGAGGTTGACAACGAAAGGATGTGCTGACTGGGCTTGTCTAGTTCGTCTGATTGGTATTGCTAATGTAGGGATGATAGCAGAGATTTCCGAAGAACATTTCCCGTGGAAGTATCGATAGAAAAGTGAAAGGTCGCCAACCTTTCTACGGTGTTCCAATGATGTCAAAGAGTGGGTGAGTGTGGAGTCACCCACCAGGCAAATGGCTCTTCTCTGGATGGAATCTAAGAGCATCAGCGTACGTTTTGGTGCTGAACCCCATATGTTTGAACAGTATTCTAGAACAGGCCGTATCTGCGCTTTGTAGATCATGAGAAGCTGTTGAGGTGTAAAGTAGGTTTTCGCACGGAACAAGAATCCGAGTTTTTGTGAAGCAGCTTTTGCGATGGATCTGACATGATTATCCCATGAAAGAGTGTTGCTGATGGAAATGCCGAGTATAGATATGGTGGGCTTGGTGGGGATGGTGGAGCCCGACATTACAATATTGGGCATACTGAGTTCCGCCTTTCTAGAGAAAATGCAGGCTTGAGTTTTGGTGGCGTTGAATTCAACTAGGTTGTTTGCTCCCCAGGCTGTGATTTCAGCAAGATCTTCATTGACAGCATTGACCTGCCTGCGCCGTGAGTTCTTAGTTTCCTGGGAAGAAATGGGAATTCTGGAAGAGAACGCAGTATGGAGGGTACTATCATCTGCAAAGCTGTGGATGGGTCAAGTTGTTACTCCCAACAGATCATTGATATAAAGCAGGAACAATGTTGGTGCCAAAATTGATCCTTGTGGAACGCCGGAATTGATGCCAATGGTATCAGACGATACACCGTCCACCACCACGTGAAGCGATCTGCCTGAAAGAAAACTCGAAAAGAGATGGCATAGCTGAGGTGGTAAGCCGTATGATGGTAGTTTGTGGAGGAGTCCTTCGTGCCAAACACGGTCGAATGCTTTCGATATGTCCAACGCGACAGCTAGAGATTCCCCGTATTTTCCTATTGAAGATTGCCATAAATGGGTGACGTAGGCAAGTAGATCTCCAGTAGATCTTCGGTGCTATGGTTGTCGAACTCTGACATACCTATCAGTCACTCTAAAATTGAAATGTCTCGTTTTGGGTCAACTTCCACTACGGAAATCCATAATTATGTAAGCGAATCAATGTCACATAATACCAAGGAGAGTAGAGAGTCTGTTTGGAACAATTCCCATTTTTTTCATCTAGCAGAAAATCTATGAATTTTGTGTGACTACCACAAATCTCGTGATTTTTCAAATCCTGGAAGATTGGGTGAGGAGAATGGTGATGAAACTTGATATGGAAAAATATACAGGAAGGTTACTTCAATAAACATAAACTCAAGATGAGTCCATCTGAATATATCGAATTGGAAGGTGTCCGGGATGCGCATAATGAAGAAAGGCGAAGCCTACACTATTTTCCACAAGGAAAGTTCAGAAGCTCAAACTTTGGATGAATTGATTGCTATTGTAGATATAATGAGAATACCCTAAACGGCCCTCAGAATGTTTTTTTTTTAAATAGTATCTGTATAGTTGTGAAATTCAACTTGATTCAGATATTGAAACTCATATAAACGAGTATTTTTATACTGCTCATGAAATAATTTCCTAAATATCGGCCATGACAAATGGAGATTATTATTTTCATTAATTCATCTCGAGTGATTTGTATTTTGGGACAGGTCAATTCGACCATATGAACATTAATAATAATAATATTATAACTCCCTCGAACTGAATCTCCCGGGAGTTATTCATATAATTAATGTTCATTTGGTCTCATCAAATTGTCAAAATTCATGGTACTCTCGATCGAATTAGGAAGGAAATGAAAGTCGGCTATTTGTCACGGTCTCAGGATATCACCTGCGATTATTCCATTCACACCTGGAAGCAAACTCGCACCTATGATATTTCATGATTGAAGTCACATGATATGCGATATCAGCGGCTATCTGGCGATATGAACTGTCCGACAGCATAAGAGTGCTATGATTGTCAAAGTTTTCACATATGTCAGTCACTGAAAAATTTGAATGTCTCGTTCTGGGTCATCTTCCACTACGAAAATCAGTAATTATGTAAGCGAATCAATATCAGAAAATACCAAGAAGAATGAAGATTTCGCCTGGAGCAATTGATGGCTTTTTGCTAGCAGAAAATCTTATGAGTTTTTGCGACAACTCCAACTCCTAGTGATCGCTGAAATCCTGATAGATGTTGTGAAGAGAATGGTGAGGAATATAGGAAGTACGCACTTTAATTGATATGGAAAACTATACTACCACTACTACTACCACAGACGGCCTTCAGAAGGAATTTTTTCAAATCGTATGTGTCGATTTGGAGGAATTAAACTTGATTGAAATGTTGAAATCAATAGCGGATTCCATCGGTAAAACTAGTGCGCACTCAGTGTATACATTTCTCTTTCTACTACACTTCGAAAAGGAGGATATATATATACACCGAGTGCACAAATCGGGCAGATTATTCATGGAATAATCTGCCCGAATATCACTCGACCATGACGACTAGAGGCTATAATTTTCTTTGATTCATCTCGAGTTACTTGTATTTTGAGACAATCTCCCTCCAGCTGAAGCTCTATGTCCAATTGTCCATATGGTATTATTCAATTATTGTCAACATACTCTCGACCGAATTATAAAGAAAATAATAGTCGGAGGATAAATGTCTATGCGATTGAAGTAGTTTTCATTTTAGTTGGCATTCATGCTTCATTCTAATTCATGTTTGTTCAATAAGGTAGATAAAACAATGTTGAATAATGGAACATATTATTAATTTTCTGAGTTGCACGTGTTTATTTTTGATATAATATTAATTAATTCTGACCTTCTCGTGAAAACAATAACAGGTCTGGTTTGTATATCCACCACACCAGGTATCGGGCACTTTGATAATACTAACAAATATGTGAGGAGCTTGCGTGCAAACCCGGCTGCATATTTACAGATGCTAGCGTGTGTCGATATCACTGATATCAGGGTGTTGAAATCAGTGAGGGTTTGGAAAAATAGTACATCTACAAATGCTAACAGATTTGGACACCAGGCAAAATACACGTTATTTTATAGCAAATTTACCTTCATAAGGCGTAGTTAACCTTTAGTCAATTTCATTCCATTTATTCAATAAGAATGTGCATTATTTTCAAGATTTTTTTTTATATTTCTTGAATAAGTCCAGCTATATCCATCAAGCAATTTGTTAGAATTCTAGTCTCATTATGAGTGTTTCGAAAACGAGAATAGTATGTCCCATCAATCAATTACATTAAATCACACAAAACCTAAGTTTGCATCATTTGTATATGTAAAGGCCATTCACTAGAAAGTTTTTGCCATTTTTTCAACATTTTTCCATGATGGATATAGCAGGTTTTGCGAGAAAGCTCCTCAAGATTTTTTCAAATAAGTAACTTGGCATAACATAGATAACGTCTAGACCGATTAAATCCAAGTGTGTCAAGATCGTATTCAGAACCGCGAACAGTAAGGAGGTCCGTAGCTCCTTATTGTTTATTCTCTTGAAATTGGCATCACTGCGAGTTGCAGATTCCTTCACCGAGTGATCAAAGTATCAGAAAAGATTCCTGAGGCTGTTCAGTAGCATTCCATCGCCTGTTTTGGTTTGAATACATGCTTTGCCTAACTTTCATATCTACTATCGAAAAGGTTCGAATATCTACAAATATCTACATTATAATACGGGTACCAGATTAACTTGAAACGGTTGATAGCAAGTACATTTCATTACCTACTGAGGACACGAATTCAACAGCGGTGAATAATTGAGGTCTAGTAGATCGTTGAGTGAAATGTAAGAATTTTTGCGTTCGTTGATTCCTAATGAATCCAAATGATTCAGTTTTATTCCATTATCTACTACGTCTGAAATTTCAGAATCATCATTGGTCTTCATCTGATATATGCTTCGCGAATGTCGAATCTGTTTTCTTTTTTAACAAAATCATCCTATGTTCATGATTGCGGTGATTAAACGTTCGACCTGTCTGACCGATATATACCTCAGGCAAGATCCACAATTGAGTTTCTATACCCCTTATTTTCCGAATTCAGAAGTTTTGTTCTTATTATTTTTGATTGAAATGGAGTTAAATTTCAGTTGATGATGAGACATAACTTGAAGGTCTATATTTTTGATTATTGTTTCTGGTGGTAGGATGAACTTCCTGGATTGCTTCATCACGGAGTTATCTAGAAAGGATATTGTCCATTGAATTACCGTTGTATCCGTTGTTGACTGAAATCTGTTTTATAATGAAACCATCAAAAAAACCCTCTGGTACCCTGTTTCTATCATTACGTACCGTTAGCTCGTTGGGTTTGTTGAGAAGACATATCCCGTTTCCAGTCCTGAGCCTGTCGATGTAGTCCGACTTGCTGCACTCCGAAAATTTGTAAGGCTGCACGTTATCAAGCCCTACTATCGCTTGCGCCATGATACAACCATGCCAGTCTCGGCAGAAGCATTCTTCTCTGCCATCGTCGTGACCCATACCGATGTTATGACCTTGAAGACAATAAAAAACATGTTTGTGAGGAACTGTTTACTGCTATAGTGAGCTTGGTTACTCCTTTCGAAGAGCTTATGGAATATGAAGAGAGTGAGAGCGATATCGATCTCGATTGCGAGCTACTCTTCCTGCCTTAATTGATCTAAATTTTAGTTCTATCACGGTAGAAAATGAATGTGTTTCTACATAAGTATCCTTCTCTGCCATCGTACGACACATATCGATGTTATGAACTTGAAGACAATAAATATATGTTTATGAGGAACTGTTTACTGCTATAGTGTGTTTGGATATTCGTTTTGAAGAACTCATAGAATATGAGAAGAGTGAGAGCGATATCGATCTCAATTGCGAGGGACTCCTCCTGACTTGATTGATCTATATTATAGTTCTATCATGATAGAAAGTGATTGTGTTTCTGCAGAAGCATTGTTCTCTGCCATCGTCGTGATGTTATGGCCTTGAAGACAATGAATATATGTTTGTGGGAAACTGTTCACTGTTATAGTGTGCTTGGATATTCGTCTCGGAAAGCTCATGGAATATATGGAAAGAGTAGGAGCGATATCGATCTCAATTGAAAGCTACTCCTCCTGCCTTAATTGTTCTATATTTCAGTACTATCACGGTAGAAAAGGGATGTGATTCTCCTCGTCGTGACCCATACCGATGTTATGACCTTGAAGACAATAAAAATATGTTTGTGAGGAACTGTTTACTGCTATAGTGAGCTTGGATATTCCTTTCGAAGAGCTTATGGAATATGAAGAGAGTGAGAGCGATATCGATCTCGATTGCGAGCTACACTTCCTGCCTTAATTGATCTAAATTTTAGTTATATCACGGTAGAAAATGAATTTTTTTCTGCATAAGTATCCTTCTCTGCCATCGTACAATACATATCGATGTTATGACCTTGAAGACAATAAATATTTGTTTATGAGGAACTGTTTACTGCTATAGTGTGTTTGGATATTCGTTTTGAAGAGCTCATAGAATATAATAAGAGTGGGAGCGATATCGATCTCAATTGCGAGGGACTCCTCCTGACTTGATTGATCTATATTATACATAGTTATATCATGATAGAAAGTGATTGTGTTTCTGCAGAAGCATTGTTCTCTGCCATCGTCGTGATGTTATGGCCTTGAAGACAATGAATATATGTTTGTGGGAAACTGTTTACTGTTATAGTGTGCTTGGATATTCGTCTCGGAAAGCTCATGGAATATATGGAAAGAGTAGGAGCGATATCGATCTCAATTGAAAGCTACTCCTCCTGCCTTAATTGTTCTATATTTCAGTACTATCACGGTAGAAAAGGGATGTGATTCTCCTCGTCGTGACCCATACCGATGTTATAACCTTGCAGTCAATGAATATATGTTTGTGAGAAACTGTATACTGCTATAGTGAGCTTGGATATTCGTTTCGAGGAGCTTATGGAATATGAAATGAGTGAGAACGATATCGATCTTATTTGCGAGCTACTCCTCCTGACTTGATTGATCTTCATTTTAGCTCTATCTCGGTAGAAAGTGATTGTGTTTCTGCAGAAGCATTGTTCTCTGCTATCGTACGACACATACCGATGTTATGACCTTGAAGACAATGAAGAAATGTGTGTGAAGAACTGTTAACTGTTGTAGCTTGCTTGGATACTCGTCTCGAAGAGCTTATGGGCTATGAAAAGAGTGAGAGCGATATCGATCTCAATTACGATCTATATACTCCTCCCGCCTTAATTGATCTATATTTTAGTTCTGACACGGTAGAAAATGAATGTATTTTGGCAGAAGCAATCTTTTCTGCCATCGTCGTGACCCATACCGATGATTTGACCATGAAAATTATGAAGAAATATTTGTGAAGAACTGCTATAGTTTGCTTGGATATTCGTCTCGAAGAGTTTATCTACTACTGTCGCCTTAACTGATGTATATTTCAGTTTTATCACGATAGAAAAAAATGTGTCTCGACTATCGAACCACAAATCTTCTTTGCCCTTGTCGTGACCCATATCGAGACAATGAATATATATGTATGTGAGAAACTGTTTACTATTATATTTCGGATGATCGTCTCGAAGAGCTTATGGAATAGGTAGGAAAAGGGTGAAAGCCATATCGATCAGAGCTGGGATTTACTTCTCTCGCCCTAGTTGATTTAATTCTTGTTCTATTACGGTAGAAAATGGATGTTCTCAGATGTGGAAGTATATAATTGATATACAAGGAAGCATATAAATACTTATAGCTGAAACAAAAAAAATTTCTTCAGTGAATTCAGTTCAAAGGAAGGACTGACTATTCTCTGACGCTGACTGGTTTTCTAATTCTTCTCAAAAAGTTATATATATGTCAGAGAGACAGTTCTTGGGATATTCCAGTATTCGTTGTGAATAAATAGGTGAGTTGATATGCCCTAATGAATGGAAAAGCATTTTGAGATGGGATATGACAATCTAGTGAGCCATTCCATAATAGTGCTCTTTCTTTGACTAGGAGATATATCCTCATGAGAGAACTTTCCTCTTGAGGGAAAAATGATTCAGACCTGGTAGTAGAGATTCACGAAGATCTAACTCTTTGTCAATTTCATTTGCAGTTGTGGTACTTTGGCTTTTGTGACAGACAATAGTGGTACATCCACTGTCTTCTTCATTCGTTTTCCTGAAGTCCCAGTGGTAATACCATGAGTGCTTGCAATACTATCGATATTAATTTCGTCAGAAATCAACGAGATCCAATAGCTTGGTAATATGACCGCAGACTTCTGGGGAATCGGTTTCCAACTTCGGAATAGCAATATATAGAATTAACAAATAAGAATCGGTACAGGAAATACATATAGTGAGGACGTAAAAATTCTTCCTCACCCTTTAACGTTTGAACGGAACAAACTAGCGAGGTCGGATGAAATTCAGGCAGAATGGTTCCTCATTCACTACTTTTTGGCATCAAAATGGTTGTGGTCAACCTCAACTTTTTGTTCAGATATAAAGAAGGGTCACGTGGTACCTTATTTTGACTCCGCTTTGTTCGTGCAGATTGGTCAAAGCGTTTCAAAATAACAAGCGTTTGAAATGTACCTCGGAAACAGTAAATCACGTTTGGATTGAAATCTAAAACCGATTTTTTCGTGTCAATAAGTGAACGATGAACATTTAAAGCATGTTTGAGCACTTGTTACAATTTTTATCTGAAATTCTGTTGCAATTAAGGGTTATTTAGTTTTTTTATTCATCAATATTGATATTTGAAGCAAATTCCAAACGTTTTTCATTTTGAGTTCGATAAAGAATCGAAAAGCCTTCATGCCAAAGAGGTACCTTTTCGCCTGAATTCCACTCGACCTCGCTAGCTTGTTTTGTTCGAAGGTGAAAGGGGGAGGGGGAAATTTTGAAGTCCTCACGACTGTATACTAACCGATCATGTGAGCCATAGTTCCAGCTAGCAGATGGGGTTCGTAGGTGTTGATATCGACGCTGATTCCAACCGATTTTGGGGTGCAAACAGTGGCGGGTACTGCCATTCCTGCCTCCCCGCCGATGAATACTTGCCCAGTAAGGAGTTGTGTGGTGTCCTTGTCCACTTTGAAGAGGTTCCTGGCTGTGTAGTCGTTGAAATTGGAGAGTGCTCTGCCTATGTCTTCGTTCGGGTTGATTGTAGCTTGATCCTCTCCTGTTGGAATCAATGAAGGTTTTTTTATTTCTTGGAGCGCACGAAAGGGAATCCCTATTAGGTTCAAAAAACATCGTGCGTACCTGGGGAGGATAGGGAGAGATGGTAGGTACAGTCACTCGCCCATAATAATTGGGATATCATCCTGTATTGGGACAAAATTGTTATTTTTTGTTCTTCCACATGGCATCAGGTCGATCGAAAATAAAAAAAAATTGCCGTAGCGAATACACGTTGTTTTTTCTTATATATTCTGAAGAATGAAAGAATTGCATCTGTAGAAATCATTTTCTCTATCAGAAATAATCAAAATATTCAATATTTTTCAAAATGCGAGGCTCACAAAAAAACAAACATCAGAAAAAATGATTGAGGGTATAAATAAAAACGAAGTCAATGCTGATGCTACAAATGAAGGATCTATCAGGAGTATCTACTCCATCACGAAGCATGAGTCCTAAATTCTTGTGTGCCCAATAATGGCTCCAGCATAGTTTGAGATACGGCCTTGCAAACGTGAAGCGAATACTAAAATTCATTGCTGAATCGAAGTATCTGCTGAGAGGAGTCGGTACTTCAAAGTGTAGTCAATACTTCAGTAATTACCACGAGATTGCTACTCAGTATAATAGCTTCCGGAAAAAATGGAAGAGTCTACATCGAAATGTGACTTCGAAGTATTTACTATGTAGAAAATGATAAAACTTCAAGTATTAGCAGGTACCTCATTTTTATTCATATCACCCAATGCTCCATGTTTGGTACTATCAGCCCAATTTGGGACAGAAATGTTTATTATATTATTTTGTGTAGTTTCAATCGTTTCTTTTTCAAAAGTTGTTGAATACATAGAACGAAACCACTCAACTTACAGAATGGAGTTGGAATAATAATTATAATGAACATAGTTGTGAAACAGTTGAAGTTGAAAACTGTCTCAAGTATGGGTGATTGACTGTATCGATTTCTTTCAACTTTTGGAGAATATTTCCTTTGGCAAATAATTCCAAAGCTCTACCGCTCTATAAATGCACGAGTTTTGTTGTTTTCAGGTTGTTTGACATATCTCTAGGTTGATGACTAAAGGATGTACTGATCGAGCTTGTCGAGTACCTCTGGATATTGCTAGTGATTGAATGAAAGCAGATATTCATGAAGATCATTTCACGTGGAAGACTTCTCGACGGTGTTCCTATGATTTCAGAGTGTTAGTGAGTGTGGCATCACCCACCAGGCGAATGGTTCATCTCTTGAAGGAGTCTGAGAGCATCAGCATATATTTGGGAACTGGACCCCATATATGAAAACATAATTCGGAAACGGGCCGTATCTATGCTTTGCAGTTTTTCACATGGTATAAAAATCCAAGTTTCTGTGGAGCAGCTTCCCCGATGGATCTAGCATGATTTTCCCATGGAAGGGAATTGTGATATAGTGGACTTTCATTGAGAAAATCTGATGATAGCTTTCGAATAATACCTGAAGATCTAGTCATGTTATCGCCATCTATTGGCATAGTTCTAAGGTAGGTCACGCCATACACAGTAGGACGCTGCCATCTATAGTAAACACGTGCAGACCTCTACGTCTACATGTTACTAAGTGCTACTATTAGTTCACCACCCTGCTGACTGATGGCCCTACCTGAATACTTGAGTAAAATGATCTACAAGTCCTATTTAAAGAACTGAATCCTATGACTAGGAGATATTGAATGAACAGAGTGGCTTCAATTGTCAGCAGGAGCGAGACAGTACTGTTTCGGCCCACCAGGCCTTATCAGCCGCTATCGGTCTGCTGACGACTCAAAGCTTCATCATCTAGTGACAGTTGATGATTAGGAGGCTGATTCAATTGGATATAGTTTTCAAACTCTGGAGAAACATTTGGAAATTTCGTTTCATCAACTTTTGATGATTTGAGATGAGTAAGGGCTGGAATCGCAGATTTTCTGTAGGTTTAATTGTCATTCTCGTGTTCGACACCTTGAGGAACTTGAGTCATCCTTTCCTGATTGAATACTATGTGAAGCGTAAACATTTACCCGATCCCAGATCGATCAGATCCGTTTCTTGGTTGAGATTTAATTTGTTTTTTAATTAAACGTCTCAACTGGATTTGTGCAAATCCAGCTTCACTAAGATATTGAACAATCTTATTTAAAAATCAATTCGAATTAGATTTCGGTGGGATTGGATGTATTGAAAAAGTTCAGAGTGAAATATTATGGGTTTACATTTAGAACTGGACTTGAATTATCCGTCATCACTCGAGATTTAAATTGAACGAAAGAAAAGCTTCAACTCGAATTTGCGTAAATAAATGAAGTATACGCTGGTGGTTGGAAAATAATGAGTACAAAGTTGGGTGAAATGAGAAAAGGAATGTTTCCATATCATATACAGTTCTACTTACTTACTCGTTAATGAAAGCTGAGTAGATACTTAGGTACTATACTGGGTGTCAACGAATTTATTAGAAAAGCCATAACTTCTAGAATACTTGGTGTATCGAAATGAAATTCAATATGGTTTCATGATATGTAGAAAGGAGAGTTTTCGCATATCTATCATTTCTCTGTTACTTCCGGTTTCACCGGAAATCGCTCCAATTTTGAAATGTAACACCCTGTATATTGTAACATTTTTGAACGCCTGAGACAATTCTGGATCAGAATATAACATTTTCAGGAGATTTCACTCCTACTCCATTCTTTTAGAGTCACTTTTAATATTTCATCTAGGTAGCCATGGTTGGGCGTGAACTTATCTGAGGACATCAGGAGATGTCAAAAAATTATAATCATAAGAGTTCTGTGATTAATATGATGAATTGGAAGAGGGCAAGTTGACAAGATCAAATCTCCCGGTCTAACTATACTTTTTCAAATGCCAACCATTTTTTGACAAGCACTTTTCGAAAAGAGGTTCTATATAACGATACTAATTCATTTCCGATTCGATTGAGAATACGAACATGGATTAAATATTACTAAGGAAAATACTGGATATTTATTCCTTCAAATTCGTCAAGAGTCTTCTTCCGAAACCAAAACACTCAGGTGATGACAGTGACATTAACCTCAAGAGCAGACAGTGGAAGTTTTTCTATTTCTGGTGAATTTCTGTAAAATTTTCTTTCCAAATATTGTATAATCGAAGTAAGAAGTACCAACATGAGTGGTTTTGTTTCCCGAAGAGGAGACTCGAAAAAAAATAACTGCAAAATATTCATCATGGCTATTCATGGCACACTTGACAAATGTAAATGAATGATTACTATCCATTCCCTTTAGTAACCTTCAATTTTTGCTCATTTTCAATTCAATCGCCAATAAATTAATATTGTTAGCTTCGTCTGAAAGTGCTTGTCACAATATGATCGTCATTTGAAGAATAACAGTCAGGCACGGACATGTAATTGTGTCAATATGTCTTTGTCCCTACCTATCATACTAGTCACTGAAACTTTGCGATTATAATTATCTGAGGTCCTAGGCTAGGTTCACCTCCGATCAAGGCCAACTAGATCCAATATCGAAAGTGACTTCAAAAAAATGAAGTAGGCGTTGAAGCTACTGAAAATGTCATATTTTGATCGAGAATTGTCTCTGAAATTCAAAAATGTTTTGATATACAGAGATTTCTATTTGAAAATTTAAAACCGGAGCCATATATATATACATATGAATATATCTTCATGTAGGTATTATGTTAAGTCAATATATACATGTACTATCATTATTATACGAACTATTAACCTCTCGATCAACACTCACCTGCCTCAATATGTAACATATCGAACTATCAAATGAAATAATTGATGAAATATTCATAGACAAGTTCTTAAATGAACTTATTTGGATCACTCCCTTTATTTACCCTTAATGTAGCATGGTTTACGAGAATGTGTGATGTGATGTAATGTATTATTCTACATGGTAAATAAATTTATTATAATTATTATTATATTATTTCCTGTGGAACCGGAAGTGACCGGAAAGTGAATAATATGCGAGAACTTTTCGCTTCACACACCACATACTCCTATTGCATTTTATTTTGATATATGAAAAATTCTAGTAGTTATGGCTTGTCTAATAAATTCGTTGACTCAAATGAAAATATTGATAGGACTGAAATGAGAGATGAAGTTGAAAGAAAGTTCAAAAACCTCCTCTGCATGGGAACGTCTCGTTAATAATGCCACATTTTCTTAAATTCAATATGAAACGGGAATTATCGGCGATCATCTCACATTCATAATATATGTCGTTGGGCCAACATTTCGTTTCACCCAATTTTCTTTTCGACCAATTCTAGATTTCCCCAATTTTCGATTCACCCAATTTTCGATTCGGCCGAGTTAGGTAGGTTAGGTAGGTTAGGTTAGGTAGTTTGGAAGAGGTAGTCTCCTTCCTTATGCGGAAAATGATATTTCACTTCCTTATATAACGTCGAAATTTGGGTTAATCGAAATTTTTTGTGAATCGTATTTGGGGCGAATCGAGAATTGGATGAATCGAGAATTGGTCGAATCTTGAATTGAGCGGATCAAAAATAAGGTGAATCGAGAATTTGGTGAATCAAAAACTGGGTATCTCGAAAATTGGGTAAATCGAAAATTGGACGAATCGAGAATTGGGTGAATCGAAAATTGGGCAAATTGAAATATGTATCATACATACATATTATATGAATAAAAATATTGAAATATTCAATGATGATAAGCCAGTATGATTCTTCATCCTGATGTTGCAACAACGCATCGTTCGGGTATATTCGGAGATGGTGCGCGAATCGAAAATTGGGCCAATCGAAAATTGGGTAAATCGAAAATTGGGCCGAATGCAACCTACCCCTCTGCATATCCTCCCTTGGAACACACGATGTTCTTCGAACATTATAGGACATTTGCGCTCTAAGAAATAAAAAAGAAACACAAAGAGAATGACTACTATTGGAAATAAATTCGCTAGAACGTTCAGTTTTGGAGTTTCCTACCATATATTTACTGACCTTGCCAAGTTTCCACGTAAACCACTGACACCCTTGTGTTCAAAGTCCTGAAGTACAAATCGGCAATATTCGCCACCTGAATATAAAAAACAAAATACTATTAAACGCAATATTCAACAGATGCTATTTCACAATTGCACAGCTCCTATTGCAAAAGTGATTAAGATTGTTTTCACGTTGACATATGTATGTAGATGTACCATACAGGGTATGTATTACTATATCTATAATCGATCCTATTTGTGTAATACTAGGGCGTAAATTTGGCATTGATAAAGATAAATGCATACACTTCAGAACAATTTACCGATGATATTTTCGACAAAAAAAATTCAATTTATTTCTTCTCCATGATGAACTCATAGAAGTGAATATCATTATTTGTCACTAAAGTTGAATTGTTTCGACTTGTGTCTAATATTTCCTACTAGTATTTTTTTTCTCGAAATATGTGACTATGTGGAAGATGTGAATTTTGTGACTGGTGCTAAATTTATTTGACTTGTGGTGAATTCTGTTGACTTGTATTGACTTGTATGCATTTTTTCTCACTTGTGTGGAATTCTGTTGATCTGTCTTGTCTTGCGTTGAATATTTCATCTTGTGCTGACTAGTATTGAATTTCTCTCACTAGTATTGCCCTTCAAAATGATGTATCACTTGACTCCCCCTCCTTATTTTAGATTCTGAGGGTAACATTCACACCTCCAAGGGGGTTGAATCAAGAGGGCCAAAACTAATAATTTCAAGTGTCATCCTTGAGAATGAAATCAACCTGGTTTTTTCAATTTCTCATATTAATAATTGCAAGGAAGACATTGAGGGTGGGAAGTTTTGAAAATGTCAGCCTGTATATAGAATTTCCAATTGATTTTTGACTCGAGCAAAATTTTGTTGACTGTTGTTAACCTATATTGCTATTTTCTGCTGGTGTTGAATTTTATGACTTGCGTTTGACATTGTTTCTGATATAAGCGACTAGTGTTGACTAATATTACACATATTGCAATTTTTTTCCATACATTGATGCCTTTTGTTGAGAGATGTATCAAATTTTCATAACTAGGAGTAAATTTTTTGAATTATTTTGAGGTGTATTGAATATTTTCGACTCAAGTTGCATTTTTGACTCGTGTTGGTTTTTGTTGATTCGTGTAGTGGCTGTAATTGTGTTGAGGTCCTTCGAATCGTTCAACCTTGTATAACTCCTTCCGAAATGTTTCTATTTCTGACTAGTGATGATGCATTTCGATGCAATATATTGAATTTTTCAACTGATGATGAATTTCTTTGACTTGTAATAAATTCTGTTGACTTATATTATTTTTTTCCACTTGTTTTGATTTTTGTTGACTTGTATAAAATTCTTCCAGAGCGTGTTGAGATTTTTGAATCGTTTAACTTTTCATGACTCCTTTTGATTTGTTTCGACTTGTGTCAAATATTTCTGACTATTGTGAAATTTTTCGGAATTTCACTCGTGTTTGATTCTGTTAACTCATATTGAATTCCATTGATTTATATTGCATTTTCAGTTGCATTATTGACATGGTTGGGTTTTTCTGACTTGCATTGAGCTGTTCCGACTTGTGTCTAATATTTCTAATGATGAAGATGGAAAGCCCTAATTTCGAGTGACAATGGAAAATAAAAAAACTCCACCGCCCCGTGTGAGAGTCGAACTCACAATCTCTGAGCTAACAGGAATTTATGACTGACTCCTATCTAATATTTCTGACTAGTGCAGAACTATTTTTCAATACACGTAATATTGGTTTCTGACTCATACCTGTATGGAATCATGCACTACGTCGATCCTGGTACTTCCGTTCCTCTTATCGAACATCGCCTTGTCGATCACCAGCGCTGTCTCGATGTACTTGGTGGCCTCTCTGACGTCCCGACGCCCTCGCGACGCCACCGGGAAGAAGCCGGCGTGCGGGTTGAGACGCCACTCCATGTTGCCGCTGTTGGCGCACCCCTTGCTCGCCTTCGTGCGGGCCTCGAAGATCACGTGAGGGTGTTTCTGCTGAAGAAAGAAAGCTGTGCAGTCTCGAAAAGATAATTGGACATTTTTGACCCTTCCAGCGGGCGCGCGTTAGTAAAATTTACGACAAACACGCCTAGTAGCTTCTAGAGTCACTGGATGCTATTAGTCAGATAAGAATTTGGACACAGCTGAACTTCTGTCCTTTTCTATTCTCTATTAATCGTTCCAGAATTACGTCATTTGACAGGTTCCTGGGGGGCAAACATTGTATTTTGTCAAGATTTGTCATATAAAACCAGAATTAGTGGGATCGTTTTCCTTGGAATCCGAGTTGGAACCAGAAAGAATTCCATAATTTTGTTTGGTGAAACTGTAATCATCTTGTGGATGTGCAGGGATGGCCAGGGCTATGCTCATCAAAGGTAACCTAACAGATAGTTTGTATGCCTCTCAAGAAACCATGTAAAAATCGCGTGTTCTAGAATGGTCAATATCACAATGGTTTGATTGAATAAAAGAATCAGACATATATTCTGCTCTTTGTCTTTTCAATTTCCCTAGTAGCGCCTGATTGTCAGATACGCTTTTAGAGGTTAGATTTTCTGTCAAATCATTCATTGTCGTAGATGGAGAAACAAAAAACGGTATAAACACCCAAGGATAAACACCCACTTCATTTTATATTTCTTTATTTTTATTTAAATCGACATACATATTTTATATAGCGATATACTTTTCACAGAACAATAGAACAACATTTTTATTTGGTAAAATAGACACATAATATGGAAAATAAAACATGGAGATTGTTTTGCTTTTCCACCTGTTGCTGCATTAACTTTTCACTGAAAAATTTTGAATTTGGTCGGAATTGAAAACGCCATTCAATGATATTATAATATGTTGCAATTTACTTGATCTCCTCAGTTTCGTTCTCAAATCTTCAATTTCATTACGTAGTTCTGCGATCAATTCCTCTTCCTCTATGATAGTGTTCTTTTGCATTCCATCTGATGATGATATTGGATTTATGTTTCATTCCAATCTGCTGTTATAAGAAGTGAATTTCAATGTACTCACCTCACAAATTTTGCCTGTCTTCGAATTGGTTTTCCATCTAGGCCGTTTCGTATATAATACCAAATAGTTCATTTGCTTTCATTGTCAATTCTTTCCTACGCTCTGTGGTCACTAAGTCATCTGTCTAATTCATACTCATGTCAACTTTATAATCATGGACATTGACACTTAGTCTCTGTCAACAATATGATGATGGTTGAAAATGTCTAATATCCGTCAGAATATTTGAAGTTAAGGTCCCTCATGCTCTTCTTCGGACGTAAACGAAAAACAATTTCAATAAATATTTTCGAAAATTTCTACAATAGTCCATTGTAATACTTATTTGTTGAATGTACGTCTGTTCCTTATACCGTTGGTACCATAATGCTTAACGATTTTTGACCTTTCTGTAAATATACTTCACGAGTAAGTAATCTACATTTCTTATCATTTCTTTCTTATATGTACAGTGTCAGATAGATAGATAGATTACACTATGTGGGCGGACGGATCCTTCAGCATGTAGGCCTCCTAGTTCGGGCCCGTTATGCACCCACCTCTGCTGGGAATTGGTTCAGTCATGAGGGTAGCCAATTTCGCGGGCGAAAGAGACCAGCCTTCTCAACGAAACCCTTCTCACACTCTCTGGTTCCAAAACGATGTTCCCGAGATGTGCTTCCCGTATTGCTGCAACTGCTGGGCATTCCGTGAGGATGTGAGTAGCTGACTCCTCGTCCTCCAGGCACCACCTACATTCAGCATCATCAGTGATACCCATAATGTTGAGGTGCCTGTTAAGATGGCAGTGACCCGTGAGGAGCCCTACCACTATTCTTATTTCTTTTCTGCTCAATGTGAGCAACGTTTTGGTTCTTCTGATAGAAGGGCCTTCGATATGGAGTTTCGATTGTCTCATGCCTGGAGTCTCTCTCCATACCTCCTGGAATTTCGTTTCCAAGCTTTTCATTATGGTTGAGACGCTCCAGGATCTGGAAACTCCTAAGATTGGTTCTGGTCCAATGGCTGAGCTATTTGCTCCTTGTCTAGCCAGGGAGTCGGCCCTTTCATTACCGGGAATTCCCTTGTGTCCTGGGACCCAGAGGAGTTTCACCTTATTGGCTGCGGATAGCCTTTGAAGCTGTACAGTGTCATTCATGAAGTCGGCATCATATGGGAAAAACTTTTATTAACGACTTATTTTGGAATTCGAGTTGAACGTTAAGTTTTGCTTCAGAAAAGATGCAAAACGGCCTACTCAATCGGGGTCACGTGACTTTCGCTACATGTCGAAAAGTGGCAAATTTACACATGCTTCTCGAATTTGATCTCTCTATTGTAACTTTTAGACTTTGATTTTTTTCAATTTTTCAAAATTTCTGTAATATTTGAAGAATTGTTAATTCCACGAAACTACTTCATACCAGTAGCTTCTTTATGCTAGTTACTTTCAATTACTTATAATCACTGATTATGGACAGAAATATGATTTTCTTCAGAAAATGATAATACCCGCTTCCAAATTCTGTTATGTTTGATGCAAAGTTGATATATCGTCAAGCATTTAGAAACGAAATTCATTCAAACTGATATTTTCGGTACTGAAAAAATGAATTTGAATAAATTTCGTTTCTAAATGCTTGACTCAAACATAACAGAATTTTGATGTTATGTTTGCATCAAACATAACTGAATTTTGAAGCGGAGATTATCATTTTCTGAAGAAAATCACATTTTTGTTGATAATTAGTGATAGGTAATTAGTAACTGAAAGTAAGTAGCATGATGAAGCTACTGGTATGAAGTAGTTTTATCGATTTTACAATTTTTTTATTATTACAGAAATTTCGAAAATTTGTAAAAAATATCGAAATCTAAAAAATGTAATAGAGAGATAAAATCCGAGTCACATATGTAAAATTTAAATAGAAACAACTTTTTCAAGTAAACTTTTCCTTATTCGAACAAATAAGCCTACTTTCAGCGATTGATTTGAAAAAATGTCACTTTTGACATGTAGCGAAAATCACGTGACCCCGATTGAGTAGGCTATTTTTCATCTTTTTTGAAGCGAAACTTCACGTCCAACTCGAATTTCAGAATAAGTCATTAATACAAGTTTTTCCCATATGATGCCGACTGTATGAATGACACTGTATATTTCGTAGAACATACTTGCAGGGATAGCACTGATTATGACTCAATAGTCGAAAGCGCTATGCGATGTTACAATAATTTTTTTCACAAAATACAATGTTTCTTCATTTAATTGATCGGTTACGTGTATGCAGCTATTACAAATCTCCACAATAATCAATTCGACATCGAGTTCGATATATCTCTCATACTCTTTATCCAAATATGATTTCTTCTGTGACCTATTCATCAAGAACAAATTCTTGGGGTGAATTCCTTACAGGCAAGATGTTATTGAAGCCTATGCCCAATTTAACACTGTAGTATAAAAGAATCCCATCGAATTCCATCAATTTTCAAATTTACTACAATAGAATTCGACATTCTACATACATAGCTTCACAGTAAATTATATGCCTGAGGAAATCTCACCTAGAAATTCACATTATGAATAGCGATCTTGAAATAAAATCACGAAGGGTGAACCCAAATAAAGTAAAATTATCTAGGAGAACTTGATAACACAGTCTGTCGAATGCTCCTTGTTTCCGAAACAAGTTCACTTCAACTTCTATACAGGGTGTTTCATTGGGAAAGGTCAATAATTCAACTGTGGATAGGGGTCACTGGGGTGATTTCAAAAAACCCATGGTTGATGGGTCTTCGACTTCTTATAACCGAGATACAGGATGATTCATCAATTTTGTCCATATCTTCATTGTCTCATAACTTTCCAACCAACCTGTATATATTTTTAAAAATTGGTACACTTGCTCAATCTACCCTGTGGAATTGATTGAGGAAACAACAAAAGATAAAATCCAGGTCCGGCTTCACTCAAAATTCACAAATTCTTTCTGCCAGGAAACAACACCCTGTACATTCGAATTTCTCATTTTTTTTGCCATATCTGAAAAGAACATCAAAATTTCTATTCAACGATGTGCTTTTCATTCGTGCACAGACGATTTTAACTATTCATATTACGTGCTCAAAATATTATTTTTGCTCATTTTGGGGTACAAAATTGGAATCAGACGAGATTTATTAATTTTATTACTTTCTATTCAGTATACGTGAGTATAACATTAAGAAGGAGTATTTCATATCGTTCCTTGTTCCAGCCTTAGTTGCAGATCCGTCATCAAAACTATACAGGGCTTTTCACGATAAGCGTTAATTAGATATTTTTGGAAAACCAGGCAACGGATAAATCTAAAAATTCGAAGGTATGTATAAATCAACATGATCTACACGTCTGAAATATTTGAAACAATTTGGCGTTGCCGCTTCTACTCGAAAGTAGCAGTAACTTTCATTTTTCAAACCCTGGATGCTTCCTGAAGAGCTGATTTAATCGATTCACAATGTTCGGGGTCTAGTGGGACTAATGACTGCGATATTTAGAGTGAGAAAAATTGAGATGTTTCAACTATAGAATTATTTTGCGAAAATATTTATTATTGATCAAAACGGCTTTTATGTCCCTATCTTAACTTTGTATCTATTGACATTTAATCGAAACAAATACAGGATGGTTCATAATTCAGATTTCTGCACCACCCTGTATCTGTTTCAATTGAATATCGAATGGAAAGTTGTGATAGGGACATTGAAGCCGTTTTGACCATGCAATAATGAATAGTTTCATCACAAAACATTCCTGAAGTTGAAACATCTCGATTTTCCACATCCTATATCTCAGTTATC